CCCCCCCCCTAGTATCCACATTTTCGTCGTACCGAGTCTCCACGCAGCTCAGCTGAACTTCTTGTGCTTGCGCAAATCCACTTTAAACTTGGAAGACGAATATTGGCGCGTTCGGCTCTGTCGAGACTTTTATCTTCCGCGCTTCCATGCCGGCCACTTTGGCCGATTTATTTTATCTCGTTATCCGTCATTGGTGCTCCTTGCCATTTGACAGGTTCATGAACATCTGGGTTAGTCTTAATTCCCGAGAATTCCTTTCTCCGCAGTAGTCTCTCTCTCTCTCTCTCTCTCTCTCTCTCTCTCTCTCACTCACTCACTATGTGCAACGCGAACATGAGCCTAGAAGAAGTCCTTCATCACAGGTCTGCCTTGTTGCGTGTTGCGTGCGTCTTTGGTTATTATCCCCGCTGCCAATTAACTCGTTTGAAGTAACCTTTGATTACGATAGCACGCTCTGCTGAGATGACGTCACGATGTAATGCCAATCCCTGGAAAAAATTCGGACTATGGGGCGGACGGTGCGAGGGGTAAACGAAAACCATGGCGACGTAGTTGTGTGTACGACTGTACACGAAGCGGCTCAGATTTGCTCTCTCTTTGTCGGCAAATTCAATTTGATTAAATGCGTTTAAAAGCTTTCCTGTAAACGAGTGTCCTTAGCCGATTTAATCAGTATCGGCTCCTAAAAGGTATAATTAATGTATTTTTATTTTCCTCCCATCTTCCCTCTTTCTCTCTTTTTAACGGTATTTCCAGCATCGACGTTAATTGAAAAATGTTCGCTCCTCGCTGCTAGTCCTGGCACCTCCCCCCTCCCGCCCTTCCTGCCGCGGTCCGCCGAATTGCCGCTTCTCCCACGGCTCCCGTTAAAACTAATGTTTACCGATTCTTTTTCGAGTTTATCCAGCCGCACGTTTGCTTTTCATTTGCCGCGGATGGTCCAGTGTCGACTGTCGCAGGGCGCAGCTGCGCGACTGAACGCGCCCAAGCACGAATCGCATGTGTCGCACCTGCACCAGAGACAAGACTGCGAGCGACAAGCAGCAGCAGGATGTGCAGGAATCTAGGGCGTCTAGGTTAATCGAGCAAGATAGAAGCCAGGAGAGGCGCGCGCGGCTGACGAAGAGAAACTAAACCTGATCGAGGAACAAAGTCCCTTGAGCGTCAAAGACTTTGGAATGTTTGAGCACTGGATAGGCTGGATGGGGAAGGCGAAGAGGAGAGAAGCTTGTCTTTGCAATGGAAACTGCTGTTGCGACTTGAGGACTTATTACAGTGCTAGTAATTAGCGTCATCGCGCAATTAATAGTACTTTTGAGATGGGACTCAAGAGTTGTTTCAGGATCCTATAAATTTCCCTATATTTCCCAATATTTGCCGGTGCGTTTCACGAACCATTTGCCAGCTCTAATTCCACTGAAAACAGTTTTTAAACCACCCTGTGCGCCGTCACAGTAGTGGACTTTGACATCGATTCGATCAATTTGAAGTATGAACGGACGTCCATCGAAGGACTAGCTTTCAAAACAGACTGCTTTAGTTTTTTTCCTTTCGGAGGGAACCCAATCAACGACGAGTTTGATCGAGAAGGCGCAGGAGAGTGCGGCTGGTCCAGGTCGGCGTAACCATTTTTCATTAAGCCGACGCCTCTCGGCTCCATATTTCAATCGATTCAAAAAGTGCTGGCACTAGCAGCGTCATGTAGCGATTCCAAAGGGGCGACAGGACGGCGCGAACTTGCGCGAGAGAGATAGTTTTCGCGCCTGCTCTCTCGCGCTTTGTTGCTTTTATGTTTTTATGATTTAGAGGACTGCGCGTACAATAATTCAGTCGCCAGTTGTATCCCCGCCAGTTGAGCCGCGCAAATTCCATCGAGAGTTCAGGAAACCCGGTAGACCTCTCCCTGCTCCCCGTTCCCTTGGCCACCCTTACCCTCCCGACCCCTTAAACAGGGACGACATAGCGCGCGCACCCCCATTGTCAATTTCATTCACTCGTTGCGTCGCGACCAACTTTTTCGAAGCGACTTTTCGACGACACGTGTCAGTTTTTCCCTCTAATTGGCCAGCAATAGAATTTAACGTGATCCTGCTGCTCGGTGATTTTGCACCGAGTATAAACGCATAAAAGGTGTAAGCGGAGAATCTCTCGTTCCTATCGCGACAACACCTTATCTTTAGCTTATCTTGGCTTAGCTGTGCCTATTTCCATTACCTTGGGTTACGTGCAGAAGCAGAGTACGCAACGTATGCAGCGTGCCAAGGAAATTGCTGAAAGATATTTCCCTCCCGGGATTCGACGTGTAATGGGTTGGATGGGTTGGATGGGTTATAACGTAGCTGGACTGGGAGCTTAGGTATAGGATACAGCACGAAGCAAGTTGCTAGTTACAGCATGTAGGTAGCGCTACGCCACTCTCATTCTCCTGCGAGGAGGGAATAGGCTCCATAGCTCTGCAACCCCCTAGCCCTCGCTACGTGTATGGGTAAACAAGGTTGCCGCACCCATGGGGAATTGTTCAATTTTAGTTTCAGCTGGTTTGACCACACGAACACGGGGAGAATGCAGGGAAATAACTTGGCTAATTGTAAGAAGAATCCTATGGCTCTGCTCGCTACGTCCAATTGATGGCTGAGCTTTAATTCCAAGCATGAATGAGAAGAAGCACAATAAAGCAATAATAATGGTGCTGGGTGCTCCGCAAGGACTATTTGCTTTTGGAGATAGGACACGAAATCTCTAAAGATTATTCCTGGTCCACGTCCATGATTTGCTCCCGGGACGCGGCACAGTCCTTTCAGCTGAGCTTGCTTCGTGTCCGACGTCTCCTCGGAGCCTCCAGGCCTCCCGGTTCCACCTGCAGGTCGTCCATCACGTCGACAATGCGTCCCGGGCACTCGGCAGCCGGCACCTTTCGTCTCTCTTCCTGATGAGGTTGCCGATCTCCCTTCCTGAGTGGGCCGATGTGCTGGAGAAAAGGAGAGGGGTAAAAGGGGAAAAGCGCAGCCTGCGCCTCCGATGCACCTCTGATGCACCCCGGTAATGCGAGCATCGATAACCTATCATATCCACCCTCTGGATAGTCTGAATCGAAATTTCGTTCGGAATTCGATCCCTGAATTATCCCAACCTGTGTCGGGAACGATCGGAAGGAGGGAGGGAGGGAGGGACGAGGAAAGCCCGGAGCTGCATAAGGAGAGCGCGCGTCGCTCCTCGCGGCGTCGGGACGCCGCATGCATCGTAACGAGAGGAAGCTGCTGGGGCAGAATGAAATAAATAAATAAAGGGATATCGAGAAGGTAGATTCGCAAGCCGCCATATCTTGCCGACCCAGCAGAGCTCTTTTTTAGTGCAGGCGCAATTTGACTTTCTCGTCGAATCATCGAAAAGATCGGCGACCATCAAACTTCGCTACGCGCCAAGAATAACGGGCTTGAAATAAAAACAAGAGGAAATGAATAAAGAGGAACGCAAGAGGCGGGATGGAAGGAAACGCAGCTTCCAGCTCCGAATCGAACTTTCACATAAATCCTAGAACCCAGTAGATACGTGTTTTCCATGCGAATCCCCGTGCCGAGGTAATTTCTCCCAAGGTGGCATCGCGACGCCAGGCGTCTAGTCGTTCCTCCTCGATCGTTTCATCCCTCGTGCTTCGATGACGGCAACGAGTGTGACTCTATAACGCCAACGAGAATCACGAGAGAAAAAGAGAAAGTAAGAAAATTGAGATTCCTTCGGGATCGATCCTTCTCAGCCTCTGCGACACGATCTAGAAACAATCTGTCGCGCCGGCTCGTTTGCGATTTTCCGAAAGTTGCATCTTCCGCATCGTAATCCCTTTCATTGGCACTTTCTCGCTCAGCGTCGAATGGTGCGCGCGAAATTTCATCTTTCGCCAAATCGTTATTACCCCGACAATAGGATGCAGGATGGAATTCAGCCTGTTAAATATATGGCGTGTGTGCGGGTGTGCGTGTGTGCGGGTGTCGATATGCATTCAGCCGTCCAGCGCAAAACTTATATGCGCCACGTACTGATACAAGTTTATAGAAATCAAAAGTGCTTTGCGTTGCCACGTTGACATACAAATTTACATTGAGAAACTAAATGAGAAAGGAAAAGACAAAGGGAAAGCAGCAGGTCGAATCGTTCAATCTTCCTAATTAACCGATCGGTCCGATCGCCGTTTGCCAAAGATGATCGAAGATGGTCGATAGGCTATCGTTGCTCTTTCCTGGCCGAGACACCAGCTCACGTAGTTGCCTAAGGGCTGCAAGACGCACTGATGTCAGTGCCAATGCTAATGGGGGAAAGCAGCAGCTTCTTTTATTCAATGCAAAAGAGAGAGAGAGAGAGAGAGAGAGAGGGACGCAAATACTCGGGCAACCCGACAGTTCTTAATTCGTCCCGAGTCTCGAGCGACGGACCAGAATAGGACCCGGATGGGTCAAGAACATGCGGAACGCGACAAGAGGCCGAGCCTTCGTTCCGGCGAATCTTGGCCGCGAATCCAAACTGCGACTGTTTCGTCTTACCACCTATTGCTCTCTGGCATCTCTACGAGGAGGAATGTGCCTACGGAAGAAAGTCAATTTAAAATGTGCTAGACTTACGTTTCTCGTCTTGAGTACCATCTGCCTGTTGGTGGGATCGACTTCACTGCGTTCACTGGCGTAACACACGCTCGCATGACCAATCAGCTGTAATAAGATTTTCAAGTATTTCAATAAAACAAATTTAAAGAGTATCCAGAGAATTGGACCTAAATATACATATAATGATAGGAACGCCGTGGAAACCATCACACTTTCTACTTTTGTTTGAGAAAGATAAGAGCCTGGAGGGCTATCGGTTCCCTCTCCTCCGAGTGATTGAGTGTTCACGATTAGTTTTGGGTAGACAGTCAGTTCTTATCAGTTATCTTTATCGGTCAAAGCAAAAGACGGAGATACGGCTCGAGACTTTGCCTCGAATTCTCGAAATTTGTCTAAACTGTACGTCCCGTTCCAATCGGAAGAGACTGGACCGACCTGGCTCGTCATTCGAGTAGAGCGAAGAGTCCCAATTCTTAGGAACGGAATCGACTTGCTGAAAGATTTATGGAATCACTCAGGCACGTCCCACCGAGGACAACAGGAGGTGCAGCTAGGACTTCAGCGAACGTGAATAAGGCCATGTTGATACTTTTTCGAAGAAAGTAGTGCTTCCCTAAGGGTGAATTTCCACGTAGCGGCGACAATTATCAGATAAACAAGAGAGAGAGAGAGAGAGAGAGAGAGAGAGAGAGAGAGAAAAAGAGAGTCGAAGATAGCAGGAGAATTTCGTTATTAATTGACAGCAATTTGGAGTTGACTGGGTGTACTTGTGCAACGGGTTGGCTACTACACGGCGAGCCGGTAGCTGTGGAAATTAATTAATTCCGGACAATAATTAAAACAAATTACCGGCTGTAAATAATTGGAAGGCATAAGCACTTCGATGGACCAGGGAAGGGATCGGATAAAACGGGCTGGCAAAGCCGAAAGGTAGTACGAAATTATTAACAAATTAGCATGAATAATTAGGTCGTTAGAAAGACACTAATTGGGCTCCGGCTTAAGTACATTTAAGTTATTGTTTTCCTCCCGATTAATCGTCCATGCGATATATTTATAGGGGAGGAATGCATAGACCCTTCCCAAGAGGTGTTGCACCCTAATTAAAATCGTGTTGCACGATTTAAGTTGTTTTCAAGAATATGGAAAGTTTCCTTTTCACCAAGAGAGTAAAGATGAAAATGAAAAAAAAAAAAAAAAAAAAAAAAAAAAAAAAAAAAAAAAAAAAAAAAAAAAAAAAAAAGACGTAGAAGGAGAAGAAGGGACCAATAAAATTTTCGACTGCAAAGCCTCCTTCTTAATTACTGTAGGAGCTTCAGTGGAGCCGATCGCTGTAACGTGAAAACGCATCAAACGAAAATACAGTGGCCGGTTTGAAATTCGCCTTTTGCACTTTCTCCTCAAACGATAATTTCACGAGGAGCCGCCAATGGAAGCCAGCCGTTTCATTCAAGTTCTTCTCTCTCGGCTCTCTCGGCATCCGATACGAGACTGATACAGGCTTTCAAGCTGCTTTCAAGCGATCTTACAAAATGCCTTTACAAAACGGCCAAGTTTCGAGAAAATCCGACTAAAGGAAGCGGCCTGTACGAATAAAGGACATCGACGGTGATGTGCGCGCAAATGCGATACAACGAAAAGGATAATCAGCCGAGCTTAAAATCGGAATGAGAAAAGAGGAAGAAACAGGCAGTCTTCTCCGGTTTCATCCCTTCGTGTCTGGATTATTCCTAAGCAACGTAACGTCGAACGGGCTCATTATGAAAGTTCATACAAGAAATGCGTGTTTTACTGCTTCACGAATCTCCAACTTCGAAAACAGAAGCGCCGCTGTTTTCTTGCCGTTCCTGACAAAACTTCCGTGTCTCTGAAGCGACGGTGCAATCACAAATTATTAACTCGAATTCTGTCTTCTCTTTGAATTTCAATTCTTCTTTATAGAATTCAACCGAGCATTACATAATTTTACATCGATATAAAGCGCCCTAGCAATAAGGATTCGTATGTACTGCGTGCAGGTAAATGGAACGGAGGATACCATACCGACAGCTGAGATTTCGTCTGCACGGAAGACTTTTACCCTAGGATGGCACAGATCGATCAGAGCGAGACCTCCTGCAGCATAGCATATTTTTGAGTCCAGTGTAGACCGACCGAGTAATCGATTATAACACGAAGAAATTAACCTGCACAAGTTTCATAAGAACATCTACGGATGCTTTCGAAAAGCTGCTCGCAACCTTAATAGATATAAAACCTTTGACGTCAGCAATCGACTAGGCTTACTGTACCGCAGTCGCTTCTGCATCAAATCACTAATCTGGTCTACGTTATCGTTTTCATCGATGAACACAATCACTTGACACAGCCTGCTGGTTGTTCTTATTCCTATGGAAAATACAACATATCGCATAGTTGTGAAACAATGGTTGCTAGTGCACTTTGGTAAACTACAAATGGAAATTGTAGGTAGTGGCATAATTTCATTAAACATCCGTGAGTCTATGCAAAAGGAAATGTCCAAAGGTCGTGAATTTTATTGAGCAACCCACCAAATAAACTTGGCTACGTTACATTCAGATATTCGTATATGATAATCGAAATATGTAACTTACTATCAGGTTAAATCTTCAATTACCATTTCGATAATGTATTTCACGGAGCAATTTGGATTACATAACCTAATACGCAGGTATTTCTGTACGAATGGCTTAATTCGCGAAGGAAATAAATATTTAAGCAAACCTCGCACAGAAAGTAATCGAATGAAATGTAATAATGCAGTGAGTAGGTACATCAAAAAGAACCACATTCATTAGGGAAAGTCAGCAGACTGCACAACATAATAATGCCATTGCACAACAAAATTAGTTACGTTAAACAATATTTAAAACTTCGTAAGAATTTTCTATGCCAAGAAATTATAATTCAAGTATTAAAGTATAAAACCAACTACTTCGTGAATAGCATCCGTTTTCAGGCTTAGAGGTTATGTGTATTATTGCGGCAGTAAAATCACAAAAATCTCGGTGTAACGAGATTCACAGAGCAGAAAGAGAAAAGTACTCACAGCTTGTGCCCATTTTGGAAATCCCCATTTACTAGAAACGAGTCTATGAGTATGCAAGACTCCGTTCACGACTTTTCTATCGATGACATCCGTGCCAATAACTGCAGGATTCATGGGATTCGGATATTTTCTCCATGCAGCTTGCGTCACCGTTTCCCACGGATGGCTGAAATCAGAAAATGCAATCCTGAGGTAAGGAAATTGCGATAAATAGTCCTACATTTTCTTCTTGGCATGTCTCGCTGGCCATCATTCAATTAATGAAGTTAAAGGGCGAACAACTCACTTGAAAATGTGTTCGGACGTCCAAATTTTCATGACCGTATTTCTTGACTTGACACAACGCACTGTAATTTAACACGGAACACACGAGAATAAGGGACAAACGGAGCGAGGTTCGACGAACTGGCAACAACTGGTAATGACTTTAAAAAGATTGCGCAAGAGAAAAATGATCGCGACTGATCGTCGCTGAACGCGGCGTCGAAAGAGAATCACAGCTGCCTGTGCTGTTGGCTGCCTGCTTGGCCTAGACTCTGATGTCAGCTGATACTTGTCACGTTGCCTGCCTGCGCCTGAACCTCACTCTCTCTTCTCCTCTCTGTCATCATTGTAACTCTGTACCGCATACCTCTTGGCTACTCGTGACTGATTCACCCACGTTTCCTTCGTGGCTGCGCTCACTGCCCCCTCGTGACTTCACATTACTTCACCGCGTGCTATAGATTCGCAACAATTTTCGATCCTGACTCTTGCGAACCTCCTGGTTAAGGATTCGCTGACCTTGAGCATACATAGCATTCATCTAGCGATCATTTACCACGACTGTGAGCGACACAAATGAACAAATTTGATTTATTTAATCTTTTGCAATTTTTTATTATTTGTACAATATTTATTTAGTATTAGACGTAATAATTTTCCCCATCGTAGTTTTGAAAAAATTGACATTTTCCAAACCCTTCGGCAAATGATGCTTCTTGCTATCTTACTTTCGAATAAAATCTTTTCGCGTTGAACCTATAACAAATTATTCATTTAAAATTAGACACAGGCGGAGAAAAAATAATTCTTATATACCTAACTTTGCCATAAGCTTTCCCTCTTCTGATTTATAACGTATGTGATGCGGCACGGATGGCTGTGGTCCCTTTTGGTTTTGCACAAGCTGCTGTGCTGCTCTCAACGCGTTATCCACAATTCGGGATTTTTGCGATTTGGCCAAGTAAACGACGCACTGGGTGAGCAAGACGTCGCACTCTGGCATACCAATCATGTGACAGCCGTGCATCGTGTTAACTGCGATACCTAGCGAATAGCGAGTAATGCAAATTGGGCATAATAATGTACACAGTTTAAAAGGGCAATCAAAATAATGTAATAGTAGCCACCTAAAGCATCGGGATCGATTATACCGACATCCTCTGTCGCAATTCTTATTAAACGTCTTGCTATGCACACGGGATCCTCTTCCGCTGCCATTACTCTTGCCAGCCAATAAAGCGATGCATTCGCTTCTCCTGCTCTTATAGACTTTTGCAGCGCAGAAATCAAATCCTGACAATTGTCGCCACGTTTGTCTGTCACTGTTTGATATCGCATAAGACTTCTTTTTATATCTTCTAATGTTATTGTTTGAGAATTTTGTGATTGAGATGCAGTATTGCTCATCATTTTACACTGAATTGCTAATTCCAATCCACCCAAAGCTACACGAGCATTTCCATCACATGCATTAGCTAGCCATTCGATATTTTGTATATCTATTAAAAAGTTTATATGTTCAGGCACATTAGTTTTTAAACTTTCAAGATTCACAGAGTTTGACGGGTCGTAGATTTTCCCATTCATCAAAACGATAGCTTTTTGTAAAATTGATATCAATTCCGTGCTGGCGAGTTTTTCAAGTACGAATACTCGACAGCGACTAAGTAATGCAGAATTTAAACTGAAGGAGGGATTTTCGGTTGTAGCTCCAATCAACGTAATCGTGCCGGCTTCGACGTGAGGTAAAAAAATATCCTGCTGGAGCTTATTGAAGCGATGTATCTCATCCATAAAAATAATGGTCTGACGACCAAATTTTACTTCGTTTTTCGCTTCATTCACAGCTTCTTTAATGTCACCAATGCCAGACGAAGTAGCTGATAGTTTGACAAAACGTGTAGCTTTACTTTCACCTTCTTGATTATTCAGTCCAGCTATTATGATGGCAAGAGTAGTCTGAAAAAATCGTATGCCTAATTTTTATTTGGAATTAATGATCCTCCTGGTCGTTCATATAATTACCTTTCCACATCCTGGTGGACCCCACAGTATCATGCTTGGAATTTCATTCTTCTCTAATAATTGGTACAATACCGTCCCATAATCAAGGATATGCTTTTGGCCCACATATTGACTGAGGCTTAATGGTCTCATTTTCTCTGCTAATGGGATGTAACTGCTTTTTAAAAGTTTCTGATCTTCACTTTTGAATGTATGCGACATTGTGGATTTTGATGTTACAGTTTCAGTCTTTTGAATAGATTGCATCTTCAGTCTTTTATAAGGAGGTTCGGACAATGAATTTTTTTCTAATGTAAAAACTCTTTTACTTTTTGATGATACAATGTTTTGCATGGTAGCAGTATTGGAAAGAAAGCGCTTATGTCAAATAACTCATAAAAAGTCAACAATATTCATGAATACGCCAATGGGTTTTATTTTATTGAATACCAGTAATATTTTTTTAATATTAATAAAATAGTGCAGATTTTAATGGTCAATAATTTATTCTTGATATATCTGATAAAAAGCTCTGCCATGTACAAGTCAAACTTGATAGGTTGTTCAGAAAACGTTTGCCATAACCAGTAAAGATTTCAAGTTAGGTTGAATTGCGAAGAATTTCAATGTTTCTTTAAAAATGATTAAATTCATAATCGCTGGTGTTTAAACCAATGTAGAAGATAACCGACGACAACGAAATTGGTATGTTGAGCAAAAAATGAGAATTTAACAGCACGATTTAAATGTTAATCACACCAATGCAATGGTACTCGGTCGTAGCGCCGGCAGCGCCTAATAACACTACATGCAATCGGTATGTTTTGCTAGTAATTCACTGTTAACTAGTGGAGCCACCATCAACTGACAATTTCATGAAGTTCTTTCCCTTTAATTTTATGATATAAGTAACTTTTGCTTACTGAAAATCCAAAAATTTGAAGAAAAGATACAACAGTTTCTTTGAGAGATTTTGGTAACTAATAGAAGAGATTTGGATTTATTAAAAATGTAATTTTGTTCCTGGGATCAACTTTTATCTCAGTGCTCGGTAGCACGTTTGTTTACTACAGTGTTACCAAGCGTGCATCATTCAGTTCGTCCCTCTTAGGAATATGACGTGCATATTTTTATTGAACAGTATCCCAAACAAATTAGCTTTTAAAGCCAACGGAAGATAACAGTTAATCCGACACGAGATGTCGACATGCAAATTCGTGTTTTCTACGATCTTACGTGCTTTAACACATAACGTGCAAGAATATCGTTTCTCTTCTTGGAGGTTGGCAGATAGTAACCAGTAACCCGATTTGCCACGATTAGAGTTCCTCTCGCTTATCAGACCCGCTGTCTCTCATCTATTATCTGATCTAGATGCGTCGCATGACATTCTTATCTGTCAGCTTATCTAAAATTCAATAAGAACCCAAGATAAACAATTGTATTCCACGTTACCGTCGTCGAGGGCTGCACTAGAAGAACGGGTCAGGGCGCTCCAAACCTGCTTCACAACGACCAGCAATCAGAGAAAAACGTAACACTCACAACTTTAGTCATGGATAATTTTCCTGCACAAAGGTACGAGACCAAGATTGAAGCTTTTGATTCATGCATGATCGAAGCAGCGAATCAACAACAAGAGATGACTCAAACAGTACCTGACCAAGCACCTCCACAACCAGCTCAAACTGAAAATCAAGAGAATCACGAGGTTGCTACGGTGCAACAACAGCAGCAGCAGCAGCAACAACAACAACAACAGCAGCAGCAGCAGCAACATCAGACACATCAGACGGCACAAGTTACACAGATCCAATCCAATGCTCAGCAAAATATGACACTTACTCCTATTCGTTTACCTGCTATTCTTGATGGAGAATTCTTCACAGTGATTAGAGTAGAAGATACCAATGTTACTGTTCGCTGCCTTCAATGCCAAAAGCTGCTCAATGGGAACCTTAAATCTACAGGAAATTTCCTAAGTCACATAAAGGTTTACTTTTCATTTACCATTATTTTAACTGTCTGCATTATAGTTGTTTATTTTATTTGATTTTTTTTAATTCAGAGGGTTCATCCATTTATGATCGATAAGATAAAATGCAAGTCCAACCAGAGGAGACCTGCTATGGTGTATATTGATTTATCTGCAGAAAAATGTCCAGAATTTGTCAGGACAAAAAGGGGATATAGGAAAAGCTACAAATCAGTAAGTTACTGTACTTGAAATAGTTAATAATTTGATTGCTATTTCTTATATGGACAGGATTGAAAGAAAGTATGAATTAAAAGAATGTTGTGATTTATTTAAGTCAAATTGGACCTGAAAAAATGTTGTACAAAGTTATCTTTATTGTTTCCTAGGAAGCGTATCAACCTGGTAGTGAGGAGAGCTGCGAGCAACCGGCCGATTGGTCCGAATCGCCGGTAGCGAGAAGACGGAGATCAGAGGAGCCGGAATCTGGTGATCTATTGAAATTTTCTCATAATAATTCGTTTGTGATTGAGGATGAATTCGACGCGATAGGTCGCAATGTTGCCGCGAAATTGCGTAACATGAGGGTTGATCAAAGAATCATCGCGGAAAAACTATTAAATGACATAATGTTCGAGGCACAATTAGGGAACCTTCACAGAGACTCTAACATTCACGTTTAATCTAAAATGATGTAATTCCTTTAATGATTTATATTTGAGATCCTTAGTGTGCATATCCCCCATCATAGTCCTTGAGATGCCTATTAAACCTCGAGTTGAACGATTCATTGGTTTTGTACAGAGTGAGATATAAAACAAAGAAGACATAAAAGTTGCGGAAACATTATATATTATTTTAAATAGCATGAAAAACAATCCACTAGTAAGAATCGTGTTGTACATAGTATACGATACTGTAAATAATTGAGATATAAGTTTATTAGTAAGACGATATGTATTGTCGAACTTAGGGACTATTCAAAAAGAAAAAACAGTTTTCTAGGTGGATCATTTTTCTATTACGTAATAGAATTTTGCTATCGATAGTTAGCATCTAATAAATAATCTATGTACCTATGTGCGATCAGTGCTTGATCTCAATGGACCTACCTCGGCCAATATATATATTTTGTACATTTACTCACTCGCGATACTAATTTGAAAAAGCAATGGAAAAAAAGCTCAAACCATATCGCGTACTGAAACTTAATTTAAATAATCATGAGTCATGGATGAATTTGGAAATTAAGGTAAAATAGCCTCAACTGCTGTAAATACGACGCGTCTTTGGTTTGAAGAGAACGAAATATACGGTAGTGGATAAAATGCACAATCCCATACTCCCGAGAGTTATGAAAAATATGTACATGTACCAGAAGCTCTCCCAATTGGCATAAAAGTAATAAACTATCGATAGAAAGGTATTTTGCAACATAACCAATGTGTAATATCCGAGCAACCACTTGTCCGGGTACTTGAATTTGATTTTATATTCGATCACACTGAAGATGTATACGAGACCCAACCACAGGTTTATGCAGACAGTCGTCACTTCGTAATCTTTCGAATAATAGAAAAGGTACGCTAACATTAAAGCGTAGTGCACAGCGATGACAATTCCAAGGATTTCAGGATAAAATTCATAAAATACTGCGATAGAGAGTATTCGTGAAAGAATAAATAAAAACCACCAGAGAAACGCCATAAATCGTCCGACGGGATCATCTTCCTCTAGGCCTTTGGTCGAATATTTCCTTTGTGGAAGTCGCAGGCTGTGCGTGCGGTGCGTCGACTCTGCAATACTCACGGATCTCGTGACGAAACCTGGATTTGCGCTTTCCGGCTCTTCTGCGTCGAGATTCCAAGCGATGGAGTCTGGCCGCGGAGGAGCTGGCATTTCAGGAACCGGAAGTGGCGTCACGGAGGTGACACCTCGCAATGGCGTCGGCGGTGGCATCAAGTGAGCATTTCTCGGAGGAAGTGGAGGCGTTTGGGAAATTTGACGTTTCAAATCAGGAAGACTCTGGTCGGAAAGTTTACGCACTTCCTTCGACTGAGGCGCTTCTGGCAGCGCTACGATATCAATCTCCACTGCGATCTGTTCAGTCTCAATGGCGTCTTCCTTCGGAATTGGTGTCGCGCTTGATGACTGCAATGGCTTCTTTTCCTCGAGATCTTCAAGCTCCTGGAAGGGATTTTCATGGTAATATTGTCTCCTTACTGCGGTAACAACTGGCAACTTAAATACCTGATCTCGATGTTTCTTCAGCCACATTGCCCATGGCAGTTTTCTGCCGTTTATACGTTGGCTCTCAAACCTTTGAAAGGACATTGTCTGAATAGCCAATACGACGACCGACACGACGACACAAAGGATATGGATGACTACTGCATAAGAATACTCGTGTTAATCTTTACCCACCAACAACAGAGGCGATGTGCAATCTACCTGACTGATGCGCCCGGTCGACCTTTTGCACCCGAAAGAGTAAGTGTGTCTGGAAGATGGCCTGAGGAGCTGCTTGAAACCACGCTTGAAGGAAGAAGTAGAGTTCTATAGCAGCTGGTTTGGATGCAACGTTTAAAGTTTTTGTTCTTTCTTCGCCAGTCAACACGATGGCGTCTATGGCCAGGACTATGAGACCAGCATACCTGAGAAAGAAGCTACTGCACACGACTTCGAGAGAAATAATTTAAATAGATAAAACTTAATGGATACCTATATAGGGCAAAAAGCGGAAATGCTATCAATTGACACAACTGAAGTAGAAACCACATGACGATGCCCTTGGTGAGTTTGTCATCCTCTGTCATCCACCAGTCCGGTCTTGAAACTGTCAGCACGAAGTAAGCTATTGCAGGCGAATACATCAGGGCTATCGTGCAGCTTCCCCAGACTGGATTGCCTTCTTTAAAGTGCTGCTCGGCAGTTACTAAATCCATGGAGAAGTGGATTACGTAGACACAACAATTGACAAGCGTCGGGATCAGGAAGACCAGATAAATCTGTTCCGTAGATTTGAGAGGAACCTTCAGGCATCGCATCGCTTTCGCTTGACAAATTGGACTCGATTTATTCACCATTTTTTTTTTAACAGATTCTCCTACCATTTATGATACAATAATTATCTATTTCTCATTCTTTCTCGCTTATTACTGCGATAAATCACGAAATCTCTGCACGACATTCCGTTAAGAAGTAGCTATTTAATTCATAACGTTGGTACGCCCCAATTCTGTTCCAATTGATTGGCGTCACCTCACTCTTTCACAATATTTCATTCAACTAGTACTGGCACATATCAGACTTTTAATTCTGTTCCTGCTGGAAATTCAGCTTACACGCGCAATCGTTGCACCATTCTCAATAGCAGAAGCAGTTGACGTGAGTTCACGTTGCGCGTCCAGGCGAGGAACAGACTAAATGAGAAGTCATGCGTAAGGTGCTCGACTCATGAGTCACGGAAGAAAATTGTCTTATCGCAGCTGCGTGATTTCGTATGAACGTATCGTACGTCACATGTAAGTGGTCTTTGTATTTCTGTATATTTCACTATAGAAAAGTAACTCGCACCATTATACACTCGGTTGTACTGACAAGCCAGTCGGCCATACTTTTCCTTCTACCTGTATTTCAGCAAAGAGGTTTCACCGCAAGAATATTCGATTTCGCACGCTGAACTAGGAATGTGATTCTGGATTCTTTGGAAAATCCAAACAAGCAGGACATATTAATAGAAGAGTTGAGCAATGTACTGCAAGAGTTGAGGTCGTGCGGGCAGCAACACTCGATGAGAGCAGAATAGTTTCGACGCGTTCAACATTTCACAACTAGTATTTCACTGTGTTCGGCGGTGCCACGGTCGCACGATTCAAAGGGAAATTGTGTAATCGAACCACGAACCACCTCTCGGACCTTGATACCGTACACCTGAATGGAAGAAAGGAAGTAGAAAGTGAAAGAAAAGTCTTGGGGAGAACAGTGCCAGTGCCGCTACTCTCGCGGCTTGTCACTCCGAAGATAACTTGATAAGGATGAATGGAGGTTTCAGATAAAGCATACGCAGGAACTAGCTATGCCTCTATAGCTAGTTGCTCTAGAAAGAACACTAATTAGAAGATAAAAAGAATAGCATGTGGGGGTAATGCACGCACGCTGGATACACGCGTCCAGCCCACTCCTGTATTTGTGCATGTCCATGTCACATGAAACGAAAAAGAAGTAGAGAAGCCATTTACGAAGAAAAACACTATACTATGACATTACGCATTGTTCATGTATAATGTATGATGCATCAGAAACTGTACCGTGTCTCGTAACGCAATTTCTTTTGAGGAGCTCCATTCAATTCAAATTTCCAAAGCTTATAATGGATAGGACTTGGTATTTCGGATATAAAGGCATAACTGATACATAATTGAAATAAATTTTATTAAAAATTTACTAGCCTATAATATATACATTAACGACTATCAGCCGGTAGAAGATCATTTAGGAACTCATTGTATTGCTCATATATTTTTTCTCGAGGATTAACTTCGTGCGTTTTGTCATCAAATTCTGGACCAACAGCCCATAATGTATCTAAATCATACAACTCCCTAGCTTCCGAAGAAAATATGTGAAGGGCAATATTCCCTAAATCTAAAGCTAGCCAGTCCTTAGAATTCGCTCCTTCGACTTTCGGTATTTGATCCGTTTTGTGTCTTTTTAATTTATACGCTTTGCGCACAAAATTCGCAAGTGCATTCATATGTTTCTGTGATCGTGCGTTTACAACTACCAAATAATCGACATATGCAAGTTCAGCTGGCACTGTAGCTACGAATATATTCTTAGCATTATCCCTTTTTAACAGCTCGACTAAATCTTCGATGTCGAACACGCCATTTACGCCGTCTGAAATACGTTCATATTATTGACCAAATGTCAACTAAAGACGCATGATGAAATCTTTATTTTGTACTTACGGTTCATATTCAGTCCATTATAAGGGTCGACAGTTTCTATTTCAGTATTAAGCTCTTCCAAAGTAATTCTTTTCTTTTCCTCGTCAACATCAAATATAATCTCTGCGTCTTCATCACGAAATACTTTATATTTTTCGGCTATGCCTGTTGGTAGGTTATGTTCCTCGTTATTATCCTCTGAAATTTCCTCGTCTGTCAGCTTCTTATGAATGTTGTTACTTGAATATAAACGTACATGAGAAACTCGCGAATATTGCAGTAAATTTGTTGTGCGATAGTACGATGATTGATAAAAAACTTTTCCTGTTTGTAATAACGTTCGCGCAACGCGGCTACACATCTTGACGGCATATAAATACATATTTCAGGTTATGTTAGGTGAAACACGCATGTACGACATAACGCAAGTGAAACAAATGTAAAAATCGTCGAATATTAATCAGTCAACAAAAATACATAAATTAAGGCACTAGCGTCTATTTCAAATGCCAATTTATTTTACAGACATAGGATTTAACATTATTTTTACTGTTCAAAATAATCAAAAAGTATTTCATCTGTTACAACTTCACCTAACATCTTTCCATAAGGTCAGTAAATGAATATAGAATTAGGATTTTTGACAGGTAAAAATGTTTGTATCTTCTATATCTTGAATAGTCGTTTATTAAACTATACAAGACATGTACGTTTGTAAAATATTTTTCTCCGCTTGTGCAATTAATGGTATGATGTTTTATCCATATAGTTCTTGAATATGTCAACCTTCATGACTGTGGTAATAGGTGTCCATGGTAGTGTTTCATGCAAACAGCTGAAAAATAAAACATTTTTATTATTTGTAACATAAAGTGAATCTGTTTAGGATAAGCTCTTTACATATTTATGGAATTAAAGATTTTATATTTGTCCTATGCTTCTAATATTGTTAAAATGTTTGAATTAATATAATTCAATTTCAGATTTAATTAGAAATATCGTTCTATGTGTTTTAGTCAAAAATACTTACAGAAATTAAGATGGGCCGTCTATTTAGACCTTGCACGCATCTTCCTCCTTTTACGCTTTAGCCTCCGCATCCTCTTCTTACGCCACTGTAAAATAATTATTGAAAATTCATTAGGATATTTCAGTTAGATTAGTTTTTCGTACAAAAGTAAAAAAATTGTGAATGTAAAAATTCATTATTTACACGTGTCACGATGTAACTATGTACTAAAAAAAAATACGCGATGGCGGCAGCGTCATTATAGTCGCATATAAACAATCACGTGTCAGAACCAGCCAAAATTTAATAAATCCACAATTCTCAATTCCATGCCACAAGCTTTGTATTAGTGTGATAATGAATATTTTTGAAGCGTTCTGACCGACGTTATGCCTCACAGAAAGACTGGTACAAATTTGCGACTGCAGACTGCCGTTGAACCATTGATTTTCAAAAAGTAAATTTTTGGAGAAATATGAAAAACTAATGTATAATAAATATCAGAAAAGATCTGTACATACCTTGGCTCTCATTCTTGCTGGTTAGAGAAGTCTAGATTTCTCTAGATTCCTCGGATCGCCACGGATTTCGTACCCGTGAGGTCCTCTCACTTCTAAAACCAATATGGAAGAGACTGTCTGGCACCTCCGGAAGCGTTACCCAGCACCGCTAGTTTCCCAATTATCGTTTGGTGGCGCTTCGCTTCACGGGCGACACCTATATGTGGCGCAGTTGGTTGTAGCTTTTCCCGCGTTTAAAGGGTTCTCCCACAAAAACAGGTAGCAGTCTGCGATTTACCTGCACTTGTTGCTTTGGTCAAGACACTGACAAAAAGGGCTGCAAAGTTTTCGCATTTTACACGACAGGGAAGATTAACAGGATTTTCAACGAATTGGGCTGTTCTTAAGCCAAATTGTGAAATTGAAAGTCAACGGTTTGATAGAAAAACAGCTGACGCACGTTTTACAGTAAGGGGCTGTTTTAAAGTACTTTTGCGTGAAAGGAATAAATTCCAGAAGCATGACCAGTGTACAGACAACCATCCCCTTTACTATCAGGAAAAAAACGACGTTTTACGGAAGTAAAGAAAATGCTCAAAAGCAGGACTTCACTGGAGCAGCTTTAAGAAGCACTCCTAGCACCAAGTATACTTCAATTGTAAAGAAAATTGTGACTGTGAGTTCAAGTGAATCTGATTCTGATTCCGATGCAGAGAATCTTGTTCAAGCAAGAGGAAATTATAGAAACAATATTGAGAAGGAGAATAACATTGCGAGGACTCCAAGAAGGATACGAAAGTCGAGCAGTTCTGAGGAACAAGGTTGTACTCCACCAAAGCAAAAGAAAACTGAGAAACAAGTTTCTCCTACAACACCAGCAACTCTACTGAAAAGACTTGACATAGCATCCTCTCCTGAAGGTATAGAGAGACTAGCACCAAAAAGACTTTTTGCCTCTGAAAAATATCAGAATGCACGTAAAGCTTTACACAGTTCCACACCAGAAAATTTGCCTGGTAGAGAAGCAGAGTTGGCTCAGTTGTACGATTTTATGTATGTACATATGAAGAATAAAACCTCTGGTTCACTTTATGTATCGGGACCACCAGGTACTGGAAAAACAGCATGTCTCTCTAAGACGATGCTTCATCCAGAATTCAAATCTTCCTTCAAAATAATTTATGTAAATTGCACAACCATGAAATCAGCTACTACAATCTATGCTAAAATTGTGCAAGAGTTGGGTCTAGGTATAACTAAATCAGTACAAGCTAGTAAGGCAGCTATTGAAAAATATTTAATATCCAATCATAAAATGATTCTATTGATACTTGATGAGATAGATCAACTAGATTGTAAAAAACAATCTGTATTGTATTCTATTTTTGAATGGCCATCCAAACCAAATTCAAAATTGATCCTTGTTGGTATTGCCAATGCTTTGGATCTTACAGATAGAATATTGCCAAGACTTCAAGCAAGATGCGAGTTGAAGCCTAAATTGATGCATTTCGCTCCTTACTCTAAACAGGAAATTGTTAATATTATAACTGACAGATTAAAGCAGGCTGATGTTTCGGATGTTTTTACGACAATGGCGATGCAAATGCTGGCCGGGAAGGTGGCCGCCGTTTCTGGTGACGTCAGAAGAGCTTTGGATATCAGCAGAAGAGTGGTTGAATTAGCAGAATCTCAGAACACAGCCCAAGTTCTACAGCCAACAAACCATAATGGTAAGCTTCAGGAATGCGTGAGTCACGTGGTCTCAAAAGATTCTTTAAAAATGTTTCGTAAATATTTTCTATGAAGTGCTTAGTCAAGTGGCAAAATCATTCCTCAGGCTGTTTGTTATTACAACAGTACATTAAATGTTGTATTACTTTCAGAGAAAAATACAGGAAGCCCTAAGAAACAAAACGTACATGTTGAGAAACCTGTCGATTTTAAAGAAGTTGTTACTGTGTTGAATGGCGTTTATGGCGGTTCTCAAAATATTAACAAAGACGAGAATACATTTCCTTTGCAACAGAAATTCTTGTTGTGTTCCCTGATGCTAATTCTTAACAAAGGCAAGAACAAAGTTGTTACAATTGGCAAGGTACGTTTCGTTATCGTATTTATAGTTTATGTTGTACCAATCTTTAATGACTGGTTGTATTTTGTAGCTGCAAGAGGTATACAAAAAAGTATGTCGAAAGCGTAATATTCATGCCGTCGACATTTCGGAATTCGTTGGTCTTTGTTCTTTGGTGGAAACTCGCGGAATCATTCGAGTAAGCGGCAAGAAAGAACCCAGATTGTCGAAAGTTCACTTACAATGGGATCAGGATGAACTAGGAGCAGCCTTACAAGATAAACACTTGATGGCTGAGATTATTAATGACGTTACATGCTTATAAATAATTTACACTTAATGTATTAATTGTTTTAGAGATAACAGTTTTACATGCACTTTTTTTCTCTTAATTTTCACGAATACAGTCTTTTATCCAAACTGTCGCCTGATGCATGAAATTTTCATTATTGGAATACAGTTTTTAAATATATTAGATTCATTGCATTACGCTGTATCGCTGTACTTTATTTATACGCTATTTTCATTTAAGAAACCAATGTTTGATATATATTTTATGATCACACATTCATGTTTATGATGTATTTTTATAACAAAAAACTCGATGATGTTACAAGTGCATAAATATAAAATATACTTGTTTGAAATATATTTGTTTTTCTATATGTATACTACTATTTATAGAAAGGGGTATGTTGTATAATCAATCTTATTCCATTGTAAGAGAGTAAGTTTATGAACGTAACCGGAGTGGATAATGTGAATCCCGTCTTAGCCGAGCTGACTGCGATCACGAAAATAAAATATAAAATTGAGGCTGAATAAAATCTCGCAGAATATACGGAGTAGATAAAAATTGAATTGAAATTGTAAAATATCGTAAATAAATTACGTTAAAATTGAAATATTAATAAATTAGGTGTTTAGAACATTGAAATAATTAATCAAATCAATAAAGTAAAATATTAACACTTATAAGGGAAGGTTCTCAGGTGTTCAGCGCCGGAAGGGTTAAAAATACTTGGAAGCTCGTGACATCTCGGTCGGTGCCCCGAGACAGACTGCATTAACAATAGCCAAATTCGAGAACTAATCATTCTGATCATCTAATTGGTCGAGATCCTTATAGCCGATAACTCTTCCACCTCCCTCGAGTCGTCCCTTTAAACCAAATCAAGAGCGTTCCTTAGCGGATCGGTACGTAACACTTTTGGAGATCCTCCACGGCAGCTTCCCCAGGGTATCGGGCGACAGCTGGACACCACATCCTTAACACGGGTCAGGGGGTTCCTCCCCTGCCCTTCACCGTATCAAATCTGTAATTCCACCCGCTCTACAGCCCTTTGCCCATCTCCAGCGGGGACCGGTATCACACCCGGACTTCGTGGAGACATCTCCGTCGGGTACTCTCCTTTGCCGGGCAATTCGGTACGTCGAGACTATTTCCCCAAGGCGGATTCAGGCACCTCGACCACAACTTCACAATAACGAAATCTTACGAGAGCATTGGCATAACTATACGAATCAACCCGAGAGCGTAGCTTTTGAGCAGGGTGGTTATTCGAAGGGAACCAGAAAGCGAGAACGTTATCTGTATCGGTAGCCGGAGTCGTGTTGTAACCGTGAATCGAAAAATCACGTCACAAAGCTTACCCATGTACAGCTATCACATGTATACGTACATCTAGAATAATTGTATGCAGTGTATTGCGGCTTTCAGTGCTGTTTTCACATTGTGCTTCAAATAGTTCCGGGATAGTTCTCTCTAGTACTCATTGTTAAATAATGCTGGAAGCTAGCTCCGCATCGCTGCACTCCTTAACGCAGGCAGGCATGTGGTACTGGCTTTTGTCTTAATGAGTCTTATCGAACTTACACTGTGTACTCGAATTTAAGATTTGAAAAGAAATATTTAGGCAATATCTGATGAGCGGCCTCGTTCCAAGTGTTTCTCTGGGAACCAGCGGTAAGTTGCTGAGAAATTCTGCCGGCCAGGCTACACGTACGTGATCACGTTCAGCTCGGCTACGACGGGATATGCATTATCGACGGAGGCGATGATCACAAAATCCTACTCCCGGACTCGCCGCTATGATTTGAGGCCATATTTTTAGTATCGCCTAAAACCGTAGCGTGTGCATCTCCCTACTCATCTCTGCTTTATCAGTGATTGCAACCTCTTTTCTGTGCAAGCTTCTCAGAATTGAAAGTCATTAGGCTCATTATGAAAGTTTTTTATGTTCAATATAAATGTTTGCGATTAGATTTACCTGCTCTGACACATCTCCTCATTGGAGGAGTCAGCCATAAGGAAAGGAAGGAAGGCTTACCTACTGAGTATACCCTATGAGACTCGCATAGTATACGGTTTGCAACCAACAATCTTCAATAAAATTTAAAAAAAACAATCTCTAGCGAACGCTCGTGCTCTAGTTTACTCCATTATGAAAGCCCGAGATAACGTGCATTTTCACATAGCAGTGAATTAATAAAAGAAACGAGTATAATCCATTGACATTATAGAATCTATATCACTGCGGAGTGTGTCGTTATAAAAATCTAAAGTGCAAAGAAGTTTTAACAATTTTATTTTGTCGCTGAATTTCACATTCTTGTAAACCATCTAACTGAATTATCTTACTGGGGTAAAATTTGCGTTTCTAGTTTTGTACCAAGCCATTATGAGAACCTGTATGTACATACAACACTTTGTTTAACAGTCTGCAGTTTGTGTAGTATAGTCGTAAATAGCACAACGAATCACGCTTTATTTTTTTTACTAAAATGAGTAGTTTATACTATTATGCTTTATGTACACGAGGCTGTATCAAAATAACAGGATCATTTACAACTTAAAGTTAATTCTTTATTTATAATAATTGTAATACGTGTACGACAGTATCTAATCTGTATCAATATATTCTTTTTATATATCATTCTATTATTCAAAATATTACAGAGACTTTGTCATCTTTCTAGAATATCGCGAATCGGTACGCTTATGAGAACACCGTATTAATACATTTTGCAAATATTCATTTCCGAGGAAATAGTATTATTTACATTGCTTAATGTCTATCGATAATATGCCATAATTTGATAAACTAAAGGTAGGTGATATTCTAGGTTCAACAAATCCAGTTACCTGGAACTTAGCGTACTCAAACACCTCTATGAGATATGTAACGAAACAGCGATGATTTCGTTGAAGAAAATTTGTAATTTAATGTCGATAATTATAAATATAAATCGCATTTATATTTATTAGCTACTCTCTGAGTATGTGAATTTATTTGTTATACTATCGATGCACATTACGACGGTCCGTATAAAAGATATTGCGTATTTTAAAAACAACCTTTTATCAATTGCACTTGATTTTGCATCATCGCAGAACAATCCATAAGTTAATTTAATAATAATTACGCCAACTGAAATATATTAACGTAAGTTTCACATTACGTTATGCTACGTCACGTCAAGTTACGTTACATATCTCTTGATGTGTATACAATTTTCGTTATAAATTCTATTTGTTTTCACAGAACGGATCAAAGTTTTCTGGGCCTTCCACGTTTCCTCAACGACGTAATTTTACTCGCTGCCTGCCTTGTGCGTCGTAGCTTTTTTTGCAAAATATTCGTCACCGATTTTACACTCGTCCTGGCCTTACTGTGCATCTTTATGTGACGAATATAAAGAGACCTTGATTTTATGAGTTTCTTGCACGTTTGGCACCGTCGTCTTTGTTGTTCTGCAAACAGCATACCAAAATTCCAATATTCAGTATATATACTGACTGTGACAGTCATTAACACTAAGTCATTTATTCACTATACTACATAAGCTTTTTAATAAAATCTATTGCAATACAGGAACGAAGTCTATTTAATAAGGAAATAGATCCATTGGACAGTGAACAGAAGGATTTCCGTATATAGGAAACACGAAAAGAACTTTCAGCTTGAACCTATAAGAAATTAAAGAATTCCGTACACCGATTGAACTGGAAACAATTTTTGATGTTGCAAGGAAGCACTGTTTGTTGTTTAGATATTTCTCAGATGCGATACTTACCAGACATTTTGGTTGCATGTTGTAAACAATGCGCCGAGAGTGATGCGGCACTGGGAAACCACCTGCCACAGTCGGTACAGCTTAATTTCTTGACATTCCAAATTCTATTAGGGCTTTGATTTTTTTTCTTTCTAGTTTTTTGCACCACTATCCGCTTCTCTTCCTCCGGCGTAGGAGGTTCCGGCAGTGGTGGAGTTTCGGGTTTAGTTTCAATAGCAATTTTAGCGGGTCTACCCTTCTTTCTCTGACTATGGTTAGTGCGCGCATGTCGTGCCAGGGCGACGACAACGTCAAATTTCTCCTGGCACACTTTACACGTATACTGCTTTTTCACCGCCTGTTTTTCGTCCACGTCATTCCCGTTACTTCTGTCTATAGCTGTCCTCGCTGCCCTTTCTTGTGTCTTGTGCGCATTTGTAGGTGATTTTGGACACACTCTAGAATGTGTGTCAAGTGCTCTTTGTTGCCTGAAGTTCCGTGAACAGTGCTCACACTGTAAGACAGCCGGTGAAGATTTTACTGGTGACACTTGAAACTCATTATCCGAATCTCCCACCATTATAACGTCGTTCTCCTTGTCGCTCGATCCTTTCTCTTTGTTAGGATCCCCTACGGCGATTTCGACCGCATCGTCCTCGATTTCCGGAGCACCTTCCTCCTCGTCAATGTCAATTTCAATCACTTCAACTGTTCTATACCTGGGTGACTTTTTTACACGTTTCGTTCTTACAGGTCGTGGATTGTAATCTGGATCGGGAAGAGGTTTCTTTTTTCGTCTTCCTCGCTTTTTATGTGTATTGTCCTCCTCGTTCAATAGGGATGCAGGTTGTATTATTATTTCGGAATCTCCACGATTTACTAGTGTCAATTGCTGTTTGCGAGATCTTTTCACCTTTGACACAGTCTGAACTGTTTCAGCGATTTTACTTTCGGATAAAGAAATCGGTGAAACTTTCTTCGAGATGGTATTATCTGTACTCGCAGTAGTTACAGATTTTCCCATGTTACTCGTTAAACTATCTTTTCCTTCGGATATATATTTTCTCCCCATTAATGAACTAGAAATGTGATTTTTTCTTGAAGATCCGTAATTACAATGAGGCCTACGTCCACTCTCTGAAGACACTGTACAGTAACTCGACGGGATTTGTGATTTACTCGACACGGAACCATTTGGAGAATTCATGAGGAACATTCCGTTTGTAGTCTTTTGGTCCGTTGCTACTTTTCCGTTTAGTGGTTTCTTTAATGACGATCGAGACTGCGACGTCTTTAGACTCCGTAGCGTCGCTTGAATCTCGTCGAAAGTTAATTCTGAATCCGACTGATCGCCTTCCAAAAGAATGTATTGTACTGTTGACTGTTCAATGATTTCATTGTCACTTTCGAAGCATTCTTGACTTTCCTCCGATCGATTCACTGCAAAAGATATAGATTTCAATTATCCAGGGCTCGATATTTTACAAAAACATTTGATTTACGGTAATGAGGTAACTTACTGATATTTTCGCCGGTATCATCCATCATTACGTATGTAATATCTGACCGTCTGTCAGAAGAATAAGTCACGTTGCATGGCTTGGTGTCTAATAAATCTGAATGCTGAGAGATTCTAGACTTTTTGTTGCAGGTACTAGATTTTTGGTTCATTTTATATAACCCCGTTATTTCGGCCATTGAAATCTCCGGGCTTTCTATTTTTTCAACTGGTTCTTGCTTAGGTAAGAATACTGGAGGATGTGTAGTTACCAATTGATTTTTCATTTGAGTTGGTTTCTTCACTGTTCTTACCGCGCCTTCCCCAATCAATCGTTCTACGTCGGCTCTATAAATTTCGCCAATGACAATTATACAGTACATAATATCGATAGAATATATCCTTAATAGAAGCATACTTTAGTAGAAATTGAAAATTCGTAGGAGGTTCCCCAGATTCATCATAAACAGCCACAGCAAATACTTCGTCAGAATCTTCTACTGCGTATAAAGCTAATTGTTGACCAGCAGAAGTTACAAATGTTGCTATTGTTTCTGCATCTTCTTCGTCAGCCTCTGGTATTTCCTCTCCGTAATGTAATGTAGCTTCTTGCCCATCATAATCAGGTTGCTATTTAATCAAAGGAATAGAACATAAGCTATTGTACTGAAATACAAAAAGAATTCCTCACTAGAGTTGAAAAACTATTTTAATTTTTTTTGTTGTAATATACATCGTTTATACGAATCTGAGATATGTAATTAATCATTTAAAGAAATCAGGAGTAGATTATTTTTGCTGCAATCTATAGAGAATTGAATGAATGTACAGAAATATATAAAATACTATATTTAATGTGTTATATAAGATTTACCATGAAAGCATCATCCGTAAAGCTATCATTCCATTCTTGCTTAATCTTTGCCTCCGTTAGCAAATGTAAGGTATCAGAAGGTTCGTGGTAATTTACAATATGCTCAGCAGCATTAACATTCTCTTCCAAATACGTATTTGATTCACTTGTAGAATCTGAATTGGTAATGTCACAAACATGTTTACCTATTTGAATACTTTCTGGTGTTACTATTTCTTCCCCAACAACCTGTTTTTATTATAAGATATAATATTATTAGAATAACAGTCAGAATATGATTTATTATAGTACTTTAAGATATTCAGAAAAAGTACCATTGTTTGTTCCATGCACTGTTCATGCTTTGGTATTAACAGAAATTCAGCTGCTGTATCACTTTCCATATAAGATTCTTTTTGGTTTACGGCTTCTTCGACAACCCTTCGATAGTCATCATTATGCACTGAGAATGACATCTTCCTTAAATATTTCGTTTATCACGCACTATATCATATTTTTCCTGGGCTGTGTGCTAATCCAATATTGCCTGAACCTAAAATACAAAGTACTCATTAAAAAACTCAAAAACCACGTGATTATTTCAGTAGGAAATAGGAAAAATATATATATTTTCTGTAAGACATTAGGTATATTGCATCTACTATATAAATAAATGTACAATAAGAAAAACGAAGAAGTGTATAAGAATGGGGTTAGAATGTGAAGAAAGAAGCAAAAGCAATTTCATAAAATGGAATCTCTGCTCCACGGCACAATTACACATTTTCAATCGAATATTGATAGGAGATATGCTGATGAAAATTGTGAAATACATACTCCTTGTCAGTAATAGCATATATTTCCAACTTTTATATGAAAATACGGCGAAAATGCAGCAATGCACAAGTTCCATAACATAACAACACAAGCAAAGATCAGTGACGTAGCGCATATCCATGTAATCCGAAAGAATGTCGATTGGTAATTTCCCATGGATCTTGCTACGAAGATTCAATCCATCTTCCGTTTTCTGAGAGATTGTAATTGCACTGCTGTGGGAATGTGCAAAGAGGAAACAATTTTATCTGATATACACAAAATGTGCGAAAAAAGTCCATGAGTATGACTATAATGTCTATATTGTGAATCCAAGTATAATAAACAAAAATTTATATCCTTACAAGTATCAATGAGTATACTGTACGCACAACATATGCAAACTTAGAATGTTGGAATTCAAACAATTTTTATTTTGTCAATTATCCAGGTCCCAATGATGATCTTCAGTCCGTTATTTGTTTCGATCAAATGAATGAAGGACAAAAAGCTTAATGATTAAGATGTTCCATATGTAATGAGGAAAATGAAAGTTTCCCTATACATAGATTCGATCTCCCTTTTTTTCATGTAGCATCAATAGTTTGTGCTCTACTATTCGGCAAAAAGTCGAGGCTGCCACGGAGTGGTTAAAGACGTGATTCGATTGGCTGTGAGAACGAGATTTGATACCTAAAATTCTTGAATCCCCGTTTTCTGATCCATAGGCGACCATAGGCGACAGTTTAGCACGTGTGTTCCAGCAAAGTGGATGCGGAATTTTATGCGAATTTTCCTCTCAGGTAATTTACGATAAATTACTTTCATTCGCACTCGATAAAAGAGGATATTGCTTTAATTTATGAAGATGTTTTAATTGAGTTTAAAATTTTGGACAGTACGTGCAACGAGGTTCTTGCCTTAAAAGGTTTCATTCAAGTTAAATATTCTATTATTACAGACTTAAAGTATTTCAAACTTCGAGAAAGTTTGATTCTTGTAGTATTTATACTCTTTTTTTTTCTTTTCTAGAGAATGTTGGAGCAGCAATTCCAAGGTATAACAGCAGTCTTAGAGATCTCTGCAAATTCTTGTACCTATTGCATCGTACATCATACTTCCTATACTTAGTAGAAACTACAGAAACACAAAACGCCTTGATAAATTTAATTCATATTATATTCCAAGGAAATTATATTTGGTAAGTTTTTGTCCATGTTAAGAATTTTGAATATTTATTTGTGCCTTATATATTGAAGCTACATAGAAGTGAAACTACAATCTGGTACTTAGGAGTCATTTCTTGGAAACTTCATTATTTTGAATTTACCTCTGTGTTAAATAGTACAGAGTGATGACATTCTTTGAATAACATATTTATAAATACCTTATATTATTCTTATACTATCTATCATCCTATATAGATATCTTATATATGCTTTGGAAAAAGTGGATCTGTAATCATTGTTTAGTATATTCATTTTTGTATTCATACGCTTGATAGTTACGATTTAAAATAATTGTATGCTTTATCTATTTATGTATATATATTGAACTGAAAGAATGGTATAACTGATTATAGAGTTTTGCATTTAACTCCCGTTAACATTCACTGCTTGTAAACATATGAGCTGTTATATTATTACGCTGTTGTATCATTTTTATGCTACAACAGCGTAATCAGATAGGTGCTGTAGACAAGCCTCACTTCTCAAAACTTTTAGTATGGATATGGACGTGTGGTAACATGACATTTGCAGTTCTTGCAAAGAAATAATTTGATAACATCAGCAATTACCTTCTAATACATTAGAAATTATTCCAATATTTATACACTTGCAGAAATTATACAGTATGTACATAAATTATAAAAGGGTTAATAATTTCGTGTTTATATAGGTAAACCTGCAATTTTTTAAAGTAAAATGGTGAAACAAGTAACGCACGAATCTCCTAGTGAGATTCAATTAATGAATTCAGCGGGTGATGCGAAATTTACGGTCAATGGAGATGACCAAAAAGTCGGAAAAGTACGAATGAAGAAACAACTTGGTTTATTGGAAGGTGTTGCAATTATCTTAGGAATAATATTTGGCTCTGGTAAGTTACTTGTCTGGTATTAGTGATTGTGCAATATAAAATGAAATGTAGATAATATGCAAATAATAATTCTTTATAGGTATCTTTGTTTCACCCAAGGGTGTTATTCAAGAAGTAGGTAGTGTAGGGTTGTCTCTAATCATATGGGTTCTTTGTGGACTTCTGTCGATGGTCGGTGCCCTTTGTTATGCTGAACTGGGTACAAGTATACCTCGCAGTGGAGGAGATTATGCTTATATTCATGAGGCATTTGGAGCGCTGCCGTCTTTTCTATATTTATGGGCTGCTAATTTAATTTTTGTGTGAGTAACAAATTAATTTTAAAAAAACAACGAAGGAATTTCATATAACAATACTATCTTGTAACGTACATTTGATTTTGTTTTTGTAGACCTACAACCAATGCTATCATGGGTTTAACTTTTGCTCAATACGTTCTCCAACCGTTCTTTCCCAATTGCCCCATACCAGATGCTGGAGTAAGACTTATTGCAGCACTTACTATTTGTAAGTATTACAAGACATACAAATCTTAATTTCCTTACCTTGAATATTGATACTATATCTGTAAACATTTTATCAGGTTTACTTACATTTGTCAATTGTTACGACGTGAAAGAAACGTCAAAAATGCAAAATGTGTTCATGTTTGCTAAAATTGCTGCTCTGGTGATAATAATTATTGCGGGATTAACGTGGTTAATGATGGGTAAGCTTCATTCCAGTAATTTACATGTCCTCAGATTTATATCGAAGTATAATCTATTTAAATGATTGAACTGAAACTTTCATCGTGAAATTGTATATATGCTAGATTTCGTCTCACAATACTTATCCTAATTAAGATTACATTACATTACATGTTACAGGACATGCGGAAAACTTTGAAAATGCGTTCGAGGGTACCACGACGGACCCGGGAAAAATTGCAGTGGCCTTCTACTCTGGTATATTTTCCTATTCTGGTTGGAATTATCTAAATTTCATGACAGAAGAGCTAAAAGATCCCTACGTGTAAGCACATGCATTAGATTATTGTCGATCTTTCCTATGTTATATAAAAACCAAACCACATCTAACAATTTTTTTTACAGGAATTTGCCTCGCGCCATATACATATCGCTACCATTGGTTACGCTGATTTACGTGTTAGCAAACATAGCTTATTTATCTGTTCTAACACCAACAGCCATGATATCATCTCATGCAATCGCTGTAGTCAGTATTAGTTTTATTCAAATTGTATACACTAAGATGTTTGGGAATTTAACCATTGTCACTACCATTGTTTTTCATCAACTGTAGACACTTGGTGATCAGTTACTTGGCGTTATGGCTTGGACGATACCTTTAATGGTAGCAGTATCGGCATTTGGTGGATTAAGCGTTCACATCATGACGTCATCGAGGATGTGTTTCGTGGGTGCTAGGAATGGACATTTTCCATCGATGCTGAGCCATATCAATGTCAGAAGACTTACTCCGACCCCTGCCTTAGTGTTCTTGGTAGGTATAATACTTGGATACATATTTCTTGTATAATTTTTATACATTCTGCTTCAATCCAATGTTTCAGTGCATTTTATCCTTAATGATGCTGTGCACAAGTGATGTTTTCGTACTTATCACCTACTGCAGTATAGTTGAATCATTTTTCATAATGCTATCGGTGGCTGGAATACTGTGGCTCAGATACAAGCAGCCAAACATGATGCGGCCTATCAAGGTAGACTATTCTACTTTTTCTTATATAAATTTAATTGAGCCACGCAGTAAAAAAATATTTTCCTAATTCTTTCGATACCTAGGTCTCACTATGGGTTCCCATAACATTCGTAGTTGTATGTGCATTCTTGGTACTGGTGCCTTGTTATGAAAGGCCTTACGAAGTGGGCATGGGTGCTGTCATTACTTTGTCAGGCATTCCTGCATATTATATGGGTGTTGTCTGGACGCAAAGACCTAGGGGGTTCCAAAACTTGAATGGTAAGTCGTCATAATTCTGATAGCTATATTTAAAATTTAACGAATATCTAAAATGGATTCCTGTTCTTTATAGTGAAAGCCACACATACGATACAAAAACTATTCATGAGTGCACGAGAGGAACGAGATGATTAGATCCATAAAATCTAATTTTTTTATCATTTATGATATTTTACAGCGAACGTTCATACAGTGGCTAGACAATAAAGTTATATATTATGATTTTTGTTTAATGCCACTGTATTGGATTTGTATTGCTTTCTTTTTTGTTAATATGTACGTTATGTTATGTTATCGCGCGAGTTGATGTGCTAATTCATAGTCATTGCTTTTGCGTCTGATCTTGCACATCTAAAGTGCACGAGTATTTGTCGTTAACGGGGATTTCGTAATCTAAAAGTGAGATCTACTTCCAACTGTAATGAAAGTTATCCCGCGTTGCTTATACCAAAATTGATTTCTGTGAAAAATAGAAGAATGTCATACATGAAAAAGTTAAGCCAAAGACCATTGATAGGTTTAAAAAAAAGATAGAATTTAAAGTGAAATTTTGGCTATGCTCAAGAAAAACTTACATGACGGACCTTGTAGGAAATTCTCCATTTACATTGATGCTTTTACCGAAAGGGTACAAAGAAGCGTTCTGTTTTTTTGTTCTGTATTGTTTCTTGCTTTATTATCTTATGGGGAACAAAATCTAGATATAATCATAAGTATAAACATTGAGAGAACTCATGAACTGACCGAATGCACTTGATCTTCTTCTTGCTCCTTGGTAGCTTTATGCCCTCACTAGAGGTCCAAGTGGCAGGAATGCATTTGATACTATTATCGTATTAAGTTGTGTGTACTTAAAATCCCAAAACACACGTGTGTTCAAAACAATGAAGTACGAAGTATGAAAAGTATGAACTTAAGTGGTTAAAGAAGTGCGAAGATTGTTTTAAATAATAAAATGCATAACGTATTATACAAAACATTATTTCCCAAGTGATTCGTTACTTATTTGGGAAAGGATGAAAATTGTAGACAATGGATATGTCATTGAATCGTATAATCTATCAAGAACAAAATTTATAGCAATATCGATACAAGTATTATTTATGAATGAGCGCAGTACGCATAAATTGTATTTGTTTGCACGATTTTGATTAATTTAAATTTTATCTTTGTTTGGTTATTATATATGTATATGCAGATAACATTACGTGAACGGATACGTGTAGAATGCGTAACAAATATGTTCAAAGGATTGAAATCTCTAAAAAAAATGAATAATATATTTTGTTTTCCTATCGATATCTTTGTATAAACGATATGTACAAAAATAGTTATTTATTAACTAAGCCTCCTATTTAGGCATAAGACTATCTCGAAAGAATTTTTTACGTCTCTCTGTCTTTTCATTGAAACCATATTTTCTTGTAATGGTCGCCTATTCCGGCTATGTAATTTATTGATTTCAGTGAACTAGAATATGTAGATATTCATTTAAGGTCGGTTGTATGTATAATGTTAATCATGTAATTGATTTTTTTGTTTTATCTGTGGTTATTTATTGTTAGGGGTTGGCTTTATATACATAACATTAATAATTTTATTGATTTTGTTTTGTCTGTGGTTATAGGTAGATGTGTTTTACAAAATATTCAGTCTCAATCTGAAATTAAAAGATTTTGTTACCCTATGCATTATATTATTATTTGATCTGTATACATTTATAATGAAAAAAATAAATTAAGTGATTTACTTTAATGATGTAATCTTTTATTCATTCAATTATGTACATATTTTATATACTTCTGGTTAATTGTAAGAGAGGAAAAACAGGTATGATGATTCATCTAACAAAACTGAATATTTAAAGAATTCGATGGGATAATCTTTGACATATAATATTTTACAATTTCCATCAACTGATTAAAAGATTTTACATTTTACAAGTTATACCAATGCCAATTTGAATATGTATTTGATACGTTCACAAATTTCATTATGCACTTTTGTTTAGGGTAGTTGCAATAAGCAAATTTTTAAGTGTGGTAAAAGTTATAAGAGTCGCTATGTGATGGAATGTTAGACTTTCTTATTTATATTCACAGGAATAGTTTGTGTAACGTGGACCTATTGGTTACTCTAATAAATTATACATGGGTCCGTAAATACTTTTAGTATACAATACTCTCATTACCAATTCAGTGTGTGCTGAAATATTGTACATTAATGAATATCTTCCGGATTGAACATACCCTGAAAAATAAATTATTTGTGTGACTAAGGAGTAAAAATAACTGCATAAAATAGTATAAAGGTTGAGCCGTGGTAACATTCTGATCAAGATGATGTCCATGGATGCTTACCCTTGCACGCCGCAAAATCGAGTCTTTGCTCGCATCATATGGATGGTCTTTGCTTGGAATCTCTAGGACAGATGGAATAGGCTGAGTGTGACTGTCAATGACATGACGAATCATTTCAGCAATCTGTGGCACAACAAAAATAGTTTTATGACTGTAAATTGATTTAATTAGTCTCATTAGTTCATGTCTTTCATCAATCTTCCAGCTTACATTTTGATTTATGAGTATGATATCAATATCATCTCGCTTGATGAAACGTTTGAAAGTATCTTCAATTTCACTAACTGCAGTGTCTGTAATAAATATAAGAAAAACATATAGAAAGTATACTTTTATCTGCTTCGCATGATTAGAAGTAATATTTATACATTGACAGCTTCCAAAAAAAATACAACCTTATAATTTCCCATGCATTTTCATAACAATATAACAGCGGTATTGCTATGGCATTATGTATGTGAGTAGAAAATGACGACTAACTTGCATGTAATATCGTATATGCTCTTGCATGTAATATCGTATATGCTAGGTCACTATAAAAGTTTCGATTTTTTGGAGCAACTATATTCAAGTATTACATAAAGTAGGTAACATACTCTTATCAACCACCATAAAATTGGATTGACGGTTCTTATTGATTTCACCAACACCTCCCAGCAGGAATCCCACGCAAGTATCCTGTAAAACATTAATAATTTCGTTTATAATGTTCCAAGTAATATGACATATATCAAAATAGTTAATTAAACATTGTATACCTCGTCACCAATAACGGCAAGAAGTTTTCCTTTTCCTGCAGAATGAAGCGCCATCGTTAATCAACTATTGTTTTTAAGTGAAAATCAAGATTTTCCTGGAGTGAAGGGAATAACAATTCCCAAGCCGATCCCGTAAGCCTTGCAAGAATCAGCTGACTGATCGTCACACCTACTTCGTTAGGCTGCGTTCATACGATGCAAATTTAATCATTGATGGAAATTTCAATCCAGATAGTTAACTTAGTAGCGATTCATATAATGTACATTTACTTTACCGACTTCTCGACAGAAGAGATTATTTCTATCTCCTGCCGACAAAGTCTTGCGCCACATAGCGAAATACGCTAGGAACGTGTTTAAAGAATATTCTTGCGCAAGCATTATTTCGCAATTTTTTAAATATGAACAAGAAATGTGATACTCCATGAATTCCAATTAAAAGTTAAATACCAATAGTTTCACCAGTTGAGAGACCTGTAACTGTACAAAATAAAGAAATAAAAAAGTTTGTTACTCTCAAGATTGTAACCGCCATCCTCTTGCATCCTTTTCTTCGTGTCTTCCCTGGTTGTCATCTCCGTGATATTATCCAAAACAGTAAAATTTTCTAAGGTGTCGCGCACTAACGAGAAAGAAAGCTAGCGATTTAAAAGCTCTATTTAACTGTGCAATTCAACGCCCCGAGAGATATTTTCTCTAACTGTGACCGTTCGTTGCGTAAAACTGTCTAACGCCGGAGAGTAAGTATTTTTGGTCGTACCATCTCCGTATACGCGTAGGCGATAACCATTTCACTAATGATCGAGCTAAACAAAACAATTAGTATTCGCCGTTCTCGTACTTATTGAACATTTGACAGTATATGTATCTTTTCTTATCAATTTTTATTTCATAGAACTACCATGCAGATTCGCACGATTACATTTAACTATATTACAAATGATCACTAAGAGACTTATAATTGAAATCTCAATAGCGCGATGTCTACTTTTTATATTCAAATTACTCCATATCTCTGTTAGGGTCTGACCATGAATGTGTTTAGGTCACATTAATTTAATGTTGTTAGAAGACAAAATATAGGGCACGATGTACTTAAAAACTCGTTTACTTAACATAACTATTCTATAGCTCTCAATGAAACGGTAATCTCCTAAATAGAAAAACAAATGTGTAAATGTTATAAATGTATCAAAAACATATTGTTTCCTTGGTTCGAATTACAGCAGCATAGTTTGCTATTATTTTTTAATAGGACAGTTTATACTTTTTGGCAAAATCCCAATGAGGTCTCAATATATTAAGCTGTTGGCAAGACTTTAGAACCAACTGTGAAATGAAATTCTGAAAATTTATCCATTTACAAGTAGCATTATTACTCTTTGATTATGTGATTTTAATATTTTAAATAATCAATTATAATGATCTAATTGTATGTTTAACAGGGAACGAAATCGGGCCAGCATGCCAGAGCCTGTGAATTACCAGGTTAATGCGGCTCGTAAAACGTTCCAAACATTACATCAAATTTCTAAATTGCTGAACACCAACTTGGATGCTGCTACTCTTAGCATTTGTGTAAGGCTATGCGAAAATGGAGTAAATCCACATGCTCTTGCGAGTGTTGTCAAAGAGTTGCAAAGAGAAGTTAACGCAATGCACAATGCACAGACAGATTCCGGAACTAGTAAAACAAGTTTAACTAAATAAAGCACATTGATAATTTGATATTATGTAACTTGAAGCACAATAAAATTTATTTGTAAACTATTGTATTTCATTTAACTTTATGAAATTATTGAGCTCAGGAAATAGATATTAGCTGCTAACAATTGTTGAATAGCTTGGTTCATGTAAACCATTTATTCGTTATTTAAATATTCAAATATTTTAACATTAGGTTGGGACATATGACTTTATTCATTCTTGATTAAATGTCATTAGTGCATATTGTAGAAAATGATTTATATGAAACAAACAAAAATCATATACAACCAAAATGTTTCATTCATTTTTCTGATATAAAAGGAACTAGTATATGTATATTATTATAAAGTAAATTTTTTCGGAGAATATTACAGAAACATTTTCTTTAATAAATTTACAATTCAGATTTCTTTTTATTTTTTTTCTTAGGTTTAGTGTTTAGTACATTTTGTGCTCCAGTGTCGGCTGTCTTCTAGAATATATTGAACAATAAATTATACCATTTTGTATCACTTAAGATTCCATTAACTTTATATATTTTACTTACTGCTTTGGAATTTTTGCCATGATACATTTGACCTTCTAAAGTAATATGTGATAATTCAGGTTGTTCTATCAAATAATTTTTAGCATCAATGGCTTGCGAGCCTTCCGGGAATAAGTACACAGACCTCTTTTTATCAATAGGATACCTACAATTATCACAAAGCACACATTTCAACTGTTTGTGACAGATGAATAAATAAACAAATATAATACAAGTTCTACCTTTCTGCTATGATGTGATTATTATGGAGACTGCTCTGCCATATTTTCATTACAACGTCAGCTTCTTCCTCTGAAAGCTCTTCTAAGACATCAACAAACATCATTACACCCTTTCCTTTTTTGGTCATTTTTAACACATTATCAGGATTTGACATATCTATCTGCAAAGAATGTACTATACTATTTTAAAAATATAGTTTATTTATGTTACGCATGTAGTACCACACTGACCTGTGATAAATCTATCTTAGGACTTGGTCTAAGATGTTCTGGAAGTTCATCTGGTTCTAGGGGTTCATCGTCTTTCTATAATTAAATGTTATAATAGTAACTTCTACTTTCTGCACTTTTTAAATAAAATTATAAGCTATTTCGAAATTGAGACATTGTTTATCAAATATCTCTTTCTACCTCCCATTCTTCCAATAAGTGTTCCAAATCTGCATCGTTCATATCAGTTATATCCTTGTCACGCCATGATTTCTGTGTTGTCGCTGTAGATTCATTTATGAAATTTGTATTTAACAACAAAAAGATGCTTAAAAAAATCATGAACGTCTTCATTTTTTAACACGAAACCGATTATTTTTAAGGTTAGAATGCTAACACTAGGGATTTTATTCTGGACGATGATGTATCAACGAAATGATGATCAATAGGTTTGTCTGGACAGAGATGAAGAGGGAGATGCACAACGCTACGGTTTTAGGCGATACGAAAAACATAGCGCTGAAACGCAGCGGCGAGTCTGGAAGCAGAGTTTAGTGACCATTGCCTCCGGCGATAATGCGGATCCCGTCGTAGCTGAGTTCATCAAAATCACGAACGTGTACTTAGCTTGGCAGATAGAGGCTCTCCGCTACTTATCGCTGGTTACCAAAGCAACACTTAGAACGAGGAAGCTTATCGGATATAGCCTTAACATTTTTTCTTTGCAATCCTAAATTTGAGTGCACACTGTAAGCACGGTAAGTATAATATGACAAGAGCCAGCAACTCATGCTTGCCTGCACTGAAGTGTATGATGCCACCAGTACATTTAATAGATATATTATCGATGTTGCGTAGCAGAACTGTTGTTAAAACCTACCAGGAACTATAGAACTCCTTGAGAACTATTGAAGCGTACTGTTGAAACATTTTTAAGAAATTGCAAACGATGGAGCGCAGTGGTGATGTACTAGAGACTATACTCTTTCGAATGAGATAGTCATAGTATGTGTGCGAATGACTATCGCAAATATACATTTTGCAAAATAATATTGTAAGCCCATCCATATATCAGCGTATACATCTAGAATAGTTGGATACAGTGTATTGCGCCAAGTAATTTATATAAAGATTAAATAATAAGCTAGCGTAAGTTAGCTTATATAAACTGCAACATATCTTTCTTACTCGACACCGATAGCGAAAAATTCGAGAACCAACCTACGTTACCTTCGGCCGCCCACTCTTCGCTTATGCATCCGCAAGCCAGGCGGGCGCCAGCCAATTCTTTTTTCACCGGGAACTGACGAGCCGGTATGAATTAGGAGTTGGGGCGGAACAGGCCCAACTCCGCCAGAACGAGAGCTCTGACGGAACCTATCAAAAAGACGATAACTTAACGGATCCTATAGGTTTTCGGGGACGCGTAAAATCGAGAAACGCAACCGTAGGTGCTGATCTTTGGGGTCGCGTAAAATCAGCAAACGCAACTGAATGCACGAACGGGAGCGGACGGTTACGGAAATGCACGGCCGCTCAGACTGCTAGGTCGAGGTAGAGAGAGTCAAAGTAAGAGTCAGGCAAATAGTGTGAAAGACAGAGAGCGACGACTCGAGAACGTAAAAGAACGAATCGGACCTATCAAATCGAAATCCCTTCACCAATTAATAAATTGGGAGTACTCACCGGAGCTGGTGCAGCTGATCCGTGAAGGCCGAGAACTGCATCCACAAGACACTCGGGTGGGCACTGCACTGGGGCACGGCACTGCACTTCCGGAACACTCACAGGAAATCCATAGAATTTCCTGGATATCGCGAGAGCAACGCGAGAACAACACGAGCGAGAAATTGCTATACCGTATCGAAACACGGCTAAAAAACTATCAACAGACAGCACGGGAGCGCGAAGCAGCTCGTGACATCTCGGTCGGTGCCCCGAGACAGACTGCATCAACAATAGCCAAATTCGAGAACTAATCATTCTGATCATCTGATTGGTCGAGATCCTTATAGCCGATAACTCTTCCACCTCCCTCGAGTCGTCCCTTTAAACCAAATCAAGAGCATTCCTTAGCGGATCGGTACGTCCGATTGCTTCCCCAGGGCATCGGATGACAGCTGGGCACTACTCCTTAACTCGGGTCTGGGGGTTCCTTGCCTTCCCTTAACCGTATCAAAACTCTATCTCCGCCAACTATACAGCTCTTTGCCCATCTCCAGCGCCGATATTTCACCCGCACTTCTGCCGGTCCGTGGAGACTCAAAGGGGACCAGAAAGCGAGAACGTTATCTGTATCGGTAGCCGGAGTCGCCTTGTGACCGGGAATCGAAAAATCACGTCACTAAGCTTGCACGTCTAGAATAATTATATGCAGTGTGCTGCACTAAGTATTTCATATAAATTTTAAATAATAAAGGGCATTTATGGTAGCCATAATAATTGATAAGGAGAAGACAGATAAGGGTAGGGATAAGCGCATGAGACTGCTATGAGCTTAATTAATGTCCCAGTGACCCTGGTGGTGTTTTAATTAATAAAAATTGCTCACGACTGCCACCTCAATTTTTGGAAAATACGTATCTTAATGGTGTTACGTAGCAGAACTATTGTTAAAATCTATCAGGAATTATAGAACTCCTCTAGAACTATTGAAATAGTTAATTGATGAAACATTGTTCAAAAATTGAGATGCTATACGAGTGTCAGCTCCAGCACCGTACTTTTTTAAAATCTCTTAAAAATGTTTCAACAATAGGCTTTTTCAATAGTTCTCGAGGAGTTCTATAGTTCCTGATAGGTTTTAACAATAGTTCTGCTACGTAACATCGGTAAAATACCTATTAAGGATACTAGTCGCACCATATGCTTCAGCGCAGGTATGCATAAGGAGCTGGCTTTCAGTGTTGTTTTCAGATTGTCCTTCAAACAGTTCCGAAATAGTTCTCTCTAGTACGCAATGTTGGGACCATAGGTCCGCTTGCAACTATTGTTAAATAATGATGGAAGCTAGCACCGCATCGCTGCACTCCTTAACACAGGTAGGCATGAGGTGCTGGCTTTTATCTTAGTAAATCTTATCGAGCTTACACTGTGCACTCGAATTTAAGATTGCAAAAAAAATATTTAGACAATATCTGATGAGCGGTCTCGTTCTAAGGGTTGCTCTGGGAACCAGCGGAAAGTTGCGGAGAACTTCTGCTGGCCAGGCTACATGTTCGTGATCACATTCAGCTCGGCTACGATGGGATATGCATTATCAACGGAGGCGATGATCACAAAATCTTACTCCCGGACTCACCGCTCCGATTTAGCGCCATGTTTTTGGTTTCGTCTAAAACCGTAGCGTTGTGCATCTCCCTACTCGTCACTGGTCTAGAATGATCACTGTTGGGAGGATTGAAAAGTAGCTGTTCATTTCCCTAGAACCATTAAGCAATCTGTTGCATCGATTGAGCTAAACACTTTTAGAAACGTACTGTTGTTGAAATTGCTAGCATATACAATTATTATAAATTTCATTAAAAAACGCAAAAAACCGTTTAAACGAATCACATAATTCGATATTTTAAATTGATAACCTCAGATATTAGTATAGACAACCATGGGTGGTTTCCAATTACTCAACTTGTGCCAATACAATGTCCTGCTATTCGCTAGCTCCAGCAGAATATTTTTGAAATCACCAATGATATAGTTTTGTGTTTACTCAAATAGACTGAAGTATACACACGTTACGCATTGTAAAGCACCCCATACGATAACATATGACGGAAATGAGAAATAGAAACATGCTGAAATAACGTCAGTCGTCGTCACAAGAAGAAGATTAGTAGAGTACGACGTTTGATATTATTTATAAGGTATACAAATATTTCCTCTTGCGAGACTGGAGATACGTCTTCATTATGAAATTTTAAGAAGATTATTGCAGCTATGATATAGGGGTATGGAATGGTGATAAAATTAAAATTACATACTTACATAATGAAAGATATACATATTTGTTATTGTTATGTATTGTGACAGCAAGTATTTTTATATTTACGTTACCACGCATATGATACAAAGTATAATTGTTTTGCAACTGAGGACTGAAACTTTCTCTGACGTTTTCTTGTCTTTTTCAGTAAAAAATGATATGCTGCATCTATTAACGTTGACCAGAAAATTGTCTCAAACTATTGTATACTTTGTCATTGGAATACAACATGTCTGCTATGTCTTACAATCCACAAAGCATGCCGAGCATGCAGGAGATATCCGATTTGGCGAGACTGTTACGTCAAAATGGTGATAAAGTACTAAGTGCTACAAGCAAGCTGTCTTTATCAACTACATTGCTCAATGACCTCAACGAAGCATTTTCTCTAATTGTTGATGAGAGCGAAGATTTGGAGTGTTCTTTTCAAGTTTGTAATAGCTCCAAAATAGATATATTTAGAGATCTTAAATTTTTACATGACTTTGTGCAAAAAACAATTGGTTTGAAAGTTACACACAATTCTAATGACGCTAAAGTTAGCATCGATATTAGAAAATTTCGGCACTTGAAATACTTGGAGTTACATAAAGTGTGTATTGAACTAGTAAGAGGAATACAAGGTATTAGGGGACAGTTGGAAAGTGTTGTTTGTGCTGGTGGAAGAGGTGTTGGATCAATTGGAAGACTGTTAGGTATTTAAAAAAAGTATATTTTTGTATATTAGTTTGTTTAAGTCCCTTAAGGTTCCAATGGATTACATTACGCTGGATGAAATATTCATTTACAGCTGCTTGTGGAGGTGATGCTGGTGTTGGCTTTGTCTGGGCCTCTTTGCAGCATTTGGCATTGCCATACAATGCTCTCGCACGTTTAGATAAATCGCTCGAACTTGCTCCATGGCTTCAAACGTTAGATTTAAGTCATAATTTGATATCAACGGCAACGGAACTTAATTGCCTGCCGAGTCTTAAGAATATTAATCTTGGTTTCAACAAGTTGGAGGCAGTACCGATATTCAATAAAGCATCATTTCAAACCCTGCAGATATTGATATTGAAAAACAATTATATAGATAATTTGAATGGTCGGTTTGTATTACATTTGGCAAAACGTAGCTTTTACATGATGTTTGTTTTTAAAATGCAAAATTACTTTTACAGGTTTACATGGATTGGAATGTCTTACTGAATTAGATTTGTCATACAATTGTTTAACAGAGCATTCTGTGCTATGGCCATTAGAAACCATGTCCGCACTCTTGTGGGTGGCGTTGGATGGAAATCCATTGTCCTATCATCCCAGACATAGAATACTCACTATAAGACGCTTACATCCTAGTTTGAGTGATCGGAAGGTGAGACATGCTTACTACAAAATGTACATTATGAACAATATACTCACAATGAATTGTATTGGTGAACAATACAATTTGAACAAATCCAACGTTTATTATGGCATTGATATTGTTTCAGTTTGTGCTGGATAATTTACCGTTTTCAAAGTCGGAAAGGCAATTGGTATCACAAAATAGAATGTTTGCAATTAGATCTGTTCGTTCTGTATCCAGAGATGATTTGGCTTCTTTGTCGGGTTCAGTAACTTCGGATGTCACATCTGCGTCGGTAGAGACGTCCATTATTAATGCATCTATGACGGAAAGTCAATCATCAGAATTAATGAAGAGTGTAGAAAAAAGTGTAATGAGAAGCAGGAGAAAGAGGAACGTAAAAGAAGCTGTGATTGCTGAGTTTAAAACAATAGAAAGTTCTACACCAATTTCTAGTATAGGTAATTATTAAAGTATAATTCTTTTTTCCGTAAATCCTTTAAAGATGTTTTACTTTTATTTAGAAACTTTGACTGATCATTTGGAGATCAAAAAGCAAATTTTGGCACTTCGTGAAAAATTTGGTGAAAATGACTGGTTAACTAGTCATGCTGGCACTTTTGTCCAAGACATCATGGGTCTCGAGCGCAGTCCTCGTCCCATGCTTACTAGTACTTTTCCAAAAACTCCTGCGAGTACTCCAGTAAATGCTTCAGCATTCGTGTCTCCGACACACCTGTCAGATTCATTGAATTTATTAAATAGTCCGACTCCTAAGGATTTAATTGGAGACACATTTGGTAGTGGAGATAATCAATTCAGTGAACACAAGGTAAACGATGTCAGTAACAATAAAGAGAACAATAATGATAGTGAGATACAGGAGGACAGTAATAGGGACGAAACCATCGACGAAATCCCAGACATATCTCCAAAAGAAGTAGAAAACAATTATGATCCTGAGGAGGGTAAGATATTTTTAATTTTATAACAATATTCATAGGTTCGCTTGCAATGAATTAACGAATTCAGTTCCCTATAGTTTTCGCTGGAATCCCATTATTATTGATTAAGACCAATATTTCGTATTCCTTATATCTTATTATTTTTATTGTACACGGAGTTCGGGACATTTATCCTTTAGCTCGTCTTCTGTTTTGAACTTTTAGAAATAGGAGATTTGTATTTGGTTCAGAAGAAAAAAAATACACATGAAAGAGAGGAATTGTTTCTTGTTATTAATCCAGAGTAAGTTTTTCTTTATAAATAGTTCTCTTGCTTTTGAATAGACTTGTTTAGCATACTAAAGAATATGTTTTTAAAAATTGTGTAGCTATATCAAGGAACGAGATTCTATGACGAGAGAAGTAAAGCAACGATGGGCAATGAATACTGTATTGTCTTGTGATATGGGCGGAGGGCAAGAAACGAGTGTTGACATTGTTTTTGATACGACACGAAAGGATCGACAAAATAGGACATACTATTTAGAACTCGAAGACGCCAAGGTATTTTACAAAAGCAAATTAATATTGACACAGAAACAGCATTGATTATGTAATATAAACATTGTATTAACGTGACAAATTTTTTGTAGAAAATCGTTCAAACTCTTGGTGAAACTATAAGATTACGACCAATAATGTTAAAAGTTTTTCAATGCATCAAATGTTCTACACATTTCTCACAAGACGATGACAATTGTCTCATAACTATAACCTCTAGTGAGTAATATTTTCTGAACAATATTCTGTGTAAGCAACTTTCTCTGGCCTGCGAACGATCATTAATTATATTTAACAGGTAATAAAGCACCGAAGTGTCCTACTTGCCAAAGTACTTTGGTTATACAAACGGATGAACTGACGACACCTGATGCGAGAAGCGCAGAAAATTTTGAAGGAAAAATAAAAGCTGGTCAACAGAAAGATCAATCTTTGAATGTTCCTGCAGCTACAGATCTACAGCATTCTGAGTCACACTCGAGTATCGGTAAGTTTGAACTGTACAAAAATGTCGCATTTACGAAAACAAATCTGTAAAAGGAATGCAGAAAAGTCGTAGAGATAATATTTTTCTAACGTAAATTGTTACTAATGTTCTTTTATAAATATACATTGAGTGTTTTTATCTGCAGTTAGGATGCAACTAAATCGCTAAGTCCTGTTTTTCTTTATAGAGCAAATGGGCATTTAGTTACTTGTTTTTAAACCTTAAAAAGTAAGAACTAATTCAAAATCAAAAACAAATGTGGAAATACGTGTTTCGGTCTTTGATAGGTTCAAGGCTTCCTTATTCTATTTCTTTTTCGGAAGATGTCAGGCTGTCATAACATGTTTTTTAGTTTCTAGCATTCATTAGAAGAACGTCTAGCATCGCTTTTTTGCTCAAGGTCCTAAATTCGAGAAAAAATCTTCAAAACCCACATTTTGCCCTCTTTCTTGTGGTTAGAGAACGGTTTGGGATATACGAAATATATTCGCAGGTGTTCTTCAAATAAATTCTTGGAAAACTTTCATTTCAAATGCCTGTTCAATTCTATAAAGAAATGTCGGATTTAGTGATATAAGCTACGTCTCTCCTTAACCCAGAAATGGTAGCGCGATTTTGTTCTGTAGTAAAAAAAATTATTGAGATGGAATGTCTCAGACAGCCTACGTGCCTACTTCTGGTACGAAAGCCATCCCAGGTGACTCGTACGGAGCCGTAAGATTGTAAAATTTAACGTCTCATTATGTAATTTTTTACGAGAAATGAATTTGGCCAATCAGGGAAGTGGTTTTCTGAGTTTTCCGACAAGGACGACTACTTCGTCATCATTTGGAAAAGCTCCTAAAGGGTGAATAGAATAGACTATTTAAATATGTGAGTTATCACACGGATGACGTTGGAAGCAAGAAACCTTCACAACCAAAAATCTCGTGATTGGTTATACGAAAGTAATTTTCAGTGATGTGGTGTAAAGGTCAAAGTTATAAAATTTTCCCTGCGTGCTCCTTTTTTTTTAATTTCCACTGGTGCTTCTGTGCAATAGTGCGATAAGTTTTGGATAGGGAACAGCAAAGAGATTGTCGAGTCGCCATCACAGATGTTTTTTATGGAAGGCTTCACTGTTGTGTAATAAATTAACTGACAGTATTTTTTGTAAAGAGATTTTTGGGTACGAAATTTCCGAACTTCCAGTCTCGCTCGTGTAAGAACTCACCTATTCAAATAACCTCTTCCATTTCCCTTACCCCTAGAACTGTATACCTTCCTGACTGTCTCGAGAGTTGTATGTACAGTGGGGCGCGCGCTTTCTGTTGCAGTTAAAAGATTTCCATGTCCATCAATTTCTTCGTTAAGCTATAAAAGAAAAATTGATTTATATTTATTGCAATTGGATGCATTTAAAGTAGTGTAAAATGCTTGCCAAGCATCGATAAGAAATACTCTATACCATACAGGGAGCTTTCTTACTGATTTCAGTTGAAAATTTTCGATAAAAAATTCCCTAGCATACTTATCCTCGTACTCCTAATACAGTTCTAGGGTTATTAAGTCGCGTCACGGGCCCAGTCAGACTCCCCGAATGCATCTTACGATGCTAACTTGTACAGCAGTTCAATTGAGATCTGCACACAGCAATTTCTGCTATTATTCAGCAAGTCTTAAATGATTGATTAATAAATCCAAGAACCATACAATTTGATTAACGAATTGTACTACTAAAAAAATTTGGATATCAATCGGACTATTGAATGCATTAAATAGTTTCACAGAGCCAAGTAAATTAACATTCCAGTAAACAAACCAGCTTTCTGCTTTCGGTGAGTCCTACTGGACATTAAAGATTAATCCGTTCCACTGTATTTACATATATCATTATCTACGTACACGGAATAACAAATGTCTGTGAATTTTACTTCGTCTGTTATGCTGATACATTTACGTTACGGGATGTCATATAAATTTGTTTTAAATATTCATTTGTAAAGACGTACTGTGCTATCGGGACATCAGGATAAATAATATTAGTTTCATCTTATTTTCTGTTGACCCATTCGCATACCATTCATTCGCACTTCCTCTCTCGTACGCAATATTAATTTTATTCAATGTGTATAGTCTGTCCATGCTTTTAATGTGTTTTTTTGACAGATTGAAAACAATGAAGTCTCTAGCAAGGCCTTCGTGTCACTGCATAAAATGTTTTTTTTTATATAGTATGCATATGCATGATTTTACGCTAAATACGTTTAATTCTTCTACTTACGTTATTTCATGGGAAACCACGTGTCATTTGGTTAGAACTGGTTTCCTTGCACTGTCAAAAAAAAAAAAACACCGAACTCGTGAACCGACTATAATAAATCATTATTGACTAATCATTTAATTTCGTAACCATTGATAGCAATATGAATGTTATAATATACAAAAATGTACGCAAATGGGTTAATTCCACAGTACATGTCAATGGGGTAAATCCAACAGTAAATGAACACCTTAAGAAACTCCTCCAGTGAATGGACACCCTCACTGGAGGGAAACGTCAAAAACACTATATATAGATTTAATTTACGTGACGCGTCCATTTGCTGGGGCCCGTCCATTAACTGACGGAGTCACCCTAATTGCATTCGAGCATCGATTTGTATCGTACCTAGTGTAGTATAATACCATGGAAACACCAATTACTGGTGTACTTTTATTTTTCGCCTTCGCAGAGCGAAACAGTGCGACGGGCTTGCATTTTCGCGTAAGACTCATCCGAGTAGAGGTGAATGTGGGAAGTAAGCGAATGTGCGAGTTTTTCCAAGGATATGAAGTTTTCTCAGAACTGTCTTGTCGATTGAGTGTCAATGCGTTTTATCGTTGATTGGAACTATAACATACTAATCCCCGGTGCAGGTGAAACGGAGGGTGGAGCTATATCCGTCACCACTTCTCCGGTGCACTTCGACTCTCACTTCCAAGCCCAAGTCTGCTGTAAGCTTCAGTCACAATAATTCATATCACAGCACACTTTACACTCTTAGATCTTATTCGCTCTTTCCAATATTTATATGCTTTGCAGTTATAATATATATACATATATTGTTGTGCACTTTGTACATATTATGTATATATATAATACAAATGCGTCTTGACAGACTTTTTAAGCAATACAATATCTTAAACCTAGACGGCATTAATTCTATATCGGCATTAATTCAAATAACCGTCAACATTGTTCACATTGAATTCTTGGCAAGTCCTCATGTACGTTTGTGTCTCACGCTGCAAAATTTTCTATACAAGTTCTAAGCAGCCGTATTTTAAATTCAATCGCAGAGCGTCTCTTGTCACTCGAAATAATCGAAGAAATATTTTTAATACATTTCTTTGACAAAAACGGCGTTTTTTAAAACTTTACTTCGTTCTACTCTTTCTTCTTAAAACACGCTTTTCTTTTTTGTTCATTAAAACGTATTTTATGATTTCAAGTAGTACGTCACTCTATGCTTTTAGATCGTATCGTTTGTCTTTGTAAAAAAAATTGTTCTTTTTTTTTTTGGAATCGTGATAGGGAGTAGGTTCAAAAACATTGATTCATGATCGCTACACCTTCAATCGGTCGGTGACGATGTATTCGTAATTGAAAATCTGTTGCCTTTCGGTATAAACAGGTTCGGCAACCAGTCTGGACGAATCCAGGGAATCTACTCCTTCAGCCAGTACTGTGGCTAAGAAATATGAAAGCGATATCGAGGTCCTTAGCAATCCGAGCCAAAGTAGCATCGAAGTTTTGGATGAAGGTTCAAAGTTAGTACCGTTAGAAATAACGTATTTATATTTTATTTTGAGTTTTGTATCACTTTTTGTTTTATATGAAAGTGACAATGCATCTAATCGTTATATAAGTCAGTCGTACCATTAACAAGTGAATTCTACTTTTGAAATGTACGTGTAGGGCAAACGTGACACCAAGTAGGAAACGCTCGTCGGAGGAGAGGCGCATTGCCGTTGCTCCGTCCCTTTTAACAATTCCTGACACAGCTCCTATTATGACGGGTTTAACAGAAAGTAGTTCATCAGGTTTGCATAAACAAATAAAATTCATTGTTATATCATGTGAGAATTCTATTCTCGAGTTTGACATTTATTATTAATTTTATTACTTTTGTAGGTTCATTGACTGACAGCGTGTGCACTGCTTACGAGAATAAAACTAACAAACAAGTTGAGACCAGCGAGAAGTCTCAGAGTAAAAGCAATAACGAAGCCGAATTGTCTGATACTATTGTGACAGAGAAAGATACAGTAATTACACCAGTGTCAAATCTTACCTCGATGTTAGGAGGTAAATTCACTTTTCTTCTGAAAATTAATAATTATATAGTATGTCAGAAATATGCTGTCATTAATCTAAATCCTTTCATCAGGATTACTTCAAAGTATGAAAATTGGTACAAACAAGTGTTCACCGCCAAAGGAAGAGGAGGAACCGGAATTTTTAAGAAATGGCGTTCAGTACTCTTACACAGACTTCAGTAGCGTTGACCATAGAGTGAAGCTTCATATTATTTTAAACGTTTTTGAACACGAATATGAAGATATTGTTCTTGTTCTTCGTGTAAGTTCACTTAGCTGTTTAACTGTCTTTATTTTGCTGTAAGTTTACATGTTTTTACTTTTTATTGTGCAGGCGGAAATATTGATGAAGAATATGGCTGGATCTTTTCCAGGATGTTTAGTTATGTCTACATCGAAAATTTATGTATTAAGAATTACTGGGCCTGAGGGGTATGACTAAGAAAAGACTTTGTAGACTTTATTATTGACTTGTGCACTGTTCATCAAAACTATAATATATATTTTTGTACAGGGAGAACCCGCAAAGATGGTTACAAAAGGAAGTCGCATGGACAGTGGACAGGTTGCGTAGTTTTGCACCTTTGCCTTTCAAGCAGGGAGTTTTGGTTGAATTGGAACAACCAATGAAACTTGGCGAGGAATCTTCCAACACAACCCTTTTGTGTGTTCTACAGGATTTCCAAAGAACGTCGAATTTATTATTTTATCTCAATGGTGCGTTCTTTATATCAGATTGCTTTAAATTTTAAAACGTTATATTATTTATAATTCATCCTAATCGCAGACCTACGGTTGCTGGATAGTTGCGAGGTAGAGTTTTCTGTGCCCGAGCATTGTAGTTCGCTAATGCACAACTTAATAAAGTCTTCCAAACACTATCGAGAGAATGATAGCATCAGATTGCTCGCCATGTTCTCATTTGCAACATTAAGATTTGAGAATCGCAATGTGAAACTCAAGATGTCAGGCTTGGTGATAACTTCATCGGCATTAGTAATAATCGAAGACAAAATGCACTGGTTGATGCCAGGAAATCCCGAAATACCAGCTATAATGACAGAACAGCACATGAGTAATTTAATAGAAGTGGTAGGTCATCACTTGGTAATTAAGAACTTTAGAAAATAGAAAATGTTAAAACTACGTTCTTTATTAATATTCATGGTGCTATTTTTAGACACACGAAGGTACCTCTCTTACCCTGAGCTTCTTGGATGAAGTTGCAATGGCTGAAGAAACGTGGATCTTGGAATTTGTCTCGAATGGAGCTGCTGAAGCAGTGATAAGTTCTATTCAGTCACCGTGGGAAGCATTGTTTTCTGTACCTTTGCAAGTTACTACCAAAACAACAGAAGAGAATGTTAAGGCATAACGAATTGCAGCACAATACGCTTCAATCCCCTTGCAGCTCTATTTGTTTCTATAATCAAGAGAATTTCATTATTGACGGAATTGTGATACCTGATTATCTGTTAATTATTAGTTTTTTATCTCTGTTATCGTAGGATCATAACTATATTTAATACGAGATTCAAGCGTTATTGCACATCTTTCGTAGGATACGAATAGCGATTGCTTACACGTGTTTAATACAGATACACCGATTACCGCATTGCCAAGAAATTACGTCATTCACAACATAAACGATGTAGAATTCGTCCTCGCTGTTTTCCTATCCTCGAAGTTAGTATACTGTATCGGATATTCTAATAGATTATATTTATTATATTTTGATAATTTAGGTAGATAAAAAGTAAGTTTTCGTATAAGAGTCGATGTGTAAGAATTAAAGATATATAGAGGAGGTGACTAAGAAGGGTAGTCTGACTCTGATTCATTTACAAGATTATGATAGAAAATTAATAAGTTTGTGCTCTCGTTTTTTTTTCCTAGTAAAAATAAAAATCTTGACTTACAGAAAATAGTTTCGTACGATGCAACATATATAGAAGGAGAATCACATGACGATAACATGATTTTTATAATCTACACGAACAACGTAGAATATTCACATTAATTATCGATAATCAATTATCAATATCGGACTGTGATATGTAAATATTACCGAGATTAAATTTCTGTAAATAATAATATTAATGGCTTTTAACCAATAAAACAATGTAATTCACATTTTCGATAACTTCTTTTGTAATGCGCGACGAGGAGGTGACTCTTTTTTATACGACAAAAGTACTACTAACGAGAGATTGTTATCATTAATTCTGCCGCACTCGTTATAGCCTATTTATAATCACTAATTATACAAAATATTATATTATATTACGGTGCTATCGTACATTAATATTGAATGATTAAATAAATATTTGTACATCAATACCATTACTAAGATCCTTTTACGCCCGATAATCATAACATCCTACATCCTCATACAATACAAATAGATCACATCCAACTTACTATTAAGTCAAGTCAAAGGCACTGTTTCATTGACGTAATAGTTAAAATGTAATGGGCGATCGGCATCATTGGGTAATCTAATGTACGCCTCTTTAACACATCCGTACGTCTGCTTACGTACCAAACCAATATTTGCATATAAGTCTTACGAGAAACTATTTATACAAGCTGTATATCATAAACGTGAATTGAAATTACAAACCAGGGATCGACACGCGATTGTAAAATTTCTAAATTGAGAACTAGTGTATTTTGCCTGTTCGAAAAAATGATGCTTTTATATCGATAGATCGAGAACATTTAAATCGAATTTTTAATCGATTTCATAGTACTTACAATAATTATTCTAACAACTTTTTTTTAAGATTCGCCTATGTAATATCAATGCTCTTAAACGATCTGAGGTTATTTGAATACATTGCTGCGATGCTGCGGTATAAATTTTTTCATTATGCGTTAGATTTGAAATTAAAGATCTAGAGAATTTATCGACAGGGCCATTATGCTCGGTACACTTTTGAATGGCTTGGTCGTTAATGCACGACTTTGAATGCAGAGCCTGTGATCTAGTGCCAGTAGCTAAGAGTAATGGGCCTGCTATGTATGCAGATATTTCTTTTGTCTATTTGATACGCGTTCAACCATTGGACTGTTGTCGTTGGAGTTGCATATTAATTGGTTACCATCTATTCAATAGCTTAAGTACGCGCTGCCTTTTATACGCCTTAAAGCGTAAGAATTGACTTTCGGCGGATTGCATATACTTTGCCATTGAATAAAGCAAAGCGGAAATCATTACTTAGGGGAGGATTGAATGAATTATTAACATAAGGATGTGATACTACTGTAGTTTTGGGTATCAGATATACGTGATGAACGTACATAAGTGTAAGAACAAATGATATATAGTGTTAATTTTTATTAGTACTTTAATAACGATGAGAAAAATTACTTAAATGCAAATAATTAAAATATTGATTCAGTGCCAATTTTCATTTCTAACAACTTTAAATCACTCATTACCTCAGAGCTACAGACAAATGCAAAAATAATTTATTACAAGAGGTTACAGTTATACACCCTCGAGGATTCCGGGCTTATTGAATACTCTAAATTGTTGTAAGTTCTTTTCAAAACTACAATAAACTACAATTCTTCGCAACTTGAGCCATAGAAAATTATGGGAAATTGTGGTAAATTTCAGTTTTTTTTTTTTTTCTACAAGAAACTAAAATTAATTATACTTTCTATTTTTATAGTTTATTGTGACTTGTTAACATTTTTTCAGTACCTTTTTTTTTCGGCTAGGTAAGAAAGCACGATGTACTCATGTATCATTGGTTTATTCAGTATAACCTAACAAGGTATATACATCCCATTGAAATGCCGTAAAGACGTTGAAAAGTTATTCCACACTTGTGCTTATTAAGTATGCATCTCACATAAATTTATTCAATTGTAATGTTACATTTATACTGCTACGACAATTTGATGCTATCATACAGATGGCGGTCAATTAGATGTTTATCTATCGTTAATTGATCGTTTGTCTTGAAATGGATGTAAGTTAAAATTAATCTTTCTATTGCATTTCTTATCGTACCGCTTAGGAATAGCGTCAGACGTAACGAAAAGTTTTTCTGTTTATTCTGTTTTATAAGCATTCTCTGGAGGAAACTCTATTTAAATGCATTAAGACTGCAAGCCCAGCGTCCATTGTTTCGACAGGTGAAACAGAAATGAATTCCATTGTATTGCATAATACAAAAGATCCATCCATCTGACTGTTTCAAGTACGACATAATTTGATTGTTATAATACAAAAGCTAACTAACAATAATATCGCATACTTGACATACATTGACAATGTCATGAAAATTGTAAAATTTTCAAAATTTGTTTAACTTTTAGACTGCCTTACTTTTTTCGATGATATTGGCAGTTTTTGAAATTCATAGTCAATATATATGTCATGAAGGTCCAATAATGTTAATATTGTTACACCTGAGCTTATGTATAGACTTCAGGTAATCTCCGATTTTCGCCGACTTATTTTTATAAACTATTCTTCTACTTTTTTTTTCGAGGTCGCGTATACTAATTAGAAACTAAATGCTATAATTGAAAAATAAAAAATTTGGTTCTCTCATTTAATTTTGGCGATGCTCTTTAAAATTCGTGATTAATGAACATAAGCCCCTATATGGTAAATTCAAAAAATTTTAATGTATAAAACAGCCTTTCTTTAAACAGCCACTATGAATATTGAATTGCTAATTAGAGATCCGTAATTAGCGTCTCCAGAAAACCCCGTTAGCACTTTGACCTTTACAATATTCTATAAAGGTCAATATTGACTTCGTGACGCTAATTTAATTCAAAAGCTACCTCGGTATAATGAAATATGAGGTGCCGCGTCTAGTAAGACTTAAATAAAATTTTCTCTTCGATAAAATTCAACCATATCTTCAATTTCTTAACACGTTCCGTGCCAAGCCCTTTTTGCCTGACTTGTCGTTCAGGCCATTTGATATGATAATATGTCTGAGTGTACCACCGGTGGTCCACGTGGCACGGAGCGTATTAATTAGTAAAAAAATAATTTTTCATAGTCATCTGTAGCTACGCATCCTTAGGATTCTGGGAGCACGATTTTTCGGAGCTTGCGTCGTTAGCGATTCCTCTTCCCTCGATACCGATCGCCCTCGTTCACTCGACGACGTGCTATATGTGAATTTGGAAAATGTAAAGTCAGAGAGTGTCGACTATATCCCTTTCAAAAGCTCTTTAAAAACTTTTTAGCACGTTTCACTTCTTGCCTGACTTGTCGTTCAGGCCATTTCATATTATAATATGTCTGAGTGTACCACCGGTGGTACACGTGGCACGGAGCGTATTAATTAGTAAAAAAATAATTTTTCGTAGTCATCTGTAATTTCGCATCCTTAGGGTTCTGGGAGCACGATTTTTCGAAGCTTGCGTCGTTAGCGTTCCTCTTCCCTCGATACCGATCGCCCTCGTTCACGACGTGCTATACGTGAATTTGGAAAATGTAAAGTCAGAGAGAGTCGACTATATCCCTTTCGAAAGCTCTTTTAGAAACTTTTTAGCACGTTTCAATTCTTGCCATTTTTAATATACGCATTGCATCCAATAATCTGGCCCGATTTTAGCACAGAAATGTAAAAATGTTTAGTGGCCATTAATATACGATACTATCCAGAGCCGTTGCATCAACTGAATGTGGTTTTATCACAGGAATTTATAGAAATCAAATGAACGCATCAACAGCTGGCAGAATACTCTGAAAAACACTATAAAATGCAATTGCGTTCTGATCCTTCGAAAATTAAGTATCTACTCGCAGACCAGATTTAGTGAGAATTGTTATTTGCGCCTCATTGTGAGACGTGAACAAAAAATAGCAGGATACGGTTGCAGAAGTATCGCGAAGACAAAAGATTCAATGACGTCAAATTGAGTATCCAGACGGAACCGCAGATTTAACGAACTACTTTTGAATGCGTAATTTCTTGGGGACAGTTGAGCAGCGACCAATCGTTTTGCACCTTTGGCGGTGGCAAAGCGCCTCAGCATATATTTAGGTTGGTCTCAATTATCTGGAGCTAGCGCAGTTTGTTTTCCACCTTCGTATCTGTAAGGTACGTACATTAGTTAAGAATCGTTTTATCAATATTACATGACTAATGAACCCATCTTGCTTTTTATTAAATAATTTTTCTTCGCGCCTAAAAAACAGCTAACTATATTTTCTTAACATTTCTTCGATTACGATAAAAGATTTTGAAATTTTGCCGTTTTAGATTTTACCTCTTCATATTACCTGTACTCCATACGGCGGTTGATGATGTTACTCTACGTGTTGTTTATAATACCTTTGACGCTGGGTTTGTTTTTTTTTGTTTTGAGTAACAATATCATTAAAATTTTCCGAAAGAATAATGAAAACGTTACCTTGATTTTTCATTCTTTTAGCACATTCGGCATATGGAGATTTTGGATATAGCAGACGACGTGAGTAAATAATATTAATCTGTCAAAAGTCAAGACGAAATGATGCTTACAAATCAATGGATTTTTTTATTTCACAAAAAAAAGATCAACATACCTGGGCCCAAGAACATAAAGCCTGCGCTGGGAAGTGGCAGTCGCCAATTGCATTGTCGTCCGCAAGAGCAGTGGCGCTGCCTTTGCCTGCAGTTGAAATGATCGGTTATCATAACCTATTGTCTGGTCCTGTCAAATTAACAAATAACGGACATTCCGGTAAGTGCACGAACAAAGTTTACGCGAATGTGAAATTGTCTAGGTGCTTCACCCTTGATATAAATTATTATACTCGTATGCTGTTTTATAAGTCGGTTTCACAAACACGGTTTATTATTTAAACTCCGTTTAAATCCGCGATCGATCAATCAGACATTGCATTCTTAAGATAAAAGAAGTTTAAACAGTAAACCGAGTTTGTGGGATCGAGCGTTAACGGCGTCTGGCGAGACACAAATAACAATAACCGTCCCTTTTCCGGCTAGTCGCATTATCGCTTAACAAAGCGCTCTCGAAGAAGAGATTGCCCTTTGTCTTCGGTGGAATGCTGAACAAAGATCAAGATTACGAACTCGAAGGATTACATTTTCATTGGGGTATCAAAAATAATAGAGGCTCGGAACACATATTGAATGGAATCAGGCAAGTGTTACTTGAACGAATAATTTATCTTTCGACATTGAGAATTGGCGAAAACGCTTGCTTGACAAATTAAAGAAAAAAAAAACTTGGAAATGGAAAATATTCACGAAAAATTATCACCAAACAAACTTAACGATTTATTTTCATCGATGTGTCAAAAATTCAAGTGTTTCTTCTTTATTAATAGATTTCCAATGGAAATGCACGTAATCCACAGAAACATGAAATATCCCGATCTCGCAAGTGCTTTACAACACGAGGACGGCCTTACGGTTTTAGGAATTTTCTTTCAGGTAAATTTTTCCAAAAAATTGTCTTCAAAATTTCTGTCATTTTCATACCCGTGCTTTCTTCATTGTAGCTCCAAGAGGAGGAAAACGAACATCTTTACCCAATTTTGAGAACCCTTCCAAACATCCAGTGGATCAACACCGAAGCAGAATTGAATGTATCAATTACACTGGCTTCCTTAATGCCTCGCGATACCGAAATCTTCTATACCTACAGAGGATCTTTGACTACGCCACCGTGCAGCGAAGCTGTAACGTGGATTTTATTTCCCACAACAGTGCCAATCTCATTTCGGCAGGTAAATATCCTAAATAAGTCAGACATCCACATAACGTGGATAACGCAGAGAGAGTTTCTAGTGACTGTAAACCATACTTCTTTTTTTATAGATGAATAAATTTCGCATGCTTTCCAATGGCGAAGAAGTTCTTGCGGATAATTTTAGGCGTCTACAAGACATAGGAAATCGAAAAGTTTACGTGAGAAGAATCGAACCATATTTTGCGAGTAATGTCGAAATGATTGACTTGAACGTTGAAAGTTTGCAATGGTACTGGCAATAATAAGTATACATACCGTTTTTGACGAAGAAAACCAAAATATCCAATGACAGAATGTATAGATTAAGTATCTGCCATAAGCTCGTTACCCTTATACAATCATATCATTGATCTTTAAATCCATAGCTTATAATACGTAGCAAGTGCGAATAACCAGTAGGATTGCTTAAAGATGTAATAAATATAAACTGTAAACAACGAGACCAAAGTATTACGCAATAGACGATAAGCTGCGACATTTTTCTATATGTGTATAATCGTAATCACATCTTCATGATCATTACGGATATAAAACAGTTATAAATAGATTAACTTATTAACGTGTATTATTGGCTAGAAATTATTTTTAAAAAACACCATCTCTTTAATATCATTTTGTCCCGCTGCCTTCGATGCCTCAAAGCAAGATATAGGAGAGTACAGTTGATTCCCGAAAGTCCAGGATACAAGGTGGATGGTAATGCACCAGTAATCGTCTGTTACGTTATAATACTGTAGATTTTGCTATAGTCAAAGCACACACTGAAAATTACTGGCACATGGCCGATGATTGGGCCATCCATTCATCCACCCTACTCAACAAGTACGGATATGAAAGGCTAGGCGAAGAGCTGCCATTGGTTGTTGTGGCTGGCACTATCCCGCCTGTATTGGAGAGTAATATGTACTTGAGATTTCAAAATTAATCTGCGCAAAAATATTTTTAATAGGTTTCCGTTTGCTTGAAAATATTTTAGATACCTGTGACGTCACTATTATAAATTTTTAGGTAATTTTACAGTCGTTTGTCCAAAAATAGTACATTACGATACAAGTCCGCGAAGTACGTGATTCCCGCACGAGGCCACGTGCACGCGCACGTGTGTTGTATACTATTTTTACTCAGTGTGCGAAATTCGTAATCTGTAAGAAACTAGAGTAAAGAAGGAAGTATAGTATATTGCGATATAAGTGCGAGAGGCGTGGTGCGGACGGACATCAGGGGCGGAACCCCTGGTGAGGGTGCAGAAGGCGTTGGGCGATAGGGGGGCGAAGCCGCCCACTGAAAAAGTACTCTTAAAAGTCATTTTCATAAGAAAAGAATTTTATTTTTCACATAAATTTAATTGTTTATAAATAATATTTACTGTTGATTTAACATATTGATAGTTTAATTATTCGATACATCAGTAAATATGTGTGTCAACACAACTTTATCATAAAATTGTTTTTTATCGCTTTGGTAACTCACTGCACGCAGGTGCTCATAAAGGTACGAAGTGGGTTCTAACTATATCGTTACGATATCGTTTGTTTATCATAAGCAGCGAGCTTAGAGTGCGCGAAATAACTAATTCACGCATTGAATGAAGCTGGTTGCTAAAAATGCGTGAATTAGGCATTTCGCACACTACTAACAGACATGAGAAATCGAATTTTGCACACTGAGTAAAATGGTATTTCAAGGTGCCTTCTGGTGACACATTACGGGGTTTTCTCTGAGCATTTGCTACAAAAACCTTTTAATTAGGCTCACGATCATTTGCGATTGACCCGTAATGGATTCGTAAAAAAAATTAATAAAGTTGAACTTGGTCGGCTAACTTAACGTTAATATAACAGTATCAAAAACGTATGGAGTTGCAAGTTGTAAGGATTATAAAATAAGTTTAAGTTCACGGTTTTGTGACCATGGTATATAAGGATCTGCATTTACATTTTATATCTGTGACAATATATGTAGATTTCAGTGCTTAGAGCTTCTATCTCCCGTTGAGCAACAAAAACTTGTGATATCTCCCAAAAAACACTTACGTGTAAAAAACTACGCCAAGTACAAAAGTGCTGTGTATTTCTCTAATAAAAAGTATTGATATCAGATTATTGAGGCCAAGTACATAAGTCACTACCTGTTTTTCTATTATAAGATCTAGCACTGGCCCACCATTTTAATTGTATTTTCAAAATTTCCTATAACGTTTTGACTACTCTTTTACATTACTACTGATTCTCGTAGTTGATTATCATTTAATAGTTATTTAATAATTAATAAAACTTTAGCTGATTCCTTATCGAGTACTACTTGGCGGGTCCGTGCATTTCTTGATATAAATTTGCGTTCATTATGCCAGTCATCAAACTCAAAACCAATGTCAATTTTCTATATAGAGCTTATTAACGATAACTCGTCAATAACAATCACGGTAAAAGTTTTATAACAAATATATAGTTTTATTCTCGTAGTTGATTATGATTTAATAGTTATTTAATAATTAATAATACTTTAGCTGATTCCTTATCGAGTACTACTTGGCGGGTCCGTGCCAGGAATTCCAAAGTACTTACCTTAAACATACCAATAGTATCCTAAAACTATATATTTGTTATAAAACTTTTACCGTGATTGTTATTGACGAGTTATCGTTAATAAGCTCTATATAGAAAATTGACATTGGTTTTGAGTTTGATGACTGGCATAATGAACGCAAATTTATATCAAGAAATGCACGGACCCGCCAAGTAGTACTCGATAAGGAATCAGCTAAAGTATTATTAATTATTAAATAACTATTAAATCATAATCAACTACGAGAATCAGTAGTAATGTAAAAGAGTAGTCAAAACGTTATAAGAAATTTTGAAAATACAATTAAAATGGTGGGCCAGTGCTAGATCATATAATAGGAAAACATGTAGTGACTTATGTACTTGGCCTCAATAATCTGATATCAATACTTTTTATTAGAGAAATACACAGCACTTTTGTACTTGGCGTAGTTTTTTACACGTAAGTGTTTTTTGGGAGATATCACAAGTTTTTGTTGCTCAACGGGAGATAGAAGCTCTAAGCACTGAAATCTACATATATTGTCACAGATATAAAATGTAAATGCATTATGATGTTGCTAATCAGAAAAATATATTGCGCTGTCGAAAATGTTTAATGGCATATAAATTTAATTTGTAAGCCCCTTTTTCTAGAAATGCATAAAGACATATACAAATTTTTAAAGAAAATGTAATCTTCAATGCATTTAAGCGTCGTTAATGGTGTCCAGCTTGTTGAAGCCGTGTGGTAAACATAAGAGAGGAGAGTGTGCTGGATTATTTACGTACCTCAGGCCGTACGAACATCAGAAAGGATACTATAGTTTGAGCAAAGCGCCAAAGCTTGTTGCAAACTTTTCTGGACTTCTACGTCCGACACCTAGATACAAGAAACTACGGAGCGGAACACCTGGACACCCTGAACTTCCACGTCCAACACCCAGATACAGAAAACTACAGAGCCCCATACCTGGACACCCTGGACTTCCACATCCAACATACAACCTCATACAACCTCATCTCTGTGCTTGGTACAAGATTACCGAATATCTTGATGACAACTGGCTGTAATCGGTAAAATAGTGAATACAAAAATGTACTGGCAATGTAGATCTCTGTTATATTCACAAATGATGCTGATTCAACAGGAGAGAACGAGACGACAAAAAGATTGTATGAACCGTAGTATAACGTCGCTCAATAACATTTCCCGGTTGTCAAAAGGCACACGAGGTGCCGAAACACAGTGGAATATCTAAAAAGTAGAAAGTCATCAAATAGTTAGTAGAGTCAAGAGATGTGATGTATGTATACGGTAGTAGTTGCTCGCCTAATTGTATGCAGATAAAAAAATTAACGGACAATCGTAAAATTGCGAATTTGGTTAGGAAAAATGAACTATATCCATACGCGTTAATACCTTCATCGGACGGTGCTTAAATTTACGTCAGCTCCCCATTTAGCTTGTCCGACATACAATAATATAGAATACGTGTCGTTAGTACGTGCCTCACCAAAATTCATAAGGCTACTAGTAATAGAGTGGCAGCAGAGGAGAGAATTCGCCCCTGCGATGCTGCCGCACTCGTTAACCTGATGTTTAGAAAAATCGACCATTGATTTGGAGTGCGTGAACAAATAAGAAAGGCTGTCTGTAAAGCTGAGCGAAGCTCTCTTGAATCGTATTTACAAGATCTAACGTCAAAAAATGGTTTTCGAGTCGATCGTCGCCGAGCTGCTTAACAAGGTTCTCGGGGAGTATATTGAAAATTTGGATTGTACACAGCTGAAGCTAAGTCTGTGGGGAGGTAAAAGAAACTTAATCTTTAAAGAAAACGAATTCTTAGTACTTAATATTTCCCTCGTTTTCGATATTTAAGTATTAAAAAAAATATAAGTCATTCCGCTGATCTTTGTATATGCGGAACCACTGATTACGTTTCAATCATGTTCCATGGATGCTTTCATTTACTCAATGTTTATTCTACTAAAAGTTCACAAAATAAGGATTACGTATTCTATGTAGTGACATCATCAACTATTTTTAATACGAACATAATAATGAGCATTAGCTTCGTTGAACCCGTTCCTTTGGCGCTGTTTATTGCGGATGGGTTACCCTAAACTTTTCATGATTACTATATGACTAGATAAATTCTATTTGCTTAATGTGAATAAAAATGACATACCCACACTTTAGGCTACTAATGAAAGACATTCACTAAAGTATTTCATACTGTGGTAAAATGTACTGGTTTAATTTTATGATTACTGAATTTTTAGCATTACTTATGTCTGCTGATTGAATAGAAGATTCGATAATGTTGAGTGTATACTTTCACAAGTTAATACGCTGTTTGCTTAACTACTTTAATGCAACAAATATTTTGTGAATAATAAGATAGCTTTTGAATTTATATTTAGAATAAAGAATAATTTGTTTAAGTAGGAAATTGGTTCATACTATTGATATGATGTTATAGATATTCTTTATCTAAAGGGCTTTGAATAGTTCATATGTAATTGTTAATATTTGCTATTTTAGGGGATGTTGTGTTGAAGGATCTTTTAATAAAAGAAAGTGCACTCGATGTATTGGATTTGCCACTAAAATTGGAATATGGTCGATTAGGTTTGTATCTAGTTAAATTAGTTGTACAATAGAGTATTTACCTGATATATAATTGCCCAATTTATAATTTCACAGGGAAGTTAATACTGAAGATTCCCTTCAAGGATATTTGGAATGGGCAAATAGATGCGATTATTGAAGAATTATTTATATTGATTGTACCAACCAGCCAAGCAAAATATGATGCAGAAAAAGAAGCAAAAGCACAACTTGCCGCCAAGCGAGCAGAGCTTGCGAGAGTCGAAAAAAATAAACAGCTTGCAGATATTAAATGTAATTAAGAATCATAGTTATGAATTTGTAATTATAATGAAATTTCCAAAATGTGTTTGCTTCAGAATATATAGAATTTTAATTTCTTATAATTTTGAAGTCTAGAGCATCTGTAATACTTGCAAATATATGTGATATTTTTGCACTATACAGCACAAGAGAAATTGGACGATTCCATGATTGAGAAACTTCTTGCTAGAATGATAAAAAACATTCACGTTGAGATAAAGAAAATTCACGTGAGATTCGAAGATCATGTCTCGTTCAAAAATCATCCATTTTCAGTTGGATTTACTTTAAATAGCTTTGCATTACAAAGTTGTACAGATACATGGACGACAGATGGCAATTTGAAGGATATGTATGCCATTCAGCAAATTTATAAAGTAAGTTTGTGGAAACTATCATAAATTTAATTTATTAACATTCTCTTACATGTTTTTCCATTATAGTTATGTACAATGGACGGATTTGCTGTTTACCTCAATACAGATATAATGCAATTTAGTAAAGAGCCTCAAATTAGCTACTTGCACTTGTTCTCTGAAGGGATCGCAACTTTAGATTATATACCAAAGAAATATCACTATCGTAAGTAATATTGTTGACAGGGTAAAAGATATTTCTCGGTAAAATTGACAAAGTTAACACTTTGACGTACTCTTATTTTTAGTGTTGGGTCCTATAAACGTAAAAGCCAAGCTTAAATTAAACCCTAAACCAGAAACAGATGGCAGTAACTATTCGATACCAAAAGTTTGGCTGGATCTTGAAATGCAAATGCTACGAATTGGATTGACCAAATGTCAATATCAAACACTTATGCAAATGGGTGAAGGATTGGATCAGGCTCAAAAAGCAGCACCTTACAGGAAATATAGACCGGATTTGACGTCCTATAGAGGACATTACAAAGAATGGTGATTTATTGATTTTTTGTAGCTTTACATGTTCTTCCATATATCAACCAGACAATTATTTGTTTATCAGGTGGCGCTTTGCATACACCTGTATTATGGAAGAAACAGTACGAAGATTACGTAGAAATTGGAACTGGGTGAATATGAAAGAACACAGAGATACTTGTCGAGTTTATGCCAAAGCGTATCAGACTAAATTGACTACGAAAAAAGTGGCTCAAGATATAGACAAATGTATCACCGATTGTGAAACAAAACTGGATATTTTTAATCTGGTCATTATTAGGCAACAGATCGAAATGGAGGTAATTGTTTATCAAACATTTGATCGTCAACAGCCACAGCCTGTAGAAAACGTTACTATATGGATATTACCTTCATATTTTCGGATAGGTGGAAAGACTGGCAGAGAAAGAGAAAGATCTAAAAGCCAAAAGAGGCTGGTTTGGTTTCCTATGGGGCACTCCACCAGCAGAGGACGCTGAAGAATTAAATTCAGCCGCCGCTATTAGTAAGACTTCATTTGAGTGTAAATCAATTTAATTATTACAGAAAAGTGACAATAAATTTGTTTTTTTTTTATTTTTGTAGTGCGCAAATTTGAGGAAGCTATGACACCACAGGAGAAAGAAAAATTATATCGAGCCATAGATTATCAAGAAAATTCTGCCCCGGCTCATTATCCAGAAACTTATGTAATGATCGACACGAAATTCTTTTTGCATGGCCTTCAAATTGTCATATCGGATACCGAAATGTCTCACCCGGAGGTTTTAAATCTTGAATTACAAGGGGTCCGAGTCGGATTTAAATCTCGGCCATCTGCAAATGCTATTTTGTAAGTACAAGGACCTACAATTTATAAATTTGAATAATGCATAAATCACGCGATTACAGAGCTACAGCATCAGTAAACGACATGAAGCTTTTTGGAGTAAAGCAAGAAGAGAAAGTGCCTTCGTTATTTAATTCTGATGATGGTAGCTCCGACAGTGAATTGTTTGCCGTTTCTTATGAGAAAAATCCTTTAGATAAATTATGTGGTGACCGTGTAATCGTCCAATCAAAGTCTGTTCATATTGTATACGACGCACAGACCATCATTGAATTGGTGAAATTATTCAAAGTACAAAATTCTTCGACTTTAAGTCAGTAAGTATTTTTTTTCAGTTTAAGATTTGATGAAATATAGTTAAGTGAACAATTGTTTATAAAAAAAAATTGTGTATATAGACTTCAGGCTGCTGCTGCTGTACAGTTAGAAGGCTTGAAAGAAATGTCAGCCTTAGGCCTAGAATATGCCATTCAGAAGCATTCTGCATTAGATATTCAGGTAAGAAATATTGTTCTGATTGTAATAATAATGTGATACAAGATGCTTTTAGGGCAGTTTAAAAATTCATAATATTCATTTTCATACAAAATGTGAGAAGGTGAGCACGCAATTGTCTTACGCATACTAATTCGTTGTTTCAGGTTGATCTTCAAGCATCACAATTAATTGTACCATGTGGCGGGTTCTATAATGAAAAGGAATCACTCTTTGTTCTAAACTTGGGTAGCTTAAAAATGCGCACGCTGGAAAAGCCCAAAGACGACAAAGCTACAACGAATGTGAAAGAATTAATTAGTATGGGAAAGTCTGACGAGGATATTTTGACCCACCTTAGACATTCCAGTTATGATAAATTCGTACTCGAGATAACGAACTTTCAGGTATTTTTGATTGCAGGACTTACGATATATGAATATTAATTGCACTTACTTATACTTTAATTAATTACATAGGCTCTAGTTTCATTCGCGGATGAAGATTGGCGCAGTGCACTTATAAGTGATAGTATCAATTCTATGGTACTGTTACGTCCAACCACTTTAGAAGTACAGTTCCACAAATGTTTGATAATGGATGATCCTTTGTTGCCAAAAATGAGGCTCATTGGCCAGTTGCCATCTGTAGTCCTCAATGTAACAGGTACCAAATCTTGTTTGCAGTTTAAAAATCTGTTTTAACATACTACTTTCAAAATTGTCCTTGCTGCAGATACACGCTTACTTGAGGCACTTAAAATAGCACAGAGTATCCCATTCCCCGAAGAAGAAGAAAATAACGATCTACAAAAAAGTTCTTTGGTGAGTGCAGTCTCACTTGCAACATTTCATTCATGTAATTTTCTGTAGCAATGCGTAATTGCAGTATTACAATATTTTTTCTAGTCAAAGTCTGTGTCTCAGTTGTCTTTATTCAAAGAGCTAACTGCAATTTCTACATCAGCTGATAAGAAAGAAGAGTCTTCCGGTCCGGTGAAACAAACTATTGATTTGGAAGCAAAATTTGTTATGAAAGGTAAAGATTGTGTAATTTCTTTTATATGTATATTATATATGCTATAAACTACCATTTGTGAATTGTGTCCCAACAGAATTCACTGTAACTGTTTCCAAACAAAGCGACCTTGAAATATCGCCATTTTTACGAGTTGAGGTACTACAATTAGAAGCTGAAATGTTGCAACGAACGTTCGATCAAGAAGTAACGTTAAGATTGGGTGGTGTTCAAATTAAACAAAATCATAAAAGCGACGAAATCTTCATGATTAACACTCCAATGGCAACCGGCAGCGAGGAATACCTTATTGTTATCCAATACAAAAATGTGAGTAAACATTGTAAATATTCTGTTATATTATTTAATACTAAACCAACAATTATAGGTGAATAAACGATCCCCAGAATTTGTCACGCGACATGGTTCAGTGGTAAAATTACTTCAACTAGAATTCACGACACTGGATATTCTGCTCCACCAGGAAGCATTGATAAATGCTTTGAAATTTATTTCAAGCATTCAGGTAATTTTCAATTATTTTTTGAATGTCCAACAAATACAAAGTGACTTACAAACAATGCTACAATTTCCCACTCGGTGATATGATAGTTACCTTTATCAAGTATTTTATAACTATATCTTTGAATGAGAAATTCTGACATTGCCAATGTATAACTGTTACGTTTTGACTTTGTGTTCGCTGCGCGATAATTAGTCTTAACTAATTAACTAGTTGGTGTCGTTTTCAATGAAGATGAATTTTAGGATAAAATTACTGCATCGAATGATGCATTGAACGAGAAAGCACAAGGAAAAGTAACCCGTGTAAGTCACATGGCCACCATACATGAAGATGGGACATCAACATTTATCAAGGAACATATTCAAAGACAAAAGGCTAATTTATCCACATCTCGTAAGGATGCATATTATGTGCTTGAATGAAGTTAGTTAAATCATGAGGGGGAAACATACATTATTTTCTTTTTCTTTTTGTATATAGGTCGTAAAAAGAAGGTGGTAGAATGCATAGACCTGAAAGTAAATGCAAAATTTGGTTCGATAAGCATAAAGATGGCAAGTGATTTTCGAGATATAAGTGCATTTTTCATTGAGGGAATCGCCGCTGGATTCATTATGAAGGCTTCCTATTCACAAGCAAATGCTACGCTAGCATCCATCAACATTAAGGATTTGAACACTTCCTCGGCTTATAAAAATGTAACTATAATGTCACTAATTGGACATTAGATAACCAATTTTGAATTAAGAGAGTATGCTTAAATTTTTTATGTCTTAGATTATTTCAGTGGAAGGCACAGAATCTCTGCAAGTACAAGCTGTTATTTATAATTTGGAACCTTGGGAAGTGGACAAGAACAACATGTCTATTAAAGTTGTCATGGGCTGCCACCGTGTTGTATTCCTAAATGCATTTGTCACTGGAGTGATGGTACGTATGCTAATATTTTAATGAGATGTCTCTACGACGTGATAATATTTTTTCCAGAATTTCTTGAACAATTTCCAAGCTGCCCAACAAGCCATAAAAGAAGCATCAGCAGCTGCTGCGGAAGCGGCGAAGACAAACATTAAAGATGTTCAAGAACATGCCACTCGCATTGAACTTTCTGTGAATCTTAAGGTATATTATAAAATTTGTAACGTATTTCTTTTCTTAACTCGACATCGATAGCAAAACACCCGGGACCGAGCTATCTTCGAGAATTAGCCTACGTTATCTTCGGCCGTCCACCCTTTGCTCATGCATCCGCAAGCCAGGCGGGCGCCATCCAATTCTTTTTTCACCGGGAACTGACGAGCCGGTATGAACTAGGAGTTGGGGTGGAACAGGCCCAACTCCACCAAAACCAGAGCTCTGACGGAACCTATCAGAAGAGACGATAACTTAACGGATCCTGTCGATTTTTGGGAACGCGTAAAATCGAGAAACGCAACCGTACGTGCTAATCTTTGGGGTCGCGGGAAATCAGCAAACGCAACTGGATGCACGAACGGGAGCGGACGGTTACGGAAACGCACGGCCGCTCAGACTGCTAGGTCGAGGTAGAGAGAGTCAAAGTAAGAGTCAGGCAAATAGTGTGAAAGACAGAGAGCGACGAATCGAGAACGTAAAAGAACGAATCGGACCTATCAAATCGAAATCCCTTCACCAATTAATAAATTGGGAGTACTCACCGGAGCTGGTGCAGCTGATCCGTGAAGGCCGAGAACTGCATCCACAAGACACTCGGGTGGGCACTGCACTGGGGCACGGCACTGCACTTCCGGAACATTCACAGGAAATCCATAGAATTTCCTGGATATCGCGAAAGCAACGCGAGAACAACACGTGCGAGAAATTGCTATACCGTATCGAAACACGGCTAGAAAAACTATCAACAGACAGCGCGGGAGCGCGAAGCAGCTCGTGACATCTCGGTCGGTGCCCCGAGACAGACTGCATTAACAATAGCAAAATTCGAGAACTAATCATTCTGATCATCTGATTGGTCGAGATCCTTATAGCCGATAGCTCTTCCACCTCCCTCGAGTCGTCCCTTTAAACCAAATCAAGAGCGTTCCTTAGCGGATCGGTACGTAACACTTTTGGAGATCCTCCACGGCCGCTTCCCCAGGGCATCGGGCGACAGCTGTTCCTTAACGAATCGGTACGTAATCTTTGGAGATCCTCCACGGCCGCTTCCCCAGGGCATCGGGCGACAGCTGGGCACCACATCTTTAACTCGGGCAGGAGGTTCCTCTCCTGCCCTTAACCGTTTAAAAACTACCTCCGCCTGCTCTACAGCCCTTTGCCCATCTCTAGCGGGGCGCCGGTATCTCACCCGGGCTTCTGCCGGTCCGTGGAGACGTCTCCGTCGGGTACTCTCCTCTGCCGGGCAACTCGGTACGTCGAGACTATCTCCCCACGGCAGATTCGAGCACCTCGACCTCAACTAAACAATAACGAAATCTTCCGAGAGCATTGGCATAACTATACGAATCAACCAGAGAGCGTAGCTTCTGAGCAGGGTGGCGACCCGAAGGGAATCCGAAATCGCCAACGTTATCTATATCGGTAGCCGGAGTCGCCTTGTGACCGTGAATCGAAAAATCACGTCAAAAATTATGATACGTATAAAAAGAAAAATAATTGTTAAACAATTTTTTACTTTAGGCTCCAGTTGTGTATGTACCGATGAATTCAAAAAGTGATCACTGTCTGATGATGGATATGGGTAACCTTACTATATGCAACACACTGAAGAAATTAGAAGTTACCAATGATGCTGGAGAATCACCCATCGTTGATGAAATGAAAATCGACTTGCAAAATATAAAATTGTCACGGTGAGATGACATCTCTAAGATTCATTACCTATATTTTATGTTGCACATTAAATTACTTTACATGCGTATAATCCTTTCTTTTCAGGGTGCGATTAAACAAAGATAATTTTGTACTAGAGAATGAGGTGCTACTGTTGCAGCCAGTCAGCTTCACATTACTGATAAAACGCAATTTATCCACTGCTTGGTTCACGTCAATTCCAGATATCGATATGTCAGGCAGACTAAACCTAATCGAACTATTACTTAGCCAAGAAGATTATGCCATGGTAATGAAGGTCTTGGAAGGGAATCTTGGAGAAACAATCGAAGACCCTAATCCACCTAAAGTTGTTGATCTACGAGACCGAAGACCGATAACAGAAGATTTGGAAAAATCACGAACACGTAAGTAAAGTTATAAGTCATCTTTACAGAAGCGAATTAATTGTTACGTAGGCCGTAGTGGCTAGCGAGGCCTTTAAATTTGATAACAAATATTGAGAAGTAACCAAAAGAACGTGAATAAAGTTTAAGTGAATTCCGAGCGGTAAGAATACATTCAATGGTGGGTTCGCTGCTCGTTTAAGTTGTTGAAACACGTCCTTGCTCATATTGCAGGAAAATCTGAAATGGGAACCATACAAGAAACTGAAGCTTCCGACTTTCAAGAACAGAAGAATGTACACACGGCTATGAAGTTCGAATTCATCATGGATAGCTTCGTCATTAACTTGTTCATGGGAGGATCTAAAACGGTAACGTTATTTTAGTCTAAGATAGTCCAATGCAATGAATACGTTGACAAGAAGATATTTTAATGAAATTATAAATTACGTGCAGTTACAATCACAAGCCTCTCCTTTGCATCTTCCGGAAAATGGATTGGCCAAATTCAGCCTCTCGCATTTCGCGCTGAAGGGTCGTATGTTTGCCGACGGTCTTCTTGCTACTTCAATTCTTCTAATGAACTGTACTTGGGATGATACCAGGCAAAATAGACAAGGGTCTCTTATGACAATTATGGAAAGAATCACAGAACCGTCTGCGGAAAATTTGTCTTCAGAAGATGAAGCTCCGTCTGGCAGAAGCATGGTGGATGTGACGATCAGAAAAGGACCAAACGATATCTTTGGTATGTCTAAGATTTTAAATATTATACCGTCGATTATTTATTGTTGTACTAATTAAGAATTTGTATATTTTTTCTTCCAGTGGATGTTAGAGTTTTCTCTTTCAGCATAATAATATCTCTCGATTACTTAATGAAGATAAAAGATTTCTTTAACGTCGCACCGACGGCAACTGATCAACCGATCTCGCAACATTCTCAAAAGGGTATCACAGAAGCTGTTCCCAAAAAGAAAATGGCACAGACTTCATCTCCAGTTGCTGCTATGATTACGATTAATTTGCACGTGGAGAAACCAGACATTATACTTCTCGAGGATATGGATGATATCAACTCCAACTGTATTGTACTCAATGTAAGTGCTGAACTTCTTGAGTCATGTAATATAAATTTTTTTAAATGTAGTCAAACACGTTATACTTTTTTTTTTTAAGACTGAGCTGCTGCTGAAGTTACGTTTGGTGGGTGAGCATCAAGTTATAACAGGTTCCATTAAAGATTTGTCTCTATCGACTGGTGTTTACAATCCAGCTAAACGATCCGATAGTATTTACCAAGTAAATTGATAATTATACTACTCAAGAAAAGACTTTGTGGTATACTGAATATACTAATTTAAACTGTATGAATCCTTTAAGGTCTTAAAACCATGCAGTATTAGTCTAGCAGGTTCTACGCCAGAAGAAAAAGGATTGCACGTGGACGTTTGTTGTACGGATATTCATTTATCTGTGTCTCCAGGTACAGTAACCTAATAATTTGCGGACATAGAATCTCAATATAGAAAATTATAATAATTAAAACATTTTTCAGGCGTAATTGAAATATTGAATAGAGTCGTTCAAACGGTGACCAAAAAAGAAGAGGAGTCTGATGAAATTGTGAAACGAGAACCAAATTATGAAGGTTTATGGATCATTACACCATTCTATGAGAATAATTATTGGTTCTTGAAAACAGGTACAATCCACGATAAGCCTTATCTTGAATAAAAGTAACTATATTATATTATGTATGTCGTTTCTCGTTCATAGAAGTAGCAGTTGAAGCATTTGAAGACTTGTCATTATCCGATGACGAGGATACAACGGTATATAAGCCAGAACTGGCTATATTATCTGCACCAACTATATTGTTAACATTGGAAGCTGGTGTGGGAAACAAGACACTGCCAATGCTGTTACTTCATTTGGGCTTCCAAAGTAATGTCAATGACTGGAGTTCTAAGACGGTACGTAATTTACGACGTTTTAGGTGTCACAACTAATTACTCATTGAAAAATAAAAAATGTATTTACAGATGAGCGTTGAAGCTACCATGACAGTAGTTATGGCTTATTACAATAGCTGTTTGGCGTTATGGGAACCACTTATTGAACCTATGGAAGGTATTCAAGATGGAAGGCGTATTTCGACACCTTGGGAAATAAAGACTAAGGTGATCTCGAATCATATACATATATAAAAGAGTACTTTTCTTTCAAAAATATTTATATATTAAATTTATATATCTTTTGCCTCTAGGTTCAATTTAATGATTTGTCATTGGGCTCGAAAGGCGCGAGTGCAGTTAGTCCAAGTTCCGAAATAGAACCAGAAGAAATACAACAGTCAACTAAGATGTCTATTGATGTATTGTCTTCCGTAAGTTGAATTCGTTATAAAACAAATTGGATGAGAATACTTTCATTTTTGAAAAATACAAATAAATTTCTTTCGATTATCTTGTACAGGAAAATTTAGAAATAACAGTTACAAAAACGTGTCTGGATGTTCTCAAACAATTGGGTAATGCATTCTCCAACGCAATGGAAGCAAGCAGTAAAGGGCATTCTCAAAAAATGGCACCATACATATTGAAAAATGAAACTGGTCTAACAATGACTCTCGACTTAGAGCACAGTTGCTTCAAGGTAAACATTGACTATTATAATTCCTTATTTACAGTCAATAAACCGTTTTATTTCTAGGTGGTGGATGATGGCATGTCTGTAACATCTCAGCAAAGCAAAGGGTCGTACTCTGAAGTTATACTGGAGTCTGGTGCAACAGTACAATTAGCACCGAAAATTTTGAAGAAGAATACTGAAATTCTCGAACAGTTAAAAGCTGAAATAGTTAAAGACAGCGCCGACAGTAAATTTACTGTCTCGGTAATATCAAATTTATCAAAAACATTCCCTCGAGGACTTAATTTGTCTCCCTCATCATTTCAATGGGCATTCAAATCAATTGCTTTTGTTGCAGTTCAAGGGTATTCCGAATAAATTGGAAATACCTGTACTAAGGGCGGACAAAAGATTTTTCTCTCTTAAATATCGCAAGGAAGGATCCGAGGAATGGGGTATAATATCAGACGTGACTGTCGAAGAAGGCAGTACCATTGTCATCCTGAGGAGTGTCCTACAAGTATATTAATTAATTAGTCATTATTAATAGTCAATTATTTAAATATAAGCAAAAGTTTAAATAATATTATTTCGCTGTAGGTTCACAATCACTTCAGTGAGCCGGTCTCAGTATATTACATGACAAAACGTGGTAATGAGGTAGAATGCGTTGGCACTGTGGGGCCAGATGAGCGATTGAATCTTCCATTAGACGCAGTCTACGCACCAATTAATATCTATTGGTTATTCTTCAGTGTTAATGGGTCAGTTACATAATATTGTAGTACTTATATTCTATCGATGTGCTATGTAAACAATACTTTTTTTTTGCAGATATATGGTTTCGATAGAACCATTTGTCTGGAAAGATCTACAGAAGACAGTATCCATGACAAAGGTTTTAAAGTGTGAAGCACGATCCAAACAAGAAAATACTGAACCATTCTATATCAAGGTATATTGTTAATTATTATTTCTAATTTAATATTACACTAGAGAATTCTATTTGATGCCATTATTACAATAGGCAATTTTTATTGAAAAGTAACAATGACACTTTTTTGTGAAAAGATTTATAGGATATACACACTATATGTTAATGCAGGGGAACCTCTCATTTTTTAACCAGTCGGGACCGTGCTAACTCTCAAATTTTAAGTTGGCCTTGAGTCCCCACCTTTGATTTCCATAACTTTAAGCTCATAGGTAAACGTGTATGAATAAACTCTACTGCGCTTAAGTCTGTTGTGCACAGCTACTCTGATTGGTGTAAATCGCTCGAGGGAAAGTTTAAAATTGAGAGGTGTTTATGGTTAAAAAATGAGAAATACTTAAAATTTGAGAGGTTTCACTGTACTGCGTAATTAGTATAACAAATTTGTAATTGCATTGAGTTATCGATATGATTATCTGTTTAACGCGCACATAACACTGCTACAGATGGCACTTTTCTTTTAGATGTTTTTCATGATGATCGTGATCGGTAGTATCCTTTATAATAACAATACTATCGGTCTATTGTTAAACATTCTCGAACGACGCTTGAAATTATCTCGATTTATCAGTTATGCTGTGAATGCGTGCTCGCGACAATTAAGTTCAGAGCCCCCAAAATATGTGGAAGCACCTATTAAGGTACTACCTCCCATTCACGTAGTAAATCTGTTCAAGATTCACTGGCACACAAAAAAGTAATTCTTCTATTCATATTGATTAATTTAAATTAATCATTGCCAAAATATGAATCTTGAACACATTTTGTTGTGATTCCAATGTTATAAACGTAGAGTTCGTCAAGTTTATTTCCTTGCGTTTATTCATTCACACCAATGACGATAGTATTCATTGCATGCACTGTGCCCATTATTTTAACTTCTGCTAAAACTGTTAGTGGTCAGTATTTTTGAAGGTTTAGATGATCACACATTAACTCAGCTACGTTAACTGCAAGGTGTAGTTCACATTTGATGTGTAAAAAATGAGTAATTCAAATAAATTTTGATCTTTCAGGCTGTCGGGGAAATTGAACAAGTATACTTTGAAAATACTAGTAGACACACAATGGCAAGCACCATTTACAATATTCACCTGTATCCGTCCGTGTATTTTAAGAATTTCTTGCCCATTAATATTATTATATGTCTACCTGGATGCGCAGAAGAAAAACTTTTACCAGCAAGCAAAACTTTGCAAATACCTACTATCGATCCTGGAAAGTCCAGCATCGTTATTAAGGTATGCAAGAATAATTATAAAACAAGCGAAAAGTTCGTATGATTCCATATAATATAGATATCTATTACAGCTTTTGAACTATTAAAAATCACTATGTTACCTACTGTTAATAGCTACCTCAATACTTGGAGAAAGACTGGTCATGCAAGGGTGAAATCCTGGCGAATCCTCCAGAATTTGCTGTGTGGTCCTTTGAATCCTTCGACAGTGCCCAAAAAGTGGTCATGGACTTGGGCATGCACACGTCCTTTAAACACGGCTCTATTATAATGGCCCTATACTGTCCATTCTGGATGCTTAACAAAACTGGCCTCATGTTATCTTACAAGGTATGTTTGAATTTCAATTGTAATATATGTGCAAGTTTTCGTAACTGTTATTTTATAGCTTAAGGGATCATATACGTTTCTGATTTTTAAAAAATCGAAAAAAGAAATATTTTTCCAGGTATATTTTTTAAGAATATTTTAAGGCAGTAAAATTGGAATTCTTGTTCGAGTTGCAACCGTTTGAGCAAAATAAATAGTGCTGCTCCGCAGATAGCTCTCCAGTACGTTCGGAAAGCGTATCAAAACCTTAAACACGTGTATTTGAAAATAGCATTTTTGAAAGGGGAGAGGGGGGCATCCTAACAACGTTTTATCCAATCGATTTCTCAGGACGTGAAAACTTTTTTTTTTATTAAGTTTAACGAATTTTTATTAAAAATGAAAAAAACGCAGTTTCTTGGATCCCAAGTGGTAATTTCTCATTCTAAATCCTTCCATTTCCAAAACTTTTGAATTTTTAAAATCGTGCCCGTGACCCGGGAACTATTGCTATGAATAATAAAAAGTATTTCCACGTTTCCATTTTGGACGAATTGGACAAACTGAATCATGCCCACCGTTTTTACTTCTCTAGTAAAAGGCGCTACAGCGTATATCTTATACTTAGTATACTATTAATATTTTTCTTCAAAATAAATATTTTTTTAAAGAACAATCATATACTTTGAATGAAAAAGAATTGATCCATTTAGATCAATGCTTTCCGTTCAAAAACATTCTGAATATTGACCATTTTCCGGGAGAAGTAACATATATGACCTCTTAATATGTGATACTCGTTTTGCACTATTCGTTTTTATTTGTTTGAGTTGTACTTATACTTATTAGCATTTAATTTAGTATTTTAGATTTACAGTATTTTAACTTTTCATCGCTGAAGCATAAAAACATTCTTCAAGCATTGTTTTTGCCTGTTGTGTTGTTTTCTGAGAAGTAATAAATAAACACTAATAATTAATTTTTTAGTACCTTATTTTAAGAAACAAGTATTATCACTCACCACATTATTTTATGATTTGAATTTATTAGTACAAATTACAATAAAAAATTAGAAAGTTCTCATTATACTTTTGCAAGCTTCAAACAGACTACAACGATTTACATTAAAAAGTTGATGTGCTCTTTATTCTTCGTCGACCTCACAAAAACTTCAATTATTTTACAGAAATCAAGTAAAGCAGGCAAAGAGCATTCGAGCCCGATCAAGGTAGAGAATCATTCTTCCGTAGTGTATCGATATGCTTTTTAATCAATGAAAGTATATAAGAGGAGAAAAAATTAATATTACATATACAACTGTTAAACGTGCAACGATACGAATGATTTATAACATCGGTGATAAAATACAATTAACATTAGTAGAAAAATTAAAGGGGATAAAAATATAAACTATAAATCACAGTTGATCGATTACTCGGTAGAAAACTGTTACGCGTATATTCTTCTTGATTTCATCTAACATTTGGAAATCATACTCTAACCCATTTAATTTTACGAATTTATTTCCCACGATTGATAATATATATTTTTATATTACCATGAAAATTCATAGGCAATATTTTATGCTATAATACATATATACACAAAAGAGTGTATCTTTCAGAAATTGGTTTCTAACATAAAACCTCATCGGTCGCATGGGCGAAACAGGAAGAAGAAAGGACATTCGGTGAATTTAAGTTCTCTTCTTTCAGTCTGATAACATGCAGCTTCGTTTAGAATGTCACCGTTTAATGAAGATGCAAAAATTTCAAACTGACAAATCTAAATATGCCAGTTTTATATTTACACGCACATACGTCGTAACTAACATGGAGCTTCGTAGAGTTCTAAGCGAAGACCATTACCAGAATTGAAATTGTTTTGAACGAGAGTCTGGAATGGCAATTGCCTAAGTTGTAAAAACAAATTCCTAATTCAAATGCATCCACGTTCGCTGCTAATAGTTTTTTCATTTTTTGTGGTATTATTTATTTTTTTAACATTATTGTAACACTCACTCACGTTATAACGCGTAAGGAGGGGGCCTGTTAAAAAGATATTGACCTACCGGTCCAACTCTATGTCAAATGGTGGAAAGTAAAAACACTAATCTATGCATCCTTTATAAAATCTAACGTATGTGAAGATTTACTGGATTATGAATTATGTGCATAACATGCTTGAAAGCACTACTGAATGTTTAACCTGTATGATAGTGTTACGTATAAGAAAAATTTTAACCTATTTTATTCTATTTGCAGAGCGGAGAGGATCACCTGAACGTTTTATATCATCCTGAAACGTTCAAAGGACCAATATTGTTTTCTTTTAGTTCGAAAGCATTTTTCGGCAAGAAAAAGGCAATGATTAGAGTCGAAGACGGCGAATGGTCTGATAAGTTTTCAATTGATGTTGCTGGAAGTAAAGGAGTCGTTTCATGTAAATATAATGGAATGACGTACAAGGTACGTGAACGACATTCTTCATTTGACTAAAGCTTTGTAGTGGTGTACTGAAGAATTATTTTATAATTATATTGTTATTATCATAGTAATTATATATATTATATTGTTTTTTCAGATTGGTGTACATAATCAGTTAACATACAATTCGCTGACAAAACAGATTACGTTTACACCTTATTACGTTTTGATAAATAACGCAGACTTTCTCATGGAATGTCAAGAAGCCGATAGACCGGCAGATCCTCTTTTCAAAGTGAGTTTAGGGAAGACAAAATTTTTTAATTTGTTATCACGTATATGCATCGATTACATACTTAAATATTCTAGGTACCACCTGGGGAATGTACTGCTCTTTGGCCTCGGTCTGAACACGAACAGAAAACTCTAAAAGTTAAGGTGGCTGACTATCCTGAAAAAACCGCACCATTTATTTTCACGGACATGCATACTACTCTATTAAAATTGGATAATAAGGTTTGTAAGACTAAGTTCCTATTGTACCAGTTTGCTTGAAATTTTGAATCCCAGTTAAACTGCTATAAAATATTAATGATCTGTAGATTTACGATTTAAACGGGGCTTAAAATTTAGTTAACTAAAACTTAATACAATTAAGAGTTACTGTACAATATGTATACAGGGTTATTCACGACAAACGTGTCACCGGAAGTTGCTTGTCCATTTTTTTTGTGCTAGAACCACCTTCAAGTTATTGCGTTTTGTACTAAATAACCCACATTATATATACAGTAATTCTTCGACCTATGCCATTAATTCTCTTCCGAGCTTTGAATGATGCTTTTTGACATATACATTCTACATGTGTATCTACAAATTCGCGAAGCTCGAATCGCTATAAGCCGAATACTTACTGTGTATATGCAGTCTATTTATATGGACATAATGTTAACAGTACGGGGGAATCAACGTGGATATACAAATTAACGAAGGTGGAACTTACATTTCCCTGTCTGAATACACCCCTGGAAGTGCTCCAGCCCTTATTATCAATCACACTCCTCAGACCATCCACCTCTGGGAAAAGGGTTCTATGAACGTGAGGTATGATTTTGTACTGGATTTATGCAATGTGAAATATTATAAGTATAGCTAACTGTTAATCCAATATTTTCGTATGGTACTATTAACAAAATAATCATCGTACAGATCTGTTCAGTCATTCAATCAAATGCTGTATACATGGGAGAATCCTTCAGGACCTAGGAAGATAGTTTGGGAAGACAATAATAAGAGAGAAATTGAGAATGATCTTCGAAAGGTATAGAATTCTAAATCTTCAAGTGTGCACGTTACTTTGCTCTGGGTACTTTCACTGTAGAATATTATAACTATTTCGTTGTTCTATTAATTCAGAATAGCCTTGGTACCTTCCAACTACCAGAGACCGACGAAGAAATCTATTTTGTTTCATTTCTTGATGGAATCCAGCGTGTTTTATTATTTACAAACAATTTGAAAATTGCTGAGGATTGCGAGTTAGCAGGTGACCTGGAATCAACTGAGCAAGAAATTACATTGAGCATTCATGGTATCGGAATTTCGCTTGTGAACAATATCACCAGAACAGAGCTGTTATACATGTGCATAGCTAGGTAAAACTATTTCAACAATATCTTTTCTTTATAAAGTTCAAAAAAATTAAGTATAAGGAATGTACAGCTCCGGAATAATATGGGAGGCACGCAAGGGAAATCGTTGGCGCGCTCTAAATACAAGAGAAGTTGATTTGATCGAAGAAGGATATCAAAGGTACATGAGAGAAATACAAATTGCAAAGGACCCAACTTATCGCATAATTCTTGAACCAAAATTGGAGGTATACCCTACAGTTTAATACCTATTTAATTAATATCGTATAAAAGTTAAAATGCATTGAATGCCATTGAAATATTTGATTTATAGATTGATTATCTCAACATGGAAATGCTAAGACCACATCGTAAATATATTAGACGAACGTTCCAAACTGGTTTGTGGGTACAATATCGTACATCCATTCACCAAGTACAGCTGCATGCAAAGGTAAACAGACTTCAAATCGACAATCAACTATCGGAACATGTCTTTCCAGTTATATTGGCACCTGTGCCACCACCAAAAAGTGTTGCACAAACTTCTGGTGAGTAGATTTAATGACATAGCAATGTAACGTATCTCTATAAATTTATTTATTCAACTATTACTACGACAATGAGAACTTTTTTTACAGTAATGAAACCTTTTGCTGAACTTAGTATGGTCAAACGATTGCTTGAACATAGTACCGTGCAACAGTTCAGATACTTCAAAATTCTCATTCAAGAGTTCCACGTTAAAGTGGATATCGGTTTTATAAACGGTCTCACAGGATTTTTTGAAACTAATGAAGTCAATGACATTGAAGAGGTAACATTAAAAATACTCAAGCATAAAGTAGAAACCTTAATAAAACGTTGTTTCTTTCAGAGCGAACTATTCCAAACTGACATGAAACTCGTACACGAGCCTCTTATTTACCACGTTAATCAAGTCAGGACCGCAGAGCAGAAGAACTTCTTTGATTTGTTACATTTCTCACCATTAAAGGTAAAATATTTTTAATTAAATTATCATTACGCTTGAATAAATAATTTATATAGAGCTTACAATTTTTTAGATACACATAAGTTTCTCGATGGCAGGAGGTGGCAGTGGACCATCTACCCTGCCTCCTTTTCTTAATGTATTGCTTCAAGGAATCGGCGTCACACTGACGGATATCAATGATATCGTCTTCAAGTAAGAAGCACATTTCTCCATTTATAAGTAACGGTTTATAGACTCGTGATGAGATCGCACTGTAATACATTTCTAACTGATTGATTATAGATTGGCATACTTTGAGAGAGATTATATATTTATGACCCATAAACAACTAATATCTGAAGCAACAAGCCATTACACAGGACAGGCAATCAAGCAACTTTATGTACTTGTTTTGGGTCTTGACGTTATTGGCGACCCATACGGTCTGGTGGTCGGTACCGTGAAAGGCATAGAAGATCTGTTTTATGAGCCCTTCCAGGGTGCTATTCAAGGTCCAGGAGAATTCGCTGAGGGATTGATTCTTGGAGTAAGAAGTATGCTGGGTCATACAGTTGGAGGAATGGCAGGAGCAGTATCCAAAATAACTGGGGCCATGGGTAAGACTGATAGTGATTAACCCTTTGAAGCATACATTTTTTTGTTACATGAAATTTTTTAAACTCATCTGTTGATTTTGTTGGTCGTTAAATCTAAATCGGGAATGAATATCTTTTTGTTTTAAAAATTCAAAATGATTTAAAATCTCAACTCAAAATAGTAAAATTCAAAATGATAAATCTAATATTTGAAATCAAAATTACAAAACTTCGTCAAATTTCCAACAAGTCTGGTATTTCAGTGTTTTGCGAATTTGGTCCACCATATTGAATTAACCATATTGAATTTGCCATTTTGAATGTTGAAATTCGGACTTCAGATTTTGAATCAGTGACCCAAAACCCTCCCGAAAAAAAAAACCGTAATCTCTCAATTACAATAGTTCAGCTATAACTGCATTTATTCTTAAAAAGCAGGATGTTTTTTGGACAATTTATTTATAAAGACTTATATATTTACGACAACACCTGCATTATATATTTTTCAATATATGATCATTTAAGAACTGAAATGTGAAAATTATCATCCACACATATTAAAAAGTCAATGATAATTAATTAAGTCAATTCTAGAATAGGTATATCACCGGTGGCACACCATGCTCCAAAGGCTTTAAAGAATCCCGAACAGGTTGGACCAGTACGCTAATCTTCATTATATTGCATGTGTAGGTAAAGGCATAGCTGCTCTGACATTTGACAAAGATTATCAACGAAAACGACAGGAGCAGCTAAATAAACAACCAGCTAATTTACAGGAGAGTCTTGCGCGTAGTGGAAAGGGTTTGGTAATGGTGAGTGACGGCGTAGTCTTTTTTATTACGAAAAAGTTATTTAACTTTAAGACTTTGACATGATTTACGAATATTATATCTACGATAGGGTTTTGTGGACGGTGTAACTGGTGTGGTCATGAAACCGATATCAGGTGGTAAAGAGGAAGGTGTTGAAGGATTCTTTAAAGGCGTTGGAAAAGGAATGATGGGTCTTGTCACAAGACCAACGGCAGGAGTTATAGATTTTGCAAGTGGATCCTTGGGAGCTGTTAGGAGGTATGTTGGAAATTGGCTTTCTGTATATATTGAAAATTGCATCGCAAGATTATCATTTAATGAAAAATGTATTTCAGAGCGACTGATATGGGTGAAGAAGTGAAAAGGACGAGACCTCCTAGATTCTTACAACCCGATAGCTTAGTGAGGCCTTACGTTAGATATGAAGCTGAGGGCAATAAAATTTTATGTGTAAGTTGCAAAGCATTTAAACTAAAATTATAATTTTACCGTTAATCTTATATTTTGTTTTTGTAGGAGGTAGAAAAAGGAAAATATGCGAATACGGATATTTATTTCTATCATATATTTATCAATAAGGATGGGCTGCTTCTCACAGATAAACGAATAGCATTCATACAACATAGTGATCTTTTCGGAGGATGGAAGGTGGGTATTAAGTTCTATGTAATTAGTGCGCTAAGACCCTGGTTAGAACTCGCTGTTCAGTGCTCTAAATTCTAAGAACGTATCCTGAGAGTTAACCAAAGTTTTACTGTATCTAAAGATATGCATATACATACAGTCTTAAGAAGGTGTTTTGAATAATATATTCCGTCAGGTTGACTGGGCTTATACTTGGCCAGAAATTAGTAGCAACCCCAGGATTGTTGATAAAGGTGTTCAAATTAATATCAAAGACAATGCAAAAAAGAAGAAGTTAACTAATTTCTTTGGAAATACGGATCTGATTAAGATTATTTTGATTCCGGATTACAATGAGAGACAGGTAAAGTTTGTATTACAAAATTTGTCTAACTATGTGAAATCTCATAGTCACAAACAATTATTTTAGCACCTTTAAATCATAAATATTGATTAATGTTCTGTTTGTTACAGTTACTGTGCAGAAAGATACAGGAGCAACTTAACCAACATGGATCGTAACTTCATAAATTGTGATTGTTATATTAATCTTTCGTTATTATTAATTTTGTACCTAATGGTATATGGTGTTATATGCCACGATTACTATAAAGAGTCCTTACACCACGCGTTAAGTTTCAAAAGTTACTATATATAACATTGCAGCACAATTTAAATTACACTAAATAAATATAAACTCTGTTGCGAGACTGAAGTAATGAAAGCAAAGCTTGACGTAGTATGAGAATTAGTTACCTTACGACACTACTGTAGAATGGACTATACTAATTTTGAAGTGAGATATATTTACAAATATTACGTACCTGCGAATATGATATGGGAATACTACTACAGTTTTTACATTTACTCTGCAAATTGCTATATCATTCTGAGCAGAGAGAAATCATAATATGTTTATGAATGTACCTTTATAGCAATCGTTAATTATTAAGAATATACTGTAACGTTTTGGATTTGCTTTTTTTAGTTGGATGTGTATTGAATGATTGACATTTTTTACTAGTCTAGGTAGGTTGATTTTGCTAAAGATATCTTGAGCCATTATATTATGGTAATTATTTTCCAGTAAATATACTTGTCACTTGTTTGCTTAGAAGTTAAATGATAAAAAAGTTTTTAAAAAATGAATACGCAGTAAACTGGAATAACAAAAATTTTCTTCTCATAAGAATCATATTTGTTCCATCTATTTCATATATAGTTTATTTTTATCATTATAAATACATTAAACAGTTTTTCCGTTGCATTAAAATCGCGCTAATACCATCACCTAAAAATAAATCAAATTTCCTACAAGCCAATGTGCGTTATGCATTTTAATGTTACGAAATGGAACAACATGACCAGTGGCTTAATTCGAGAATTTCTGCTCGTCATAGAATCATATTATAGTTATCTATACATAATCAATACACTTACAAAATTTGATAAAAAATAAAGAAATATAATATTCAAATACACCCTTAAAACTCTAAGAGATTCATTTATTATGACATAGTAGTCGTTAACGTGTAATCAAAACTTAAAAAATGAATTGTACACATAATTTTTGTTTCGAAGGCTTGCAAGACTTCAAAAGTGTTGCAACTGCGCATGGTCTAACATGTATGTGACTATCTTATAATTTAAATTTTATACTTCTATGCCTTTATATAGCATTGCGCCGTAGGTATATTTTACAAATATACAAAATGAATAATTAAAACCTGTATCTCTTTAATTTACTTTTTAACCTACTACGATATTACGAGTATCGTCTTGTCTCTATTTAGCTGCATGCAATTGAGTGAGGCACAATCATAGCCACAGTGAGTTTAGAATAAGCATACCCTCCTTATGAACATTGGCATCGATATTCAAATGTTCAATACGAATATGACAGCAGAACTGTCAAACAATTAATGGATTTACGACATATTTAAGATTTGTTAAATAAGACAAAAAGAAATAGAAAACTCATGGGATCGGTGAAGCAACGCGACGACCAATTATCTACTAGGGGACGACCTTTATCACCTAGGTCTTATAATTAACCAATTCAAGTTCTACTTAAGAAACATATATTTTAATAATTCCTTTTAAATGACTTAATTTAGTGATGACCCTCCCAATTATCCACCACCACCGTATCCGACAAACGAACCACCACGTTACCCGTTTTCTCACGACCCGAATGATCAAATGATTCGTCAGGGACAACCACCCTCACAAGTCGTATCTGAATTGCCACCGCGACTACCAACCCTTGTAAAGGGTCAGAAGATCAGAAGCGTAAGCAAGACATGCTGCAGTTAGTTACTATAAGATACAAAGAAAATATACTAAATTTCATTCAGGGACCCTACATGATCACAGTGACCGATGAAATGGTTGCCGAACGGGAGCGTCAAAATGAAGCTCTATACAGAGAATGGCTGGAAGAAGAGCGAATAAGGAACATGAGTCCTGAAGACAGAGAAAGAGAACAATACATGGGGCAATTTCGTTACGCTAAAATTCGACGGGCTTTCATACGAAAAGTCTTTTGCATAGTAGCGTTACAGTTAGTGTTTACAACAGCCATTACTACTCTTTTCATAATGGAGTACGTAATAATTTCTATATTCTGAAACGTGAATTTGAGATGTAAGATAAAAAAAAGCAGTTGTACGAATTCATTGATAACTCTATATTAATTGCAGAGAAACGGTAAAGAAGTGGGTGCACTCGCATAAATACTTAATATTCGTATTCATGTAATGTATATGCCATTTATTCGCTAATTATTTAAGTATAACCGTTAATAATCATGATCTTACAGGCTAATTGGATTTGTTACATATATGCTTATAATTTGCTGTCAAAATCTGCGTAAAAGTTCTCCATGGAATTGCATACTATTATGCATAATGGTAATAAGACGTATATTTGTTTCAATTATTTTAATTTTAAATCAATATTACTTTGCATTGCTAATTAATAATATTTTTTTAATAACTGAGCACATTTCTCTAATAGACTCTGTCCTGGACTTACATGATAGCTTGTGCATCCACTCTATATAATATTAAAGTAGTTATCATAGCGTGTGCAGTGACTATGGTAACAACTTTCGTTATAACTTTTGTAGCAACATTTACTAAGGTTTGTTTCTTTATTTTAAGTCAATATCAATAATAGGATTGATATTAAAATATCATTTCAGTGCGATTTAACGAACCGGTCTGGATTGATGATTGTAATTATGGTGGTAATTCTGTTGGCATGTGTTGGTATGACCATTTCGAGACTCTTCACGGATATGAAAATATTACATTTAATATTTGCAAACCTGCTTGCACTATGTATCTGCGTGGTTATTATTATTCATCTTAATGAAAATTGATATTTTTGTTCGAATATATAAACATTCATTTACTTACAGATGATGTTTATAACGGTACAAGAAATCATGGGTGGTCGACGTGCCGAATTAAGTCCAGACGAAGTTGTTTATGCCGTTGCACAACTCTATCATGACATTGTATTCCTTTATCACTATTTACTTCTAATAACAGACTTATGTATGGGATAAACACGGAAAACTGATCGACAAAAGATTCATGTACACAAAGAATGCACAGAGAAAATTATGTTTGACTTACGGTCATATTTGTCGTTTTCGGTTAGCAAGTTTTTGCCGGTTATGATTAGATTCTTTGCGATGAATAACCTTGGATTTATGGATATTATGGTTAGTATTCACTGTAGATCACTATTTTATCGTTACTTGAATGATTATTGACTAGTTTAAATTCACAAGAATAACGGCCAATTTCACAAACACGATTAGCCGTTTAAACTCTATTTAACTTAGCGATTGACCAAACAGTTACTTGCGTTTTGATGATCAACCGAATTTAAACAATAAACTGTGTTTATCGAATCGGGCCTAAAGGCTGATATAAGATAAAAAGAAAGGATATCAAAGTACAATCTACCGACATGAATTCGCATCCACAGTTCCGCACAGACTGACTGCTCCCTTGATGCAGTCTTAGCACTTCGGTGTCATTGGTGGAGGTTGTATGGAATATTTTTTAACGAACATGAATCTATTCAATGCTTTTATATGATTAAACGTTACTCCTCATAGCATGTGTTATATTTGTATGAAGAATGAATAAACATGCGGTTGAGGTAATTTCAACGTGAGTGCCGTAATGCTTGTTTGTCGAAACTTCAAATTGGTGACTTCTTCATGTTTTATTTTTTGACGTTCCGTTAAGCAACAGCAGTAAGAACCTCGTGTGACAATGGGTAGATTTCACTGAATGAAGTGTTATCATTGGTTACAGTACATCGCTACGTAAAATAATACACCTATTGTGACAGTTATGCTAATTTTTTCATCACTGGCAAAAATATTTTGGAAAAAATTCTTCTGTATAATGTACTAAAAACTAGGATCAGAGAGAATCTGATTTTCGAATTGTATTGTTGTTATTTTGCCCTATACTTATATGTTTAAATGTAGTTATTTCTAGCAGAAATTCGTTCAAGAGTCAAGAGTGTGATTACTCTTTATCGATTTCATATTTAAGTTGATTTTGAAAAAAAAAAAGAATGTCCTGGGCTCGTCCGGGATTTGAACCCGGGACCTCTCGCACCCGAAGCGAGAATCATACCCCTAGACCAACGAGCCATATGATAGGTACATTTTAATATATTGTACTAATGCAATAATTTCTAGAACTTATTGTAATGTGACATTCTTAAGACAACGATCTCAAAGAATTAAAAATATTATGAAAATTCCTGTCTCCTCAGGTATACACTATACGCTTTGAACAATCAGCACGTTACCATATCCTTATGAAACGGCACTGAACTTTATCATATGAAATCAAGAAATTAATTGCATTTGCATCAATCGTACACAAACCAAAAAAAAACACAAAATAAGTGCAACAAACTATATAAAAATAGTAAATACAGTGTAAGCAATATACTCCCGTGTCAAAGTGCAATGAGCTCGAAAATGAATACACGTTATCTTCGGTGGAGGTAAAACGTGACCTTTCAACTGTTTCGTCAGAAATTAATTGCTTCGGTTGAGTGATTCACTATATAAATGCGTACAATAAAAGTAACCCACCCCTGCACAACTGTAAGTGAAATATAACAAAGCCTTTTCCGAACTATTCGAAATACTATTGCTGCTGCTACTTTTGAAAACCGCATGAGATAATAAAATTTAACGTGTGATAATACAGTAAAACCTTCTTGCTCGGGATGATTGTCAAGAAAATTGATGTTCTACTAAGCCACGACTATTATAGTTTAATGTACGGGAACAATTCTGTCAAACATCACAGGGTACTGGTCGCACAGACAGTTGCTGCCGCGTTTAAATAAAGTGTGTAAATATTTTTTTCATGGTCATTACTGTTCGAGAAAATTACAGGAAAATAAAGGATTACAATTTTCGTCCACTCTTTTATAGTTAACATTTTCAGAAGAATATAATTCTTTGCAAAATCACTCTTTGATACTGTTTAGTTGTCAAAAAGGTGTTTTATTAAGAAAAAATATTTCATAAACAAGTTTTTATTTGATACGTTGCTACGTTACAACCATATACACCTTCTGTCACATAGAACACAGGAAATTCAGATAAGTCTAAGAAACATTATTGAATCGTAACAAGTAGATTGACGTGTTTGAGCAATGTTTCTATAACGGGGAAAGTGTCAAAAAATGGACAGTCGGAGAAACTTGACGTCTAACGTTATACTTGTAGAAATTAAACTTTTGTAAAATTGCACGTCTGTTTATATAAAATATTAATTTTTCTATGCATTTAGTTGAAATTACGAAACCGCTTTTTTGCAAATTTTCAAACACAAACGCTACACAGGGTGACTAATAGCAGCATTCGAACTTTATGCACTTGCCATGTCGTCAGAAATTTTGTTATTGACCAAGTCGATCTGATAGAAATCCGACATTTATTCCAGAGGGAATTAACCCTAACGGTTCACAATTTAAAATATTATAAAGGGGAGAAAGAATAGCTCCGAGAAAAATAATTTCAGGGTACCGTTCTAGGCTTAAAATTCGATATTCTTCAGAATGGTAAATTTTACGGTTATACCCTGCTTTACGTAATGCATACGTTTTTACCAAATTCTCGATATACGATTCTCGTGTATAGTGAGGGGGAAAAAAGAACTTTAAAATTTCAATTAAAATGCAGATACAAGTAGCATGACAACTATTTCTTAATTGAGTGATAAAGTCGACTTAATGGACGATCAAATACAAAATTACGGGTCACATAAAATTATGTATATAATAAACATTTTTTATATAATAAACACATATAAATAAACATTTTTCTTATATTTTCACTAATTAACTTTTCAACTTTATATCACGTATTAATCTTTATTACTACTTTGTTTATGATGCTTGAATAACCTTATCGATAAGAGCACTCGCCAGAAGAATAGGAATTCAGATGTATGAATTTGCATAGTGTATCAATATAACATGACTGCATATATAGGTATATAGAACACGTGTTTGTAGGTTCACGTATATATTGAAAGTCCGAACTGTCCAGCCAGGCATTGTACATTTAGTTATCTTTCTAGTTGAATGCAGTTGCTGTCATTATTTGTCCGACATTTCGTAAAGTCAGTTCGAAGCAAAGATATTTCATACTGCAGAGGTAAAAGAAGAATTTAACAAATTTTCATTTTATTCTGTCTGTTAATATATTCTATTTTTCATAATGAGTACAACGTTATAATTTATTTTTAAAAATTTGTTATACTTGCCCGTTCTCAGATTTCAACACCGATTAGTTTTATAGTTCAACTGTCAGAATTGCTTAGCGGCATTAGCTTTTGTTAAGGTAGTCCGATCGGTACAGTCTAATCACGTGATAGTGAAAATGAAAAAAAATGTTAAACAAATATAAAGCATGAAATTGAAATTCAAAAATCTATGTACCTACTGCTATTGTTAATAATTTTGAAACTATTATTTCTTTTAACGTTACAGGCACTTTGCCGTTTCTCAAATACAGCTTTCTGAATGTTAATTTCATGCTTTACATTTGTTTAAATCTTTTTTCATTTTCACTTTCACGTAATGGGACTGTACTGCTCGGACTACCTTAAATGATACAAAGGCTCCTTATCGATCGACCGTTAACCTTTACAGTAATTTTCAAAATTGGTCTACTTTCACTTCTAAAAGTTTCACGAAAGTTGGATGAACTACGCATCCTCAATTGTGAACCAATCGGTGGAACTAGAATAGTCGTTTATCGTCCTCGATTCTTGCGAACTTCACACTCTACTTTGATACTTCGAGTGCTTAAAATATTATACTAAATATCCATACGCAAAGATCGATAATTAAGAAATTTGTTGCATAATTAAAAAAATTATGAAACTTACGTAATTGAAAACCCGCCATTTTTCAAGCGATTTATTAATTTCAGCAGCTAACAAAAAGTCATCATGTCGAAGCTCTTAAATTTCTATTCAATAATCTTTCTCCATTTTGCACCAAGGCTGCGAGGTAAGTCAGACATTTAGTACTGACCATTAGTACAAGCAGTAATTTTGAAAATACTTTTTAAAAATCCAAATTGCTTATATACAATATTATATTAAATTTTGATATCGTCGGGTGACAGGTGCAGCAATTCACAGTGAGCAATCCGGAAATCATAAAACTCATATCGATAAGTTGCCCATGTATTCTTACAAAAACCCTGAAGAATGGAAAGTCTATAATTCAAATTGCAACGGCCAGAGACAATCTCCCGTAAACATCCTCAGCGCCAACATGGCGCTTATAGAAACAGCCAATCCGCTGACTTGGAAAGGATACCGCGAGCAACCGTTAAATATGTCTCTCGAAAATAACGGCCATGCAGGTAAGTAAGTTTTTTCATAGTCGTCCGCGAATAAAATGTTTTTTGACAGATGCAAAAACAAGAAAATCCTCATCGAGTAACACGTGGCCTTGCATACGATTTGCATGGACGAGCATGGAACGATTATTTTATTCTTCTCTTGCACTATCTATTTCAGTGAATTACACAGAATGCCATTGCCTAGGGATTTCGTTGTTTTCGATTTCTTAAGAAAAACGCATTTTATTCCTGAGCTGAGTAACGTTACGGTGATATTAGCATTTCCTGCCAATTAGCAAACATTTAGAATTATTATTTGACAGTGGAAATCAAGGTTCAATGGGAACACAATCCACCGTATATTACTGGAGGCGCAGCTGGGGATTCCGTCTACGTCTTTGACAGCATGCACTTTCATTGGGCACATCATGACGAAGTAGGAAGCGAGCACACGGTCAATAATTACAGGTAAGAGTAAGTGAATAAATAAATAACTAAAAATAATTCTTCGTCGTGATAAAAGTAAAATTTCAGTTTTCCTATTGAAATGCACCTAGTGCACCACAATAATCGTTACCAGTCTTTCGAAGAAGCGCGGGAAAACTTCGACGGTCTCCTCGTGGTTGCATTTTTCTACGAGGTAATTATCCAGATACCCTTTTTATTCCTAAAATAAAGAAACAAGCATTTCAAGATGACTCGCTGATTACTTGTAAACACATTTCTTGCGATTATGACTTTTACGTAACTGTTGCATACACCTTATGACGTATAAGTGGGCAGTTGACGCTATATAAATATATTTTATATAACGGAAATATATATATGTTGAATTGCAGTTAAACGAAGAATCAAATTATGCCTTGGATTCCCTTCGGGAAGGTTTGAAGGCAATAACGGAAACTGGAAGTCACGTAAATATCAAACCTTTTCCTCTAGAAAGATTTCACTTGGAATTTCACGACAAGTACACTGCTTATCTGGGATCACTGACAACTCCGCCGTGTCAGGAGTCGGTACTTTGGATATTGGCCTCGGAGCCATTGAGTTTGACTCGTAAACAGGTATATACAATTATGGTTTTAACCTTAGAGCTGTATTATGGGGTACGTCGATACCCCACTGCCCTTATGAAATCCTTCGCGATTTTTCGTCGACTCTGTGAACTAGAAATAAAATGCAACTGAGATTGAGGAAAATTCCAACTGGACATTCCCAGATGTTGCCATTTGAACATACAACCCGTTTGTATTCATATCGATTAGATATAGTCATAACACGGATAAATAGTCATCCCAGTTGAATATATTTCCATAGTCATTTATAGAATATCTGAATATACACTTCCTAATTGGACAAAGCCCAAGTATATACTAGCAGCAAGTAATTTTAGTTTTTTCGATTCAGGTTTAAATTGATACATTAAACATAATTTTAACACTAAACCTACCAGAGCGGTCAAATGACCGCTTTTGAGACTTTAATCAAAATTGTTAAATTCCAGGTTTTTATTTTTCTTGAGCTTACTGCACGACTATGCTAAATTCTGTATTAATTATAATCAACTGGAAAAGACTATAATGTTTATTTCGAAAGCGGTCATTTGACAGCCATCGGTAGAAATAGGTATATATAATATGTCGGTAGGTTTAGTGTTAAATGCCGTACGTGGGTTACAATTGAAATATATTTTCTGATTTTTTGACCAAGTTAAATCTATAGTATCGAGACGAGGTATCCGATTCAGCAGTGAAAAGTTAGGCTTCAAATTTGTATCAAGGGCTTGGTTCGAAGAAACCACGTTTAATTGCTCCTCATGAGTAATCGAATTTTATCCAATTGGTAAATATATATTTGGATCTTATATCAATTACTGAGGAATGTCCAATTGCAATTTTCTCAACTGGTTAAATGTTTAGCGGGTTATGTCTGATAGATACGAATGTGTCTAATAGACACCAGTCCACTCGGTCTCCCAGGGTACAGCTTATGGTACGCCCAGGACTTGCACAGTTCCAGGGTTGGTAAGTGATTAAGATTTCTCCTCTAAAGCTTTTTTTTTCTTGGTTTGTAGATTGAATTGTTCAGAACCATTCACCTGAGTAACAAGGATGACCATAATAACAGACCTACGCAACCTCTTAACAATCGTAGGATCTTCTACTTCTCGGACACGGAGTAGACATTTGCATAAACGAAAATATGGGACATAGTTACGAGGATCAGGCAGATGACGTCATCGCTGATTATACTGTGAATAAAGAAAATGAACGGCTCTTAATAGATTCTATGTATATGTATAGACCCACTGTATATGTTCTATATGCTACGCCCTTGGTGGATCCTTTGTATAGAAATGAGCTATGGTAGATCAATATGGAATTTTAACTTTAAATCGTATAAGATAAGAAAAATCTTTCTGCAGTTTGAATATTAATTTTTAAGAAATTATATGCAACGTTAATTTCTAATGCTAATAATAATCTGCGAAATTCACATGATCTTTTTAAATTTTCTGCATCGCTCATATAAGGATTCTGGACATTTTTTATGTTCTAGATCTCAATATTATTTGCAATTCAAAATGCTAGTCCTGCTTCCTCGTACGTTCGAAAAATCTTTTCCACGGCATAGCAATATGCTGCTAGTCTTATGTCCAGGCAGAGATCATATTTATTAGCTGTTTCCATAATCCGCTGAAACATAAAAGAGTCAATGCAAGTCCGATAATGTATATTGGATCTCGAGTCGAAAAATTAGCACCGGTTTGAATTTATTTATTCTACACAAAATTACGGGATAGCGACACTCGAGTGGGTTAACACCAGTCTGAGCCTCCAGTTGTCAGTTATTTCCAAAAATGATGACTCTAGGTTGAAAACGGTGTTAACAAATCTCGTTTTAAATCTCAAAGTCCAATTTTGAAAAATTTTAGGGTATATTCAGACCAAAGGCAGCGAAGAGCAGAAGAATAAGGAGACCAACGAGCAAATAAATCTTGCCTATTGGTCGCTGTTCGTTATCTTTGGTCTGAATGAGCCGTTAGACCCATTTTCAGTCTGAAGACTCTGACTAGTGATTTCAGGAGGATCTCTAAATTAATTTTAATCTGTGTTTATATGAATCTCAGCAAATCGATTTTATTTCATAAGAATAATCAGGTCTATGTCTGTGTTTACGCGCTCTTGTTAAACCCAGTGTTAACCTCAAAGTTCTGCCTATAGGATATTATAGATTGAAACTGGTTGAAACTGCAATCGGCAAACCCAAAGAAAGAATACAGGTTGTATAGACTCGCAGCGGTGCCAGATTTTCGACTGTGACTAGTGCTAAAGTATTACGTAAGCTGCGGTTTCCATGGAACTGTCCAAACTACTATTAACTATGTCTCTTTCCGTCGCTGCTGATATTCTTCTCTCAAAGGCGTCAGTAGGTTTTATTTTAACTCCATCGATTTTGTCCTTTAGCGACTGTTCAACGGAATCTAACGAAAATTTAATCTTTAAGATTTTTAATAAAACAAATAAAAACGTTCTCTATACCCAGTAGATGATAGTTAGATTCTCTTTCGTATTTGAAATGAAGTCTGCCGAAGGAGACATGACTAATATTTTTGATCCATTCAAAATATGATACTGTTACACCGCCACCACTCATGTATAAATCGGGAATGACCAATACGTTTTTTTCGAGAAAAATTTTATCAGCTTCCGGTGTACAGGGCCCGTTTGCACCTTCGGCTATGATCTAAGGGACACAGATACGTTGTTATTTTCATTAAAATAACTTTCTATTACATATCTAGATACTGCAGTCACTTTAGCTTGAATTTTCTTAGCATCTTTTCCTTTGACCAACTTCTCCGCTGCGGCTGGCACAAAAATGTCACATTTTTCGTACATCAAATTCTCGCCATTGTATTCATCAGCACCATCGAACCCTTTCACAGTTTTCTTATTGTTGAAATACTTTATCAGCGCCTTAATTATTACAAGGACATTTTATATTTTGCTATATGTCGTGTTGAACATGCTTTTTGAGTTCAATACCTCGGGATTTATGCCATTCTCATTGTACAAAGAGACCTCACGTTCTATCACTCCTATACATTTGGCTCCGGCTTTGGTGAAATATACCGCGGCAAAACGACCAACGTTGCCAAATCCCTGATTTAGAAAAAAGAAACAATTTCTTCACTGGACTTTCTTGTGGACTTATTGACTCAACAGGTTTTACACGTACCTGAACAATAAAAGTCTTATTTGGAAATCCCGTACTAAGGCCAACATGCGACATCCATTTTTCTTCAGAAAGAAAATTATCCACAGCATGATAAATTCCGCGACCCGTCGCTTCGCTTCTGCCTTGAACTCCACCCTGATTTATAGGTTTACCAGTGACCACAGCATGGGAATTTATATCGTTCAATCCTAAAATCTTTATTTGAATCAGTTACTTTTTTTTTATGGAAGTTCCGGTCTACCTAGAGTCTTTGAGTAAGTGTCAGCCATCCAGGACATTTCTCTAGGACCAGTATTGACATCAGGAGCTGGAACGTCAATCGCTGGACCGATCATATTCTTTTTAACAAGTTCCAGTGTAAATCGTCTAGTGATCTTTTGTAATTCTTGAGCAGAATATTTCTTAGGGTCTATGACGACACCAGCTTTGGCTCCACCAAACGGAACGTTACAGCAAGCACATTTAAATGTCATCAGTGATGCCAGTGCACGAACTTCGTCTCTAGTCACGTCGGGCCCGAATCTCATGCCACCTTTGCAAGGTAACCTGGTTGATCATGCAATTAGAATAAGTATTCTTATAAATGTATCTCGCACTAGCAATACCTGTGCGTATTGTGATGCGCTCTGTATCCTGTAATTATTTCATATTCTCCATTGTCCCTCCTGATAGGAAACGTAACCTCAATCGTGTTCTGACAAACGGACATGACCTTAATAATCCCCTTGACTCGACGTGTTCGACCTTCTTCAGACAAGTCATGATACTTTTGTAAATCTTTCAAAAAAGATTTTTCCATTATCATAACTGCACGATGATAATGATACTCGACCATTTCGAAAAAATTGGGATCATCGATTTTCTCGATTCCTACCAAATGTTCAGGCATTTGATGACTGGAACGTAAACATGAAGTAGTCTTAGGATTACATCGAATTAAATTGCTTAAAATATTGGAAGCTCGTAATTTATAGAAACTCTGCATTGTGTATGCGTGACACGAGAAAAAAAAAATAGTAATTGAACCGATAGAGATGTCAGCAATGCAATTGCAGTTGAGATTCTTCCTTGTTTCAAGGAATGCAGTTCAGCTGATTCTATTTCAATGATACTTACAGGATGATATAAAGAAAAAATTCTTCAGTTTTCGGTGTACATTTATTAACATAAGTTTGCGGCCATGTAACAATATTACGCTCTGCAATAATACACAGCGCTTGACGGATCAGTACAAATGGGTTCCCACCAATAAATAACGTCGGATACCTTTTCTCTAAATAGAAGAAGCACAGTGTACTCCAGGCCAAATAAATATAAGTTAATATAAAATGGATAAACCCATGTTTCATTAACAATTTCATGATCATTTTCATTAAAAGCAATGATTTCTTGATAAAAAGTGAAATATATAAATATTTAACGTCCTGCGTCTTCATCGCATCTCTCACATGATTAGTTTTAGAGAAAACGTATGATGGTACTGTTCCCGACGTTAAATACGTTGTCGTGCATTAGGTGTATCTCGCGAATATCTTGTGAACACCTTCCCCGGAAAAGGCAAAGGAAGTATGAGTAAGGAGAAGTGACGTCAACGATCTGAGACGTTTAGATCATTTCTTAACACTGTAAAGGAGTTTTTATCGGCAGTAGTGAAAATTGCCAATGGAGAAAGATTATCGAAATACTGAATACCCACGCCGTTGATCATCGGCATAGCTTAACAAGCTCATTGCTTTTCCAGTTTATTAACTTGTCGTTTTATCGGATGACTAGTGTTCTTAGAAAGCGAGACCAGCCTCGGAGTAAGTGGTGAAGATTTTCTCAATAGAGTTCGCGTAAGCAGCTGTCCTCAGGTCAAGACCGAGATTGAATTTCATCGCAGTCTTCATAATGGCCTGAGAGGAAACATGATATTTAAATACCTTGATTCTCTCAACACGAAAACTTGTGATAAGCCTAATCAATAAAGTTTACTGACCCTGGCAGACCGTTCCATGGTGTAGTCCAGACCGGAATGGACGATGTCCTTTTCGGAAGCACCGGAAATACGTTTCTGGAAGGCTTCTGAAGGTGTAACGGGGATGCGACCGCCAACGCGTCCAAACCTGCGTTCAAGAGACTCCTGGACCGATTCTGTTAACAGATTAATAAACCACAGTGAAAGATTTAAAAGGTCACTGAACAATGTTGGATTAATCGGGATCTAAATTCGTCAGTAACAGGTCCAAACCTCGTTCAAGCGACTGCTGCACGGATTCTGCGATAAGAAGAATGAGGAAAACAGTAAGAGGTTTTGGCAAGGAGTGAAAGAGAAAAAGGACTACGTTGCTATCAACAGAATATAAACGAAGAATAAAGAACTTACCGAGTAGATGATAGTTGGATTCTCGTTCGTACTTGAAGGTGAGTCGACCGTAAGATACGTGGTTCAGATTCTTCAACCATTCAAAGAATGATACGGTTACACCACCAGCGTTAATATACAAGTCGGGAATAACAAGGATGTTCCTCTCAATGAGAATTTGGTCAGCAGCGGGCGTGGTGGGTCCGTTAGCAGCTTCGGCGACGATCTTAGCTTGGATACGTCCAGCGTTGTCCTTTGTAATAACTTTTTCAATTGCAGCGGGAATGAAGATGTCGCAGGGTTCGTACATAAGGTTTTCGCCTTCGTAAGGTTTCGCACCAGGGAAGCCAACAATGCTACCAGTTTCGATACGATAATCTTCCAGTTGCTGTAACAAATAAAAACCCAAATTGTGTAAGGATATAGTTCTATATGTATAAGTGTTCTTCAGTACACAGTTCTGAAGTACGGTACTAAAGTATTAAAAGTAACTAGCACTGTTGGAAGTTACTCCTTTGATGCCTACCTTGGGGTCAATGCCCTCAGGATTGAAGATAGAACCGTCGTGTTCGATTACTCCAATGCAGACTGCTCCAGCACGATGCAAGTAGCGCATAGAATGAAGACCCACGTTACCAAAACCTTGGACAATGAATGTCTTGCCTCCCCATCCAGGTGTAGTACCTAATAAATTATAATGAAGTTTTTAAATAAAGCAAATTATAAATATTTTCATCGATTGCCATTACTTACCAATCATACTCATATAATTAGCTTCGTTAATGAAATTTTCAAGACCGTGGAAGACACCACGTCCAGTTGCAGAGATTCTTCCATGAATTCCACCCTGATTGATTGGTTTACCAGTAACGCAAGCATGGGAATTGATATCCAAGTGTCCAATTGTCTTGGCATAGGTGTCAGCAATCCAGGACATTTCACGTTCTCCAGTGCCCATATCAGGTGCAGGTACATCAACACCAGGTCCTGGTAATAATAATATAATGTACAATTTATTCATAAAATATATAAACAAGTTTCATATTATCTCTTCTACCAATGAATCCCTTCTTGGCCAACTCCAAGGTGAATCTTCTGGTGATTTTTTCCAGCTCATGCTCGGAGTAAGCCTTGGGGTTGATCTTGATACCAGCCTTAGCGCCACCAAACGGTACATCCACGCAGGCACATTTGAACGTCATCAGAGCAGACAGGGCTTTTACCTCGTCCCGGCAAACATCCATTGAAAAACGGATACCTAATGAACGAGAAGAAACATTGAAAAGAGTTAGAAATTATCCAAAATCGGCCTTCAATTATTATTTAATAACCTTTATTGCCTAAGTCCGTCATATGCATATTAAGAGTACAAAATTAATGGCAAACAGATTTTATAAATAGTAAAACGTTTAAATAAAGTAGTTTACGCTCTTTATTACTTAAGGCCAACCATATTGACTACGTACAGTGTCAAGTAAATCTGTTTATCCACAGTACTGCACCAACAGGTGCAAATTGGTAGGTTCTAATTATTATTTTTTTCAATTAAATTTCGCATCTGCCAGCCATATGGTCATGTTACACTACGCTAATTCGAAAAATTCATATTTTCCAAGTATATTGACATATCCCGTATACGTCAAACTTTTGCAAGTACCAGAAGTATGAGCCAAGATTAGATATTTAAAATATAACATTGAATCAGGGTGCATTACCGAAAAACGAACACCTCCGAAAAGTTTGGAACTCTACATTTTGACACCCTGATTGCCAATACCTGATCTTTGAATAATAAGAAAATAAATTTATCAGTCACCAAAGATCCCATGAGCTATTACAAAATTAATAAGTCTTGTCATTTTAAAACACGATAACGATACCCCGCGAAGTTATCATTATCTCGACAAGCGTCGCTGTACATATATAAAACAGTCTTAAGACACAAATTACACTCAATCTGGTATTACTATACACTTAAAAAGTCTAATCGGACTACGACAATCTCTAATGTACATTATTGATAATTTTAATTAAACCGACTGGCGATTAATAGTCGGAATAAATAAAGTACTCGAATACCGAAAGAAAAGTAATTTTTCAACGTCTTGTCGCCTAAGATGCTATCTTTCATTATTGTTACGTTATCTCTGAAAATTAACTCTTTAAAACTCAGATGTATTCTATTTTTAAATCTTAGATAGATACTATTAATATCATAGAGACTCTATGAATTTGTTGGCAAGCTTGACACGAACCCAGCAGACAGCTCGGTATCGCGACTCCTCAATAGTTAATTGCATCCGTAATAATTATCCGACATCCCTTACACCCAAGTGCAAAGAAAACTGGCAACGCAGGAAAAAGAGACTTTAAACGCAAATCTTGAAAAAAAACAGACTCGTGTAATCAATCCGTATGCGATTATCTCCCATCTAAAGAACTCGATGCCTCAGTGATAGTGGCAAACAGCTGGCACGTCGCGTTACATCACAAGATACATAAGAGCGATGCGTAACACAGTGTCACGAGTTTGTTCGGGGACCTGTTTACGGGACTAAAAAAAGAGAATCGCCTGCGGACGAGCCCCTATCTATTTATAATGAGACCAATCGGATACCTATGAGTACTTGGTCCATACCTCATGCCATATGCCCTACATTGTACCAGCGCGGTAAACTGAGAATTCGACCATTTTGAATCTATCATTCATTCTTGTACACTTGACCGTTCGAAATAATAAATCTAAATAATAGGCCGGACCAATATTCTCACGAGTACTTTTCATCGTGAAATTATCATTTGACAGCTGATGCAAGTCGAGGATGAGTTTATTGTAATAAAAATTAAAGAAAAACATTGATCTTCCTCGCTCTTACCTCGTATTCGAACAAAGCATTGTTAATTGATTTGTTTATCGAGAGCGACCGGCACGTGTTTGTAATCTAGTACTTTTCAATCTTTAAGGTTACGTAATGCCGAATATCAGCTACGTTCGCACCCATTTACTAAACTTGGCTGAGTCTTTGTTACTGCTGTGATGATTATGAGCGTAGTAATTATTTGTCGCTATGGCACAATGAGAGACATTTCGTTAACGATTAACGAAAAGGAGGATGGTACGTGAGTTTTTGAAATTTTCAACTATTGCGCAATTCTCGTAAGAGCAATTAAACGAATAACGTAACTTGACCAGGTATTTAATTTTAACGTACAATTCTAATAAAATTAAAAACAAGTCGAATTGAATTTATTTTAAAAGTGAATAATTCTTTTTTTCAAGTGCAAAATACTCCACGCATAGTCAAGATGTACCAGTCGTGTGTCATTGCGTGTTTTCTGTATCATGTGTTTTGGGTGAGAACCAATGATAACGCGGTTTGCTTAATCAGCGTACATTAGAGAATCGTGTGACAGCCTTCGTAAGTGACGTAATCGAAACATTAGCATGTACACTAATAAGTGATGCCACCATAAAAAGACGAGAATAAATGTAAAAATAGAAAATAAAGCCTGACTGCGTACGGAAGGTAGGCTTAAATTCTTACACCAGTATCAGGCGATGTTTACGCGAATGAAGTGTAGAAAAATATAAAAATTCTTTTGAATTTATATATTATAAAATAATTGTCTTGCCACTTCCGGATTGAGGTACTAATAAGTGACGCCACCATAGAAAGACGAGAATAAATGTAAAAATAGAAAATAAAGTCTGACTGCGTACGGAAGGTAGGCTTAAATTCGTACACCAGTATCAGGCGATGTTTACGCGAATGAAGTGTAGAAAAATATAAAAATTCTTTTAAATTTATATATTATAAAATAATTGTCTTGCCACTTCCGGATTGAGGTGATATCCCCAAAAACTTACGAAGCCGTAAAAAGTACGAGGAACGCAGAACAGAACAGTTGAGAATACATAGTAATTTTCAAGCCAGAAGTAGCAGCAAAGCACAGAAATTTGTGTCAACTAGTAAAAGAAAGACAGGGTGCACGTGCGTTATAATTAAGCCCTAGTAGTCAGCTTGACGAAGATTAATTTTTAAATTACGATTTCGAGATTTCGTGTAACGTAACTAGCTTTTTCGAAATACAGACAAAAGCTGATATTTTCAGTCTCCCGTAGTTAGCGCACTCTGCTGTTTTGCTGCAAGGAAATAATAATATAGCGAGCGACCTCAATTTTACTAGCGCGATGAATGCTTCACTGATGTGCAGGCTCCACCAGTGTCGACGAACAAATCGAAAGGCTCGATCTATCAGTGACAAGTACAACGAGAGTCAAAAACATTATTGGCAGATATTAAAAATGTTAATAAGTGTCTGGATACTATAAAGAGAATCTTACGAATGATGAGAAGTAAATTGCATATGTAAGTTTTTCAATAACAATACTTGTTCCGTTATCGGATATATATATATATATATACCTTATTACCTGGGCGAATTGTATAGCCTCGTATTTATACGCCGTTCGTTTCTTGTTATTTATAAATTTGTATTCTCTTCTGTAGACTGACGATACTCCAAATAACATACTCATTTAAAATGGAATATTGCCAAAAATTTCTTTATTCGTATTTATTCATGAAAATTATATTGATTAATGATTGTACTTTTTGCAAAAAAGAGTTACGTTTTTACTATCGCTGTATAGCGAGCCAAATGCTCGGTACCTATTTCTCTATGAATTTAGAGCACTTAGCTACACACTGACTGCTACCTCATTCAAGCATTTCTGCATAGAACCTTTGACAATGGGATATGAGAAAGGCGAAGATTCGTTCAACTCGATTTTTCATCGTCACGCGGAGCTACGTGTTCAACACTATTTTTAACAGTTTGGGAATCAGAGCGGCCAGCTAACACTGGCCCAGATAGAAAAAGGCCACAAATTGGCCAGCAACCGTAAGTAAGTTTATCGGGGAAATGTTTACAAGTTGCGTCCGCGTTTGCATATCGATGCACCACGTAACCACAATAATGAAGCGATAAACAGAAAAATTGTTTGCCGACTGGTGATGCCGTAAACGTTTGATAAAACAGTTGTTGCTTTCAATCTTCTTCAGTAACGTATCAGAAACGTGTTCTCTACTACTGTAAGTTGTAGACGAATATACGGCAATTTGCCGAAATTTTAGCAGTTTCCGTTTTTCTTTGATCACATTTTGCTATTTGAGGTTTTCAATTTACTGCAGAGATCGCCACAACGATGAAAATACGTGTAGAGTACTCCCAAAATAAATGGATTTGACACGTCGTCAACTGTCATAAAGGAATCTTTCCGCGTATAACGTGTGCTATACGTTTAACCATTAACGGTTACGTGGTCTTTCACTGACTCCAACGTAACGTGTGATCCTTATGAAAATTTTACTGAAATATGACCGTTAAGGATTGTCACAGGAAATTTTTAACCTTTACGCTGGAAATACGCATTTCGTGATAATCTACTCCATGTCAATCATGGAATTCGTCTCACAGCCGACGAAACGAAAAGGTTTTTCAGACAATATCCTACAGTTTGAAATCAGAAATCAACGAATTCTTACGAGACCAATGCGAAGCCGGCTAGCTGATAAAAAAGAGTCGACCTTGATACAATTAAATGTCCAAAGAATGGTCTTCGAGTCTTTCTAAACCAGACAAAGAAAATATGTTTCTCAAGTGTCTCTACCTGACAAAAAGATTTCTAGCCTAGTGAGTTTGTAATATTAACCCTGCGGGCAGGAATCAGCTCGGGGAAAAGCGCGGCAATTTCACACGAGTGTCGGCATTTGGTATCACTAGCATCATTTGTTATCAAAAACTGTGAAACAAACGTAAAAAAATAAACAAAACTTTTGAGACAGATAACTCTGGTAGAAATATAAATAGGACAGAAAGCAGGGCCCGATAAAATTTTCTTAGTGCCCTATAGAGACCACCGATGGGAAAGCAGACTAGCGCCTCATCTGGTTTGTAACATTTTTATTTTCCACGTAGCTTTCAGAATTTGCACTGCTACTAATTTATCTGGTTAAATGTTCACTGGCACATGAAAACTTATATTCACTCTCAATTGATACTTGTTAGGCATGAAATGATTGAAGAAATTGGTCATTGCACAAATCACCGAACATGCAGGGACCTTCGGCCTGTCAAACATGAATTGCATACCTTCCGAACAGTTTCGTAGGCCTTACATTTTTAATGACTATCTATCTTCTTCACGTAATACACTCTTTAGTTTTTGGTATTTTCGCACTTGAGTTTACATATCAATTTATTGCCTTTCCATAATAAAATTCATCTTGCACAATTAATGGTTGACACACGCCAAAAATACATAGTTGACTGCACAGTGCCATCTGACTGTAATTCAGTGCATCGTATACTGTAACGTTCGACGATCAGTGCGCCCTCTACACTAATTATGAATATCTTTAAAATTTGATCAGGGTCATTGTAGTTAACATTATCCTAAATCCAATGAGGAAATATGGCTTCTTGAAAAGGATTTCCCGATTAGGCTGTACCACGGAAAAATATGTTTAGACTATGACTATACCCGGAATAGCACCCGATCAATGCCTGATTAAGAAATAATAGTAGCAGCACAGTTCTGTTGCTGAAACGAAATAGTAGTACTTATGTATATACTATTTCATTTCAGCCGATCGCATCACTTGGACCAGCGCCGTTCTGTCATTTCATTCTGTCATTCGTGATCCGTTATTTTAACAATCACGGCGACGACTAATAGCGAAGACAGTCGTGGGTGGGGGTACAATATGTGGCGTTGCTATGTCTCTTACATCTGCTATGAAAGCGGCCCGGTGATGATAATCATAATAGTAATAGGGAATCACGGGTTAAACGACAATAAAAAAATGCCGAGACTTTTGGTTCAATAATAAGTGAGTGAAAAACATTAGATAACCTGACATTTGAGACAAGAATCATTACACTCTACAGAACGAAAATAAAGTTATTGAATTTTATTTTATATAGTTGAAATTGACATGTTTTTTGAATTTCTGATCTTAAGAATTATACAGTAAAGTATCTTCAATTTTTGCATAGACGAAAATTTAGTTATTGTATAATATATAGTAAAAATTTAGAACTTTATCTTGGATTAGTTGCTACCACCGAAATATGGCTCGAAATCATTTTAGCTAAACGGAGAAAAATAAAATTTCAGTTTCGGGTACGAAAAGCCTGAAATCTGAGAATTAATCACCGAATTGTATGAGTGTGAAAACACAAGAGGATCATAGCAATAATTCACATATCAACGAACATTGATAGTCATATTTAATGTATGAATTAGTATATTTCTGGGGCGTTATGGTACTGTATGGTATTGATGATATGATGATATACAGCGAAACTCCATTTTTCAAAGTTTATTTTATCCAACTTTTTCCTCGCGATTTACTGCCGTAAGGTATGGTTCTTTATGTAAGATGATTCATCAGAGTTCAAATTTAATACATTCAATCGGTTTTTTTACTCGCAATCTTATATTACAACGCATTCAATTTTACAGAAATAAGTGTTGCTACCCATATCTGTTAAAATAAATAATTTATTAAGCTGCTTGAGAATATTTTAATCTCTAGCATACATGCATTTTTTGGTTGAATCTTGTAATTTGATATTCGCAAACACTTTTTAGAAATTTAAAACATCTGCGGTAATTTGAATGTTGTACTTGTTTAAATATTGGATGAAAGTCAATAAACTGGGTAGAATTTCCTTTCTGACAAACAAAAACCGATCGCTACTCCATTTCAAATTTGATTTCGTTCTATTCTGCTATGAAAATAACGGCTAAACTCCAGAATACAACTCTTTCTTAAAGTTAACTGTGAATTGTTTAGTTTTTGTACATGTAGTTCTTCAAAGAGCATTCTGCAGTTTTACAAAAATAACTGAGTAGCGACTGACCTCCCTTGCAAGGTGTTCGATGAGTGGAATGCTGAGCACGATAGCCAGTGATCATCTCATAGTCGCCAGAATCACGTCTAAGCGGGAAGGATGTTTCCAAGATGTGATCGCAGGGCTGCATAAGCATAAGGATACCCTTGACCTTTTTCTTGCGATCCTCGACGCTAAGCTTTGATCCTTTTCCAATATCCTCGACTAGCTTATCCTCGACGATCTGACAAGCGCGATGAAAGAAATACTCAACCATGTCGAAGAATTTTGGATTTGGCGCGGTAGGCACATCTTTCAACCTGTCCGGTATTTGATGATCGGCGAAATTACGAGCTTGAATTGCGGCTGGTACTGCACGAGCCAAGGCACCCTGGACGTCTACACCTTGCTTCAACGCAGCCGACGACTTGGCTAAAGTTTTCAGATGGAACATCTTGCACCAATTAAGACTACGCAACCAAACCAACAATCTAACTCCCGGAATACAACGTGCTCAACCCTGTCTGTTTTTTGTTCGCCCAACTACGACACTGTACACCAACACCGATCGAAAGCAGCCTGCGTTCTCCGTACGTCGGCACACTGGCTCCTTTATAAATAGGCCACGTTATTGAGCTACCAATTGCATGCTTAGAAAGTCCCTAGCTGAAACGTAAGAATTTTTAAACTATAGACCAATCGATTTAGTGATTACAGCAGAATTTACGAATTGGAATAAGTTGACATAGGGGAAAGGTACTAGAAGGAAAATATAAAATACTAGAATTCAATGCCGTCAGATCTGATGTTTCTTATAATTCTTCATGTGTTTAAATAATCTTTACGTATAATAATTATTACTTTGTTTTCATAAAAATCCTATAGGTGTAAAAAAGGATTATAAATCATAGAATTATCTTTGTTTAATCTAGACTATTTATCGGTTCACAGCGTATGCTGTAAATTGGACTCATGTATTTCAGTAAATGTATATTCCCTGAAAAACACGTGTAAAAAATTCGTCAAGTACAGGATTGTTGTGAATTTCCTATTCTCAAAAATATACATATATACATTTATATCTTACATGATTGTTCGACATATAAAAAGTATTGAAATCATATTATAATGCCAAATACATAAGTCTCTAGATATCTACTTCTTATACGATCTGGCATTAGCTTGTCATTTTAATTATATTTGCATAATTTCCTTTGATGTCTTCATTACTCTTTTATGATATTACTATCGCTTATATTCAAGTGTGATTTAATTGCTATTTAATAATTTATAAAACGTAAAGTGATTAATGTCTTTCAAGTGTAGCAAGTGTTGTCCCAAGCATTGTATATTGGTACACACATTATGTTATATATGTTGAATATGTTTACTAAATTGTTCCGATGTGTAACCATTCATTAAATATTAGTTTCAGAGCAGATATAAAGAGATATATCGAATAAAACAACCTCCGCCGTCTAACCACCGTATTCCATTGCCTATTTGCCTATATTATACGTATACTACAAGTTGCTTTGGTTAAAGAGTTCGGTCGGCTGCTGACTGAACCTGTATTTGGCGCGAGATACAACCGAGTCTTTTGATATGTACTGATACAAGTTAAATTTAATTTAGAGGTTTGTATGCAAAGCTATATTCAGAAATGGATGCGATTTTTTAATAGATGACGAACTATAGATAGTGTCAATATTCTTTAATATCACCAAAAATTATGGATCTTATCATTGATGCCAATACGAAAATTAGTTTAACTGTTGCTTTAGCATTATCTATTTTCATCGGATTTATAATTGACACTGCATTAAATTCTGCATTAACGTACACTTCAGGTAGAATGATTTAAAATAGACAAAATGATTGTTTACTTAACATATGAGCTGTGGGAATAATAAAAATGTCCCTAAGTAGTTGGCACTCGTCACACGTGCTCTTACGATTAATACTTGTTATTTTATTATTTGCCATTTATTCTACATGCACAGTAGTAATATAGTGAAATGCGTTAATCATAAGCGGTCTTACTTAAAAAATTAGAAAGGTGCCGCTGGTGAGAAGGCATTACAAATATTTTTAAAAAATCTTCCTCTTTGCGAGAACCTCGATAACCAAGCTGGGAATATTTACCGGTCAAACCGGATCCCTCCTACGAGTTAGGATTTCCCTTTCCAGACGAGCAGGTGTGCGCAAACCACCCCTAATAAATGGGACGACTGATTTACTGTTAACGTGATGATTTTATATAGAGTTTGACTGAAAAAATCTATACAAAGTTCCGTTAATTGACAAAAGGCTTGTCCCCACTCTGAAGGGGGTTACTTCTGTTGTTGACTTCAGTAGTCTCACAGCTGGCATTAGCAACATGTCCGTTGTGGATAAAATTCAGCATTATCAGCGAAATATCGTGAAATGCTCGGACAACGTAGAAAGGGTGTGTAAATGCTTCGGCAATTTTTGAAAATATTAATGTACCAAACTGGTATAATTTTGACAGAGAGAAATCCGCTCGTAAATGCTAGATGAACATAACCTATGGCTTGCTTTAGTGACTAAATGATGTAACTTGTCAGTGTCACTGATTGTAGCCCTATATTAATATTTAATACCTGTGCTATTCAAAGGAAACATACTTTTATTTCTTGATATAATCTGCAACTTTTTCAGAGAACTATTTTCTTATAATTATATTGTTGGCCATCTGTTACGGTATGAATGTTTGATGCTGTGATTCATTAATAATTTTCTGGATGTTGATATTTATTTATTAGTATATGAGGTTGAATGTTTTTTATTTCAAGCTTTTGGTTTGACTATAATTTTGATCCAATAAAAACATTTATATTTTAGCATGTTATTTTAATTATTCCCAAGTATGAACTAGTAATTGAGATATTTTTGGTATATCCCAAAGTGTAGTATTTTTAATAGCACTCGATAAAGATTTTATATATTGTCTAATCTGCAGTTTATTTTACATATTGTCTTGACTGAAATTGGCAGATGATGCACTGCATCTCAAAGCTGTATTCGTTGCCTGTAACGGTTCAACATCTACAAGAGACTGGTGTGGGGCGTACAGTGAATGCATTGCGAAAGTATGATGGGGATGTGGGAGAGGCAGCCAAGGCTTTAGTAGCTAAATGGAAGACAATGGTAGCAGATGAAGAATCCAGTGATGGTGATTATGAAGATGAGGGATGCGCCCTAGATCCCCCAGAAGACAATGATGAAAATTCAAACTCTTCAAAGATAGATGCAGATGACGCGAAAGAATTGGGGTAATTAATACCACTGAATCATTGTGCTTGTTTTTTGTTTCTCAGTGATTTAAGGACAAACAATGTTTTCATTGCAGACACAGCAGTCATGAAACAAAACAAAGGCATACCAATAAATTGGACAGAAACAAATCATCGAAAGAGAGTTCAAAGAATTCGTCAATGGATAGTTCGAAAACTAAGGATAAATCTCATAGCAGTAGTGGAAATGATAGGCACAAGCATTCAAAGGTTGATAAAGAAAAACGTGAACATAAATATGAGTCAAGAAGTGAAAAAAAATCAAAAAAATCTAGGGACTCAAAAAACGAAAAGCATAGATCGAGATCGGACGAGTTAGGAAGGGATGTAGTAAAAGTATCAAACAGCAGTGTTTCTTCGAAAAATGAAGATGTTCACAGAAAAAGAAGATTGGACAGTTCCTCCAGTGAAAGGGAAAGTAGCAAAAAAAGGAAAGCATCAGAAACCGAAATAGCAGACCTCGAGACTCCTTTGTCGCCTGTCGAAGATAATGGGAATGATATATTACCATCTCTATCGGACGAGTCCAATTCCGAAGAGGAGGAAATGCCAAATGCAGAAATCAAACAAGAGCCTCCATCTCCTCCAATAAAAAATAGAGAACTTGCTGAGAAAAGTGAAGAAAGGAGTGAAAGAAAAAGCTCAAAGGAAAAAGGCAGGGATAGTTCTAGCAAGTCAAGATCCTCGAGCCTGAGCGAAAAGTCAAAGCGTGACGAGGACAAAGACAAAAAGAAAAATAATACACTCGATGATCACAGAAAGAGCGAGAAACGAAAAGACGAGAGTTATCGTTCCAGCAAGGAAATTTCTAAGTCAAAGAATCATCCTAGTTCCTCTAGCAGTAAGGATAAAATTAAAGATAAGGAGAAAGACAAGGAAGACAAGCATAAAGAAAAGCATAAAAGTAAGAAGGAGTCGAAGCACGGAAAGGATCCAAAAGATGTCAAGGTCAACTTCAAAGAACCTAAGGAGAAAAAAAAGGTGAAACAAGAAATTAATGGAGACGAAGGGATAGACTGCAATTCTGGTGAGTATCGTAGCAGTAGAATAGCTTATTCAACTTCTATATTCTATATATATCGGATCTTCTCATAAAACAACTATTTTCTTGGACAGGTGCGAGTTTTGCAGAGGCTTTGGGAATGTGTACGATGCCTCTGCCATCGCGAAAACGTAACAATAACTCTCCAAACTTGTCACCAACAAAAGTCATTAAAACCGAACCAAGCACATCATCCTCAGTAACCAACATACCTTCTATGAACATCAAGACTGAGGCTCCTTGCGTCGTTGATCCACATGTAAACTCTTTCGACATTTAACTAACCACTAATATGTTATAATTAAACGTATAAACAAATCAAATGAAACACGTGTGTACTTTAAATTACAGCAACCGTCATTACTAGCACCGAATGTAAAGCTGGAACCGCTAAGCGTGGATTTAGCTTCTACCTTACCTGAAATTAACCCGAATTATAAACCACTGCCCTACGTAAATCCAATTCATCGAAAACAAGAGGAGGACAGAGCACTCAGTGAAGTGATATATGCTAAGAATCAGAGGTAAGTTAAAAAAATAGCAGCTACAAGTAATTATGTCTCTTCTTCGTTCTTAACCACATTCGATTTTTAGAACAAAAGTTTATTCTGGAAATAAGTCAACATATACAAACGTACCGTCGCTCTACGAAATGTGTATTAGAATTTTGATAGAAAACATTGAAGGTGAATATTGGTCTTTATTATATAACGAATTAACAAGATTATCCTATGTTTAAACGTGTATGTTTACACTTGTTTGTTTCTCTTTCAGCACTCGAATTTACTGGCGGCGTACCCTACGATATTATTAAACCAGTCTTAGAGCGGGCTACTGCCGACCAACTATTCATGCTGGAACATCATAATCCATATTTGATTGAGGATACGGATCCATTGTGGCAGTTCCATTGTAGTCGTGAGTTTCGATGTAAACAGCGAGAAGAAATGGAAACCTGGCGCGAGATGTATATGGTATTGCGAGACAGTAACATAGTATTATTTTTACAACGTTTGATATAATTTTCTAACACTACAATTGCTCTGCTAGCGTTGCTTAGATGAAAGAGAAGCAAAACTAAAGGCCCTCACGGCAAATATAAAACAGTCGATAGATAAATCGCTTCCTGTGAGGTCTGCCAAACTCGCCTATGTGGATAACGTTGTGAAACCTCCGCGACACGTACTGAGAAAGCAAGCCAAGTACGGAACAGCGACAGCGACACCAAGTTCTACGTCGGATTTGAAGAAAAAACTTATTGCTGGTGGGGGGAGTAACTCTGCCACGAATATATCTGTTCCACCGCCGCCAATGCCACGATCAAAAACATCATGTAAGTATCTGCATCGTGGAGTTACTAGTAAAAAGAGGGTCAGCTTTGTGGTACCTTGTGTCTGGCAGCTACCGAGCACAGTGGGCACGAGCGAGACGCTTGATCTTGATTACACGAAAGATAGACCTCTTTTTATTAAAAATTTGCTCGATAATATCTATCGCCATGAGATTAATTTACTATAAACAAATATTAGAAAATATATCGGCATTTCTACTGCGTGTGCACTTCATCAATATTGTTACTATTTTTTTTTTAGCATCCGGTGTGTTGAAGAAAACTAAGGCTCCGCTAATGGCAAAGGCGTTACAATTAATAAAGGGTCGATATAAACGATAGTTTAAATAACTTACCGGTAGGATCATTCAGTTCGTTTACAATCAGGAGCTAATTTATACACGTTGGTTTGTTCGCTGTTGGCATTTTGTCCTAATTAATTGTATGGCTAGAATTACGGCCGCATTGACAGTGCAGTCTGTATATTTCCAATCGTGATGATGTTTTCGTCCGCGAACAGAATTTTTTGATTCTTTTTTGTATGTTTTTATGCAAACAACCCATTGATGATTATGTATTGTATCCCAATATTTGTTGCCTGCAAAGTTATTACGTCGAAGGCAGTTTAGAAGTATATTGGCGTGTATAAAATATAATTGTATGAAGTAACGAGGTTTCGTAATCACAAGTGTTTTCATCAATTTAAAATACGTATCCAAGACAGTCATTATATGGAACAGATTCATTCCTTGCATGATCAGTTTTTTCGTCTTGAATTCTTAAATGCGTTATCATATTCATAATCAATGTGTGACGGCATTTGTTTCCTGATATTCGTTTTATTGACTGTTGACAACGTAAGAAAAGCGTCGTTCTTTAAAATATTTAATCTTTCAATTCGAAAGTGAATGACGTGTGCACCTCGTGGCTATTATCTAACTTCATAATTTATGCATACTTATCAATTAATTTTTAGAATGATACACTGCATGGTCATAATAAATTAAGTAAATGTAGAGCGGCTGGCACTTTGCCAAAGAAAAAAGAAAAATGAAAAAGAAGAATTGTGGAACTCCATATAAGGATTATGAAAATTAAAAAAATTTAGAACAATACTAGTATGTCGATGATGATATTACTTTAATTCTTGAATGATACCAAACATTGCCGTCTTTGACGACATACTTTATTGGTTTAACTCGCGAGACCAAATTTGAAAGAAAAAGTGAAACATCTTTTTTTGTCGCAGATCAATTTGAAATTAACCGATGATAGCACGTACTGTATATATTTATAATTATAACAAAATTTAGGACTTTCGAACAAATATTTTTCCTTTCCTACTTGCTAGGGGTTCCTTTTGCTACTTCCACGTAAAGTTAAGGTGGGCTTGAAGACTTAAATTACACGTCTTTTAAGGTATTCCGAGTGCGAAAGTGCGTTTTTTGTTTGTGCTTAAGCGGGGTCCCGAATATTCTCGAACATACAAAGCTGTACTGCCGTGAAACGATTTTAAAAGGTTTTTATTAAACTTTGTGGTGCATAAAGCTTGCGGAATTTGTAAATTGTAAATAATTTTCCAATTTTTTTTTTCTCCAAAAAATCGAATTTCTGGTGACGGTGATAGCACAGCTGTCGATGTATGTATGTACAGCGTTGTCAGCTATCTCTCCGCTGAAACCATCATGATTGTAGATTGTAGTATTGTAGATAGTATTGTCTTGCGAAATTTTTTTTTTTTAATATTTCATTTTTTTTGAAGTGACAATCATTAAGAAGTCCGTGAATTGAGGCTAAAGTTGTTTTAACACGATACTACACGATGAAATTGATGTAATAGCGAAAAATTAAGAATTTCTAAAGATTATCGTTCTATACTCGGAATACCTTAATTGCATTTCGCATGCGTTACTAGTTCATTTCTTTAATTATCCAGCTTTTCAAAAATATTTGAAACTTCAGTCCAACTTCATTTATTTTATTTAGTACGTTTTGTTCGTATTTATCTACTCTACTTGGGGGGCCATCCTATATAACAGTTTATAATATCAGAGTCCCCTAAGTGAGTGTAAATCCGATTTCGTGATCCCTGACTATCTTCACATACCTTAGTAAAAGTTTCGGATAGGAATTCAATCCGGATTGATCCGAAATTTTGCGAACTATTCCGAAATCTGTTTCCGTCCCAATCCGAGGTCATTCGAGCAAAACTAAAGCAAGTTTCTAATACTTTTCAATCTGTGCCTCAACGTCAAGTTCAATCCGAATAAATCTGTGGCACATATGGAAAAACTATTTCAATTGGTGCATCCAATCTGAATGATTCCGAGGTTCATCCTTCTTAATTCGAGTATCCTCTCGAAGTTCAATCCGAATGAATACGAAACCAATCCAAAATAAACTGTCAAACCTTTTTCATCTGTGCGTCTAACCCGAGTGAATCCGAATCTCACCCGGAGCAACTTTCAATGTTTCTGAGTATCGATTTCGAATTAGGTCGATTCAGTCAGATACGATCCTTATTATTCACGGATTCGTTCGGCGATTACCTATCTCGAAATAAAATGGATTCAGACAGACAGAAATTGTACTATCCGAAACTTTCACCAGGTTAAATACAATATTTTATTCGTGAAATGAATTTCGAATTATTTTTAGTCTTTATACGTATTAGGTAAATAATTATCGATCTCTTCGATCATTGGCTGCTCGAAGTTTCAAAAGAATTGAGTGGTTCTCCTTTGTGGCAAATAATATGGAATTATGACAATTTATATGCAGAAAGATACACACAAAAATACATACTTAAGTAGTGAGATTTTTTGTTTATTTTTTAAATCCTGTTTGCGACTATATCCAATTTTATCGAAATGAATTTATTGTAAAAAAAATACTCAGCTAATTCATCTTAACCTAACGTACTTTAATTAATTATAAAATGGTATTCCCTTAGAAAATTGATGTCTCAGTTATTCTATGCATGTCGACGTTTGCACGTTTATTGCTGTGCATACATCCGGGTGCGAGTAATGAAAAATATTTTAAAGCTTAACGTACCGCAGTTAAGTTTCTTCTAAGTAACCAAAAATAAACTTTAGCTCATCATTTCCTATTCGAATAACTCGCATATCTGTCCACGATTTTTTCCCAACAATCACGTATACGTCAAGCCATAGCGTTTCAATTAAATTAAATCTCCTAAAACTTTTCAAGAATCCTGGCCTTTCGTTAAACATATAGTCGGTCCACGAGTTCCATGTGTTCTTTTGACGTTTCGAAAGCAATAAAGTCTACCAAGGCACACGTGGCTCTGCATATAATTTTTGTTGCAAAGTATGCCTATGCATGGTTTTGTACTGAAATTGGTTTTATTTTTCTACTTTAGCATATGTTTCCGTAATTTTATGCAGAGCCACGTGTCACTTCATAAAGGAATTGTCCAAAAAGTTTATCGAACTTTTGGACCGACTCTAAATTAGAATATCATATAGATATATGCATTGAAAAATATTTTGTACCGCACGCTTAAACTTTTTGTTTAATCGTATAGACAATGTCTCATAATAGATGTTTTCACGTTTTCGACGTATATTTTTGTTCTCTTTTTTTCATTTGCCCACTGTAGATAATAGTTTCTGAAGTTATTAAAGGTTCCTGGTAAGTCACACGTGTTAATAAATAACATCAGCACGTTACGTATGACGATTTCTTTATGGGAATAGAAAAAAAATTGCAAGACGAGTGCACATGGCGCATTCGATATTTGATCTGTGCGATTAAAATTATATAAATAAGTCGATCGCAGTATAAAAAAGAGAATTGTATTTTATGTACAGTGCGTGAATATACATAATTATACATGGCTCGTTAATGTAAATTATAACGAACTGTGATTGTAAACTGATATACAACGTTACAGTTTGAATTTTTATTAAAAATAAATAAAAGAAACACGTTTAAATGGTATATGATACATATGTATGTATATATTCGACAATGCGCGAGTCCTTATATCCAGTTCATCGCCATGTTATTCAATTTTATACAATTTCTCTTATGCTGTTCTTGGAACACGTCGTGGCTCAATGACATATTACCAAATCTTCGTTACATTGCGAAATATCATATTACAAAAGTGACCCTCCGGAGTATGTTACATCTTTAATCTACGTCGTTAGTAGAGTGAAAAAATATGAGAAAAAGAATATTAATTATTACTATAAATACGCCAATTTTTGTCTAATTGTTTTGTCACCATCGACGAATAAATCTCGACGTAACACAATAATTGATATTTTAACGGTAAAACATTATTTGTGTCAAATTCCTCAAATGTATGCAGTGCTTATTATATTATTCTTATATCTTTTACAGGAATCAACTATTATATACAGATTGTTATCGGGAATTTCAAAAAATTGAATTCACAAATCATTTGTGCAATAACGACCTGAATCCCAATACGGTTCGAGAGTATGTCTATTTTATGTTAAATCTTGCGACAGTTTGGTATGAAAACGTACGGTGTAACGTATACGGCTAATTGGAGTTACAAGCATGGAAACGCATCTTTATAAAAAAAAAAAAACTGTAAGCAAATAGTTGGGATAGCCAGAAATTAATAAATTTAGGTTAATAATGTATTTACTTAATACGCAGCGTCCTTTAATTTGTTATTGCTTTCGGTTTATGTTCTCGGTCTCGCGAGTATTGGCGAATCGTGAAGAAAGCTGTGAAAAAATGTTGGTTTGGAAGAACGTTACTATTTTTTAAATGTTATTTAGGCCATGAGGTAGTGGCGGCAATGCGTGACTATATTCGCATTGCCGAAGACTATTTTATGTCTTTATTGGATACAAAAGATTTACGCGTAAAGCATCGTGACAGAGCTGTCCGGTACGAGAGATATCATTTGGCGAAAATTATGCAAAGATTCTTTCATTCTTATCCCTTTCTTTTGTTCTATTGTCGATTAAAGACTTTCTCTTACTCTCTCTCTCGCTCTCGCTAATTTTCACAATTATTACTTGATCTGCGGCTGATGCGCCGTACGCATGCCCGTGAATGCTTATTATACGTATTTCTTAACATCTGAAATACTTAAATGAAAAAGGTAACAATGTACACACTTAGTAAATAATGTTCGTCTAATTGTTGCCAACGCGTGTATTCGTTGTTCGACGCGGGATATACTGGTTAGTAGAATCGTATGAAAATACTTGTAGAATTCTGTTTGCCTAGAAGAGATAAATTCTTTGTTCTCCCTTAACAATAGCTGTTTAGTAATGGCGATTATCAGACCTGGTACTTGCTAATCCAGTCGTTACAGTCTCTAACGTAGCCTGTTCTCGAATTTACTAATGATGAGTACAGCCGGATCAGCAAATCCTAGAACTGCTGATGACCAATAACGTCATTAACGATCTCGATTAACTATTCCACGTTTTAAGCGGCCATACACCATTCATTCATATAATCAGATCGTTTTTAAAATTAGTGCTTCTAGTATGTATCGTGAAAACATTATAGTACACGGGAATTAATTTATATCGTATTAAATAATTCGTATGACACAATCCCTTTTTGCAGTAAATAATCTCGCACGATGTAATAAATGTCCGAGAGGTCCGAAAGTATTTAGAACTTTGTAAGTTTTGCTTGAACTTCGTACCTTTGTCAATCGATTGGTAAGACTACAGATATACATTCATATCGACTTTGGTAATGCTTGAAAAGGTTTCCATAATAATATTAAACCAGTACCACTGCTGGCATTTCAGATGGATACTTAAGCATTTGAGGATGCGGCTTGAGACAAATTTTTGTACCAATATGATAGACACCCAGATACTGTAATGACCTCGTGCTACGTTTTTGTCTTTCTCATTTAATTAAAACATTCAGCACAGAGAAAGAAAAACTAAGATTGAAATCCACCGTGTAAAAAAAGATTATGCACATCATTACTGCGTCTTATATCACTTTTGCGTGCATGATTTTCATTTTCTTTAGATCGATATAAAAATCTCAACTGACATATTATTAACAAACATTTGTGACATGTACCTAATATACGTAAAGTCGCGAAGATGGGAAACGATAATTTCCCATTTCGAATATGCGTGAGCATTACTAATACTTTCCTATCTAAGAAACGAAATAGAAAATACGAGTTTTTTGTTTTCACAGCCAGCATGGTAGTTTGGATTTAAAGTGAGCTGAACTTTTTGAAATTGAAACTTCTAGGGATCGAATGTTAGCGTAATATCGTTAATGGATTTAAAGTAGAACTTGGCCCCTGGCGGTAACAGGTTGCAAATGAGTAATTGAATAAACAAAGAAAAACTATAGCGCGTACACGCGGTCAAAGAAAAGATGAACGTTTCTTCCTCAAAGGTTTAATTATAAATATTAAATAAATTTACGCCGTGCCGATACAGACGAGTGAATTATTCTTTCGGTAGTATCGCAGTGATAGGATACTTGAGCAATTGGTCGAGTATACTTGAGGACTGTGTACCTCAGTTTGAGAGTTTGCGCTTCCGCTGAAAATCGTTCAAACGTTAAACAAAAGAAGAAACGAAGAACATTATAGATCTAAAGCTGTATTTATTTTATTTAATATACCTGTTGGCAACGTTGATGTGCTCCTGAGTGGACCAAAGCCGAATAATTCCATCCATACTAGCACTTGCAATATACTGACCATCGGAACTCCAATCCAAATTCATAATGGTTTCCTGATGACCTTTCAATTCGGTTAAGAGAGCATTAGTCGCCAAATCCCAAACAGATACGCATTTATCGTCACCTGAACAGTACAATGATGAAAAAAGTAAAGAAGTTTATTCTGCTACAATATGATGATTTTGGACTTACCTGCTGCAGCGAGATATTTCCCATCTGGACTAAACGCCAAACTGTAAATTGTCGATTGAGCTCCAACGTACACTCTCACCAGACTACCATCGTCCTTACTCCAAAGTCTTACAGTCTTGTCGGCAGAACCAGTAGCCAAATAACGAGCATTCGGATGAAATCTTACGCTCTAGGAACGGGTAAGAATATCCATTGCAATTAATCAAGGACTGAGGAACAGGACATCGAGAACGAATTTTTCACTTACATTGACATCGAGAAAATGTCCGGCAAAAATCCTAAGTGGAAATGTTCTATCTAATGACCACAATTTTGCGGTTCGATCATGAGATCCGGTCGCTATATATAAGTTAAAGACACTAGTATCCATACACCATATCGGATAATTATGGCCACTGCAAAGATCCAAATCCAATAGGTACAAGAAGATGCAGATAATAAAAAACATTTATATTAAAACGTATCGTGTCTTGTTCAATTACGTACTTGTAAACAGCTGCGCAAGAGTAATCGTTAAGTCGCCATGCTCTCATATCTTTGTCGCTAGATACGGAAACGAGAATTTCCGATTCAGGTATAAACCTCAAATCATGCACAATGTCAGTGTGTCCTCTTAAAACTACGGCTCCTGCTTCATCGCTTTAATCACGCAGAGAAATAAAAATTTACATGAAAAAATCAGTCTGGTCAAAGATATATAAAAGTGAAAAATACTAATTGCAGAACTTACGTATCATTATTGTCTTCGGGAGGTCTACTGGTTGACAATACATCACAGGCAAGAGAAACTGAGGGCAATTTAAACCTTGGCCTAGTGAGAACTCTATCACCTATGCCCCATAGTCTAATTTCAGAGGTGCAGAATGCTGCTGCTAACCTATCCATATTAGGTGTAATTACAGCAGTACTAGCGCTGTAGATAAAAGTCAAGTGTAATTATAATGAGTCTATGAATATTATATCTTTAATATCTCTCAATGGAATTCATTACTTTTCAAAAGAATTATTAATTGTGTAAACTCTGAGTGGATGATGCTCGCTGCTTCGAATTAATCGAATGGCTTCCTGGAGTTCCCGCATTTCGCGGTCTACACCAGTGCCAGAAGGTTGTTCGACATGACCATTAATTCCCACTTCGTTCCTCTGAACCCATTCTCCACTTGTTTCCTCATCCATTGGATGTATATCGGCAATCTTTTTGATAATAGTAACATGTGTATTTATTACCTAGTTCAAAATAAAAAGACTGTAAGATTATCATGAAATATACAATGTAATCTTCCATGCCTATTACCCACCTGCATTAATATAACGTGCCCATGCTTGGCTAGAAATTTCTGAAGGCATATATGAGCCTCATCAGACATATCCACTTTGTACTTTCTGGTTCGAAATGCATTGACCAAAGGTCTTAGCTCAATATCCTGAATGGAGAACACACTGGAAAGTTCCTCCAAAAAGTCTCTTTCAGTCTCTGACACAAAATCACTCTGGTGTGTCTTCAAAAACTGGACAGCAGCCTGCCTATTGCCACCATGTAGCATCTCCAAATAAAGATGACAAAATACTGGATACAGGAGACCCTTTAATTCCAGTTTAAGTTTATCATTGACTATATTGTTAATCCACATTTTCAATCTGTAAAAAAAATAGAGAACATTGATTAAACTCCTGACATCAGTGCGAAGAACCAAAGGGAAACAAATAGAACCAAGTGAGAACTACCTTTGATACGTTTGGTCGGCGGCAGCAACATCATTGATGATCGCACTGAAGACGATCGAATTGTCACGGGACGTACTGCACTCCACAGTTGTAGTCAGTGTCATTTCCTCGCTACTCTGACAACCTGTACGTTCAGATTTTCGAAATACGTCACCGTCCTGTACGATTAGTAAACATTAGCAAAGGTTATGTGCTACGATGGAGGGCGATGTATACCGCGCTTTGATCTTCGACGGATTCTTTGATGCCGATTTACCTGATATCGACGCCGCTTCAAATAAGATTCGACAGTCGCATTGATTATATCAATTTTCGATCGTTTCATCTTCATTTGATCGCGCGTCGATGGTCCCTTCGTATTTTGAAAACACGACACTCGCTGAGCACGGCTTCGACGCCATCACAAAACATGCTTACGGCCAAGTCCAATTGGGCTTGCGGTGTTCACTCGTTTCTTTTTCAAGCTTTCGTTATCCTCACGTATCAGCATAACCTCGTTATGTAGGATCTTCGAAAATCAAACCATTCCCAACGCAAGTTTAAGTTATTCAAAGACCAAAGCTGCTAACTAGCGCGTGCCAAGAATCATACAAAAATTGAACGCGCTCCAGCGTAACTCGATTTGTTTCACGGTTGACCACGATTACTTCCTGTACGCTGCTGTACCCTGATTACTACGGGTTTCGAGAACAGCTGACCGACAAGAAGAACGAGGATTAGATTCGATGAATTGCGATACGCATAGTGATAATATGGGTGATTACTTGTTGGATCTTCATGGTACTGAAAGTGTAGCGACTTTTTCAAATGCAAGAAAGAGCAGTGCTAAAAGTGTTAATTCGAAAGGTACGTTATTTATTTCTACGTGTTGCTTGTTTTTGCAAGGTTATAGCTTGTCTGTTGTCTATTGTTTTATATGTTTTATTAATCTCCTTTAGACACGCAAGTGATGAGTTGTTCTGGACGAACGCAAGGAGATGGTATGGAAAATGTTGAGACTGACAAGGTTGAAATTAAACAAGCCAAAGTTCGTCTTGGTGATACACTCATATATCACCCTATGAATTTGAAACAATTTAATTCTACGCCTCCAGTTGCTCCTACTGGAACCATAGTTAATATTACACCAAAGTGCGTAATGCAAGTCAAGAAAGAAAAACATATTCTTAGTTCACTTAAATCCAAGGAACCAAAGTTCATTCCCTATGAACCTTACAAGGCTGCTGTTAATCCAATTGTTCCGTATGAAAAAAAACAAAGAAAGTCTTCAAGGAATAATTTAGATATTAATGTAATGGTGTCTCAAATGGCTATGTTGAAAACTGATGAAGTAGGGGCCAAGTTTAATAAAGAAGTTGAAAAGGAAGAACGAGATGACAAGTGTTCCAATGAGTGGATACAACAGAAAAAAGCTTATGAGACTGAAATTCAAAAATTGAAGGAAGAAAATACTCAATTGGAGAGTCAACTAAAATTTCAGGCTCAGGTGTGTATAATATAGTTTTTATGGCAACGATATTCACTACAGAATTTCTAATTAAAGCAAATTATCGTTCAGGTAAACGGGGAATTAAAAAATTTGCTAGTAGCAGCTGTTGGAGAGGATCTTGAAACTAAGGTTCATTTACTCACGGAAGATAAATTGCAATTGGCCAGAGCACTTTTAAATTCTGCACAACATCTCAGTACTCACCAGGAACAAACCGAATGGTTAGCTGGTCAGTGTGAGGTGTGGAGAAGTAAATTTTTAGCTAGTAGGTGAGAGTTGTCTTTATAACGTTCATAGATCTCTATTACTAAAAAAATACTGGGGATCACTCGTTGAAAAGTAATGGTAATCTTATTACTTTATTGATAAAAGATTTCTTTAATACCTTTTAGTTTAATGGTAGAAGAACTTGCTAGATGGAAAGCTGCTCTTTGTCAAAGAACGACAGATCTTCAGGAAGCTATTAAACGTCTTCTGGAAGAACGTAGTAAAGTTAGGGACACATCTTTAAGAACCTATAGGTATGTTGTATACTTTTATCTGCTAGCTATTTCTAGACCACCGACAGAAACTTATTCTACCATAGAAACTCTAGAGAATGGGCGAATTTGAGTTGTTATATTTGCACTGAATAACTTTGTATAAGTTATCTATTCTTTAATAAATTATATTCGTTTCACAGGATACTAAGTATTCTAAGGGAGAATTTCGACTCTGTAGCAACTGTATCTAATAAACGTCACGAATTGCCCAGTACAAATATCATCGGCCTAACAGAAGGCTGTTGTCAACTTGCTGAAATACTCAAGGTACAACTTCTCAGTGGAATGGATAAAGTTCACCTACGCAAGGAAATTAATATCACTGGTCTGGATATGAAAACTCTTGCCGAAAGAAATGCAGAGCAGGTCAGTTACATTTTAATTCCATCCTACATCTTTTAGTCGATTGTATTTATGTTATCGCACATTTGAATTTGGTTCCAGCTGCTCATGAGTCCAAATCTTTTGATGTCTGGGAGACAAGACGCCGCTTGCAGTGCAGTAATGGGTGCTGCAGTTGCTGTTGGTGGCCAAATGTTACTTCCATCAAGACTCAATATTCCCAACATAGCCTGCTGCCCTCATTGCAGTGGAGAAGTGAAACAAATCTAAGGTATGGTCAGAATTTATGAGCGAATATTTTTTTACCACTTGAGTCTAGGCAATATTTAATGTACCAATGTAAAACATACTGCCTTAACACGTAGAGCAACTATTGAGCAAATGTTAAATGACATTTTATTTTTTTTTTTTTTTTATTATGCATTCGAAGTGATATCAAAAATCACAAATTCCAGCTGTAACTACCAGATTGGTCAAAGGTTACAGGTTAATAATCAAAGTAGTAAAAAATAACATTATTTAAATATTATAGACAACATTTTAATAGCGTACATTCACATGTGTGTGTATGTAAATTGATTAATGAAAAACTTTTTACAAATAGACGGCTAAGGAGTAACTCGTTATACATATATATAGTCGTGGATGATTATTAAATATACGAACAATATAATAAATTATTATGCAATTGCATATATTTAAAAAAACAAAAAGTACAAAGGAAACCTACGGTATAACCTTTTTTCATCAGTACTTATGTCTAGAAAAAACTGGTCTATAAATGAACTTATTCCTGATAATTTTATAAAGAACGTGGTTGTTCGTAGCGTCCTATCTATCGTATTCAAACCAATGATACTGCAAGGTCTACGATTTTTTTCCATTTGACGTTTACTGTTTACTGTACTGTCAAAAGCATCCGAATATACAAGGATAAGTAAACTATCTTCTTCAGCTTCCGATTGCCTTAGAAGCTCGTCTCAAACACGTTTCTAACAGGCACTGACATAAACACTTCAGATGTAGCTATGCTATGTTGCGACAAGGATGACTTTCTATTAAAAGTTTCATTGACCTACAATTAAAATCACAATTTAAGGACTTCATTTAAGCGTAACTCATCTATTATCTATATTAATTGCATGTACCTTTCCATTATTAAGAATGAGTGTCCTTTCACAGTACCGAACTCTTTGGTTAGAGAGCACAATTATGGTATATCCTCCAAAAACGTCTCTTAGTACTATTTCAACAATCTCTTCGTCAGGTCCTAAATTTGTGGTCGACTCCTCCATAATTATTATCTGCAAGTATCATTTCAATTATATTTATATTATGCAAATAGTTGTTATATTTATTTGTGTCAATTTACTTTGCTAGTTTTCTTCAAAATGGCTCGTGCAAGAAACATTAATTTCTTTTCACCGGTTGTGAATATGTGGCGCGCATCGGTTTCCAATTTGTCTGAGAGTTTTGAGACCTTTTCCCACAGAAATACTCTCTGAAGTACAGTCATGAGTATTTTATCTGTCACCTTTCCAGTGGGGTCTAAATTATGCCTGGAAATATGACTCGTTACACATATAGGTGTCTATAATAATGCCATTATCGACAATTCTGCAAAGTACCAACTTTTCATTACCTTATACTTCCATCGAAGAGATGTGGGTTACTGGGTATATAACTGATACACTGCCTTAATTTCTCCAAAGGCACATCTGCGATGTTGGTATTTCCTATATATATTTTACCTGTTGGTACATCTGTGAATTTGTACAGCGCTGATACTAACGATTCTCCACAATCGAGGGTAGTAATGATGCCTGACGATTTGTAGATTCATTAAAAATTTTATTGAGACAGTACTGGTCTATCATATTAAACTGTCATGATACTTACCAACTTTTTCTCCTGATGCAATTGTAAAGTTGATGGGCTCTTGGTTTGCATCCGCTTCTAATCCATTTGGTAGCAGTACATTATCGAATTTGATATTGCTCTCGACAGGCCAATTATTTGGTAATCTTGCCGTGCCAGGTTGCTCTTTTATGATATTCTAAAGTAAAAATGTAAATAATTTATATAAATCAGACAATTAATTCTTTGTTTATAATTATATTATCCATTGTACCTCTATGTAATTGTCTATACCATTCAGAGCCATGAAACTGAAATAAGCCCTAGTAGTTGTTCCGGTTAAGTATATTACGCTCATAGCAAACTGAAGCGTACAAATAAAAGCCAGACCCATTAATTCGAAACGATCACGTATTGTAGTGAGTGATGCACACATGAAAATAATGACGCCAAGTGTCAATCCTGAGAGATCAAAGTATTCCTTAGTATTTGAGTTAAGGATAATTATTTTCTTAGCTTACCTGATATCATTTTTATTCTGTACTCAATCCATAACTTGACAGAATACAGCATGAAGTCAAACGCTGAATTGTTGTCGCAGTAGCGGTAGAATCTGAGTGGATCACATTAAAAAAACAACCGAATAATATAGAAAATTAAAAACTATTGATTATATTGATTTCCACTAGTAATACATACTTTTTAGTAAAATCCCTCTCCTTATGGTACGCTTGAATGACAGAACGTCCATTTATTGTATTCACTGAGTGGTTGAACATGGGCACTGTGGAACTCACCTTTGCCTTGTACAAAGTCAAAATTGCACCTCTGAAAGAATAATGTGCAACAATTGAAAATTTTAGAATTTTATACCTTTGAAAATTGACAGAAATTTACCTGACGTATATACTGTAGAAAATAGTAATCAGTACAAAAATAGCAATGGGTATGAGAAGCCAGGGTGAAATCAATCCAAGTATCGAAGCACTAAATGCACTTATTCCTATGTGGATTAGAATAGTTATAATGGATCTTGGCAATGCAGAGTCAACTGAAACAATTATCAAAAAATTGTATAAGCATTACTTCATATTAATTCCTTATGTTAAATAACAATGCTACCTACCTTGCTGTAAATACAAAGTATAGATATTTAAAAGAATTGTCATTGGAGTTGTGGTAAACAGTGATATATGAGCTTTGCATATGGTATCCATCCATCGGTCATGCACCTTCTTTGCAACATTAAAAACGGTCTGAAAGAACAGCAGTCAGTAGTTTTGCGTTGCCAAAAACTAATCAAATAAAAAATGTACCTTGTTGTATATTCCCATAAGAATTAATCCAAATACAAGACACGATCCAAGCATAACAGCAAAAGTTATAATGATGTGTATGTTATCCTTGATGGTTTTCTGTATATAATTATTTTTACTTTTCAGTAACGTTATAAATAACATGGTTTGCTCAAGCAATTTATTTAATTTGAATAAACTGTACCTGTGCTACATAGGTGAAGCATAATGGTGCAACTGCTATGAGGAATGTATAAAAGATTGCAAGTAAGCAAATAAAAATATTTAAACAATAGCCATTGGCATATTTTACATATATGCCATACTGGATAAGCGGTTTTCCATTTTCTTTACAATATTTTATTGGAAAATCCGTGTCATGCTCATGCTGTAATAAATCTGAGTCGTCCTGTTGAAAAAACCAATGACTATAGTGCTATAGTCTTGTAGCCATCTCTTTTTTTCCAACCTTAATATTATCGAATATCTAGTATTTATTAAGGGGTAATGTTAACATACGATATCATCAAGAACACTATCCAGTGATGCATTGGTACTAATACTCGTGAGAACTCCCCTTGGTACAGCAGCCATTAACAGCTGTGTGGATGATGTACTGATCTGTTCCCCTTCCCTAAAAATCCAATATTCTCACCAAGGGCTCCAACAGAAGATCTCGTCAAATGATATCTTAGTATAAATTTATGTCAATAACATGAAAAATAACATCGATTACCTGTAATACTTTCGCTGATACTTTTTCATACAAAAATTAATCAGCTGCGTGTATTCGCTATTCCATTGAAGTAATTCTTCATGAGTCCCTTGCTCGACGATTCTCCCTTCTCTCATAACATAAATGATGTCACATCTGTTCAGAAACTATAATAACACAATAATAGTCTTACGTATCTATCATGGAGGTTCATACGTTTGGTAAAGTTACAAGCACACGAAAAAACCTTATAAAAATATTTACTTGTATCTTGTCAGTAACCATTATTACTGTTTTTGAACCCATGGCATGCATTATGCATTTCTCAAATATATCTTTACTCTCGTTAATGTCTACATCAGCTAAGGGGTTGTCCAATAAATTTATTTCTCTATGCACATAAACAGCTCTGGCTAAGGCGATACGTTGCTTTTGTGCCGGTCTCATTTTTACAAAAGCGAGATCGGTATCGTCAGACTCGGGTAGGCAATTCATGTCATTGTGCAACAAGCAAGAATGTATCGCTCTGTAATATCTAAAAAGTATATTAATTAATTTTCCGAAATACTTATTAGACCCGCAATAATGTATTTGTACCTATTTGAGTTGAAGATCTCGCCGAATAATATATTTTCCTTCAAAGTTCCTTCCAGTAACCATGGCAACTCAGGTACGTAGGCGCAAGAACCATCCATTGCAACGTGTCCGCTGATATGATGCAGATGTCCCATTAGAGACAGTAATAACGAAGTTTTTCCACTACCCGGTTGGCCACATATCCCAATTAACTTCCCCTTTAATCAAAGCCAATTCTGTTATTGAAATCGTTCTCTTTTATAAAGATCAGAAATTTGTTAATTACCTTGGGTGCATAAAAGTTAATATCGGTAAGAGTATCCGTAGGGGTTAGTACTTGAAAACGGACAGGTATCCCTTCGTGATTCTCCACATAAAATCTGAAAGAGAATCTTCTATAGTCGTTATTCGCATACAATAATCACTGTAAGTAGTAGAAAAAAAATAAACATACTGAGAAGAGCGTTTTATTGCCTTCTCGGTAAGGGACTTGTCCTTTACCCAAGTGAAGTTCCCATGGTTTATGGTGACGGCTAAACTTCTGTCTATAGGTTTGTCCGGATAGCGTTCGGTGTCTTTTAACGTTAATATAGTCTAAAAATAATGCTAACTACGTGAACGTATCAGAATTAAGAAAGAAGTGCAGCTGACATACCTTCAACTTATGGAGAGAAGTTACCCCTCTGGAGATGCTGCTCATCGATAACCAGCTGTTCCGGATGCAATGCTTCAAGTTGATCAGCAGCAACACAAGAACTGGAATATACTAAAACAAGTAAGTTCGTTAGATTTCATAGAAAATCACGTGGTCTGTTTATATGCATGATCGACTCACGTGGGTGGAGACAATATGTTTGTGAGTAAGTAAAATGGCCATTGTCATAGTACAAACAGTAATTATAGGAATTATGTGAACCATGCATAAGCTCCATCCTTCGCTGAGACCCCCGCGACGAATGTCAGCGAGTTCATCGCATCTTGTGTCTGAAAGTTTATTCGTTTTAAAAATGCAATCATTATTAAACCGTCGAGATTATTATTATTAGCCCGAATAGTCACCTTCTATTTTACTCTTGAAGTACTCGTCCCATAGTGTTATTTTTGCGAGATATATTTTACCAAGAAATTCCTCCATAAGACACAATCGTTTTAAGGAGTACTCAATTGCCTTGGTGGCAAAGACCTTTGTCAGATAAGCTGTAAGGATCTGTAATGTATTTGATGTATAATTTAGCGATGACTCTTAGAAGTATTGCTACTGGTATTATATTTATTTATTTCATTGGTAAAAAGCGCACCAAGCATAGGTATAATACAATAAGTGCAGCTATCCCTATCAGACCCCAATGACCAATGAGGAACCACAGAAGCATGGAAGTAAGTATCAAGAGAAACGGTCCTGTTATTATCATTGGTCCGTTTGTGATTAACTCGTACAGAGTTTCGCCATCGGGAACGAAGTACGTGATTGTCTGAAAGAAAGAAAAAAAAAGTTGTAATCGGTGGCATTTTTTTCTTCAATATTCTTTTTAACTTCAGTTACCTGATGTGCAGAGGCTTGAAATCTCACTGAAGAACGTATTAACTTTTTATACATTAACGCCAGGCAAGCTGATCGCAAGCGACTCGCAGTTCTAAAGGGATGAACAAAGGAATTGCTTGAAAAAATAATAACTATAATCCTCATTGGTTTGTCTAGTTTTAGAACATACCTAAGATTCATTGAAGCGCTCCATGCAATCAGAAAGTAAGAGACGACTTCGGCAAAAATGAGTATTCCAACATGACTGAAAACAATAACTTCGTCTACCATTATTATGTGCGTAATAGTCTCGGGCAATTTCTTAACATTGTCTTTTCCAAACCAGCTTTTAGCTTCGTCATTCAAACTTGTATTTCCGAGTTTACTGACTAATGGCGCGAGAGTCGTCGTAGTGATTAGAGACATTTTTTCAGTGACTAGATTCACGGCAGTTCTATTATTTCCAATGCCAATGGCAGTAGTATTTTCTGACGGTTTCGTCATGTTAACCATAGTATTGTTGCTCATAATATTTCTCTCTTCTATAGACAATATGATTTTTCTTAGAATAAATATCTGAAAGTGAGTCAGAAAGCAGAGTAAAAATGCCATGTATCGCCACTTGGTTAATTTGATAAAAGAGTGTCTTACTGGGCTCATCAGGGACATAAGCATGCCTAGTAAATAAACGAATGATGCCACAAGAACTCTGGTTCTCACAAACTTCCACGCTATTCGGGGAACTGAAGCACCAGCCTGGCCACGCTCGACAACATGAGCATGCCACAGACCTTCCAATCTGTAAATTTTTGTTAGCATAATATAAATGTTTCATTGATTTTAACTGTAGTACAAGAAATTTACCGCGGTCCATTAGTCGTGCAGGAATCTTGAGGAGCAATCGTGGGAAGTGGCTTCTCTGTCATTCCATTCTTACAACCGGCAGATAAGTATTCGTTCAGCCAGCTGAATGATACACTTGAGAATAATCCAATTTTATCTAGAGGCAATCCAGATCCTGGTACGCTGTTAATAGTCGAGATCTTGGTGAATCAGATTTTTAAAATGTATCGATAAAAATGAAAATATATTATTTTGCAATACCTATTAAATCTAACGGGTATCAAATTCGTAAGGGCCGTGGCGTATCGCGACAGACGATTGTGCGGCACGTAGGTTGAACTGCGCTTTGTCTCGTAAGCATTGCGTGGAAATGGTCTGTTGATACTGGTATTGTCAACACTGTGAAGTTCAAGTCTTTAAATTATACAGAATGCATTCATAAGTATCGTTAAACCACGTGACTGTAATCTAAGAAATATTTGACAGGAAAGTAATGGGATGCGCGTGGTGTGGTTGATAAGAATTCGCAGCTGGTCGACTCGTTTATAATATTAGAAATTTACCTGGTTGCTATGCTATCCGTTCCGTCGAAACGATTGTAACTGTGCTCCGGCGAAGAAGACATTCTTTATGAAATTCTTTGGCAGCATATATGCCGAGACTTTTCTTTACACTGTTAATGCACACTTTTAACTATACACTGATTGCATTGGCTCATTATCACTTCTATTTGGTTTTGTAATGCCTGCCGGATTTAGGGTCAGTCTGAAAATAATAATATTTAAACGAGTCTAAAGAAGCAGTCTTCTCAGGCAACATTCATAGAGCTATCCACTGTAGGAGATTCTAATAAAATGTTAAGTATCACTTGAAATACCGTCACTATATCCTACAGACTTAATATAAAAAAGAAAGAAGGAACTGTCTGTTGGATAAATCTGGACTTTTGAAAAGGCACAATTTGGGTTTCTAAACTACAGTATCTGCCCTCACGGCTTATTGTATATAGGATAATAAAAAGGTTTATAGATATGGCCAAGACTGTTTCTGCATTCCAGCTGATAAGACAGACTCTGGACATATAAGGGAGATCTCTTTAATTACGTGTATCACCCAGCGATGAATCACTACAAGTCCATGGATTAGGTGCGTTTATGTTTTTTCTTCTAGGTTGCATTGAATCACTGGATTTAAAAATACGTGGATACGGCCATCGATTTCACTTCATTATTATTTAATGCAATTAACACTTGACCTTCGAATCGTAAGAAATTATTTGTAATACACATTTACGCTGCGTGTGAAAGGAGTATATAAATTGACCGTATTGCAAGTAGTTAGTTTATCACGTATCGTCTACTGTTATCTGTTACGTTCAACCAGAGTTCTTTCAACGGAGGAAGTGCTTTCTTTAAACATTAATTCTTGCGTCTTACCAATTTTGACTAAAGTTTCTCTGCTTTAAGAATGCTAGATTAAAGAATTTATAACAAACTGGCATAGCCATTAAGTGATACGTTATAGGTATCATTTCGTTTCGATAATAGCTTATCAGCCACTCCTGACATATCCCACTCCTGATATTGCTTTCGTATCAGATAAAAGATAACGATAGCTGGACGTATTTGAGATATGTTTCGTGAAAATATATTTTAAGCACTGCACCGTAACTGACAATGAGAGTAAAAACCGACAATGATCTCTTTTGAAGCAAACATAGCAACTGATACGACTCTACTTGCATATGGCTAAGAGCTGAGTTCATGGTGATAGTAACGTCTCGTCTTGTATAAAAGACTTTATCTCCCAACAGGGATATACCTCCCATGTCACGCTTATCTTCAACGCATAGTAGAATGCGAGAAATTTAAAATAAGAGAATACGCCTTCCTGTCAATTTTTTCAAAGGTTACTTTTATTTCGAAATCAGTATGTTAATAGATTTACATTATTATCCACGTAAATACACCAGTTTTAAAGGGTGCTTACAGCTTTCTACTAATTTAAACATTGTAAATCTTTCGTAATATGACATTAATATATTTACGTATAAGGCACGAAGACTTGCGCAAGTTAAAATCTTTAATCGTAGTAACGAGAATAAAAATTACTTATTAAAAATAGTAATATACTATGGGTTGCTAACGTTTGCCAGAAACGGCAACTGTCCGACTGTCGCTTGTGCTCCTGTTGCTCACAGCAGCTGTCGATACAGCCGATACCTACGTCTAGCTATGAGCCTACACCTGATGGCTTATTCTGCCACTGCAAGCAACATACAAGTGGCGTTCGGTTTAGTTGTCGATTCTGTCAGTTTACGATTCTGGATAATTTTTTGGCAAGAGACCCCTATACTATTAGATAAAATACATGATTATTTTGGTTACAATAACGTTACATGTCTAACGGCCACACTTGGATAATATTTTTGTACGAGTGGCACAAAGCAATAATGTCATTCGAGATTTTTTTCAAACTCCATGAAAAGTATTTTCCGTGTTCCGTTTAAGCTGGAATTTTCTTTGGATTGAGGTCGTACATACGACGCATCCTTTTCTTCAGTTCCTGAGGGAATTTTTCGTAGCACTTCTTGCAGGCAGGCCTAAGGTCAAACTCGAAGAATTTTGTTTTTTGATTCATCTTTTGGTCGCAAAATGCACAAGCAAAGTGATGGACGCACCAGGCCTTATTCAGTGCAGTGAATACTGCAAAAAGAAGAAGAAAGCAGTGTTACAAGAAAACAATAACACGATTGAATAAACGTAAATATTCAAAATCCATACCATCGCCAGCGATAACTTGATTGCACACAAAACAGAGATTGCCGAATAACTGATGGTAGTGAGTTTCGCAGTAGGCTAAGCCTTTTTTCTCGTAGTGACGATGCCCTAGGAATGGCTTTTCACACTTGGCGCATACGAAGTGTTCCACGTGCCAGTGCTTTCCCAAAGCCGTCACGACGCGTTCTTCAATTGGTCTACGACATGCTCCACAAATTGGTATTCCCATTTTATCATGACATCTCAGGCAGTATAATTCATTCTACATGTTGACAACAATTAGAAGAATTATAATCATGGTGATTCTAATAAGTCCGTTGATGTTTCATATATATTTGGATATACCATTTCATTGGCTGCGTAACCAGGTCTGGATCGCACTTCTCTAGCGTCAGAATTCAGTTCTATGCCACAGGCTGTACAATTAAAATGGTATGGATGATAAACTTCACCACGGAAACGCAATGGCTTGTCATCAATGACACCACTGTAATTAGAATATTAGAATTATTAAATATTCTGGTTTTAGTATTCAATCGTTACTTACTGGCATTGGTGGCAAATATGCTTGCCCAGTGCTCCAGCTTTTACCCGGGCATTGCAAATGTGACAAAGGGCTCTACCCTGGCATTTAATAAATCCTGCATCCGCCAATTCTCCGTTGCACTCCTCGCAACAGAAACATCCTGGATGCCAATTAGCATTCATTGCCTTGATCACACGACCAATCACAAATTCTCCTAAAATTTGATTTATAAGGTAACCAAATTTTACACTGACCAAAATCTAGTCTGCGAAGACCTCTTACCACATTTTCCACAACATGGAGCAAACAAAACGTGGAAATCATGCTCACAATATTTACGCCCTTCAAACTCATAAAAGATGCCCTCAGGAAATGGTCGGAAACATTGTGCACACCTATGAGGAGAAGATTGTAATTTCAAGTTGAAAACCATGAGGAAGGAAGGAATTGAACAATTAACAAAGTAACTTCTTACACAAAGCATTGTGGATGCCATAGTTCTCCATGAGAATTTACAATTTTTTCATGAGATTCAAAACCCTCGCGACAGCGAGAGCAGAACATATGGTCCAGTGACATTCCTGTGATTCTGAAAGTAAAATAAATCTCATTCAAATGAAATCATCCAAAGAATATGCATACAAGTAATTCTTAAAAAGCAGCAGCCAGTTGGGATCGAACGAAACTTTTATAATTCTATGTGTTATACCCAGTCTTTTTATAAGGTTGATCATCATCAGGATTTTTTGGATCGTAAACATTTTCAAAATTTCGAGGTGGAAGTGGCGGTGGATTACTATAGTTATTCCATTCAGTCAATTCCTCATAGTCTATCACAGTAATATTCTGAGCACTAGTGAAATGAGTTATATGATCTTCTTGAATTAAATTTTCCTTTGAATTTGCCTTTCTTCTATGATATAACTCGCTATGTTCCAAAGATAGCAGTGATATAGATGTGGGAAATCGAGCAACATATCCATTTTCAACCATTATTCACAAAATTCTTAGGAATATTTAAGCACAGAACTGTCACAATACTTTCAATCAATTTAACGTTTTATAAATCCTATGACTTTCTGTAGTAGCCTGTATTTGTCATATCTTTATTCTATGATACTGCAAAGTGGTAAACGCATGAATTGATATGTTATCTACTGGTGGGGACACATTAAACCAGATAACTATTCAGGTAGATAAGAGAATATATTTCTGAAGCTAGAGCCATATCATACAAGCAGCTTTTATTCAAAATTTGAAACTCTGCCATACAGTTGACTTGTACAAGAGATCAATTATTTGATGAAAACAGCACGTAGACAAGTTTAGTAAGTGAACGACGAAAGCATAATATATTAAATTACTCCAGATGTATTTACTTATGATAACATGAAATACGTTTATATCACAATAGTCATGAAAGGTATTAGGGGTTGAAGGGTCAACAGAAACAAATTTTTCAGTGAGTGAGGTCAGAATTTACCTATGACACCATAATATGTATACCTTACGAGCAGCATTATAATTTGTTAAAAATGCATGATTGGAGTAAATTCATTCAACGAAATGAACTATAAACATTGCCTTGAGTATTATCAAAAAGTTCAATTCGTTCTAAGGAAGCAATCGTGAAATGTTAGACATCACACGATGAAGTCAATGCCAAAAATAGATTGCTTCTCTTACCCTGGCATATTTTCTTGAAAGTTGAATTTATCCTAATTTGGGGTGGGACTGGTCAATCGGTTATTCGTAGCACTCGCACTTTAGAGAGTCCGCTTGCAGATTCTGCAATTAGAACAGAAAATGAACAATGACTGACTAACAAGAGTATTTAGTATGTCCCACCCCATCACTGTAGTATGACTGTTCATAGGTACGGTAACACAGTAAACAGACTTAATGTATCATAACTGTATCGTATTTCATTACCTTTTTATCACGTATTATCCCGGTTTCTAGCACCTACGAGATTCTCATCTTTGGAAAATAAGATTTTTATGCACACGCTCACGTCGTCTGTCAAAACGAATTTTTGGCCTCCTGTACTTCTCTTACGGTCTATGGCGGCCAATGAGATCTCAGAAATTCCGCTCTGTCCTTTTGCGGACATCATGCTGCTCTGATTTATCGTAGGCGGATGTGGGCTAAAAACCACATTAATTCTCGCATTTTTCTCCTTTTCTTCTAGTTAAGATACGCGTTCAACTTCCAAAATGTACTAATTGTTAACATGTTGAACTTGACAAGTTACTCATTTTTTAATGGCGTCATTGAGAACTATTACATGACTTTAAACGTTGTATTATTTCAATAAATTTAATTGATTGACACAAAACATTTCATTGCCTTAAGACACATATCCATGTGTTCAATCCATGAGTCCATGTGTTCAATATTTTTTTTATGACAGATCAAGCACAATAGTCTCTAAATAAGTGACACGCGGCTTTGCATATAATTCTTGTTAGAAAGTATGTAAGTACGTCCATGGTTTTGCACTGAAATATATTTTTTTTACTTCAGCATAAATTTTGTGATTTTTAGAAAACACATGTGATTTGCTTAATATTGCATTGTTTGCGACTACATGTAATGGCAAATTACGACAGGACAGCATTACATATAAGTTTATAGAACAACCTTAAAGGCCAATTCACACATTTCAGTGCCACATCGATATATAAAGTATACCGACTGTAATATAAAATTATTTCATACATCTAAGTAAGACTGTCCTTATCACTGCTCAGTATCAATAATCTTTATATTTCAGTTTCTTCTGTCTCGAAGCTGTAGGTACCCTGTGTCAGAGGACATTAAACTGCGACGACATTTTCACTGAACGGACGATACCGAACAGTGACGACACTGTAGAGTCCAGTGAATTAAAATATATACTGGAATGAGCCATCACTGACTGCGACTTAAAGGAAACCAAATCTAATGAGATAAGTAGTGAAAAAAGACGGACTATCTATAATAGTGTCTTATTTTGCACAGCGTAGACGCTTCACTTCGACTCGCACCCAGTGACTCTAATGACCGCTCATTCCAATGTATATTTCAGTTTCTGGATAGGGTAGCGTCTGAACGGAATTCGTAATGAATTATATTTACCTGTGTCAACATTTCGTACTGATGCAGACGGAGGATACGGAATGGACCGGGAGGGGTGAATCAAATTTACCCTTATTTTGTACTGATTTGTCATTTTTATCCGTACAATTTCAAACAGTATCTGCTCGTCGAAAACTAAAGGTTGCAGATAATATTTTTTAAATCCATTATTTTAGTCTTTATTTAGAGGGATCAAAAATAGTATGAGTTTTTGCAGATTGTTAAATACGTTTACCATTGAACAACACGTTGGGCATAACTGACCCATCTGCACGGTTTAAGGGTGCCAAAAATAACAGTACAGAGTAAGGGTTATATTTCTTTTATGAAAACCTGTTATATAGCTAAACGATAGTTCTGATTATAGTATACCTATATTACAGTGTGTTGTAGAAAGACATTCATTTCGAAAATTCGACTATATGAGCGGTGTGAATAACTATTTATATTTTTAATCAAGCAACGAAAATACTAATAACAGTACAATTACAACATTATATCTGAAAAATTTGAATAACGATCTGTCTCCATTTGATGAACTTGCAGTGAGTTTCCAATTACCACAGCGTGGAAAAGTCTTTGGTGGTTGTATCATTTCTTCGTGTTCGCCAACTTTAAAAACTACCCCCATACCCATTTCCGCATGATTTGTCACGTGACAATGGAAGAACCAGTATCCAGGGTTACTCGCTACGAAACGTATGATGGTATACCCTCTGGATGGCACACCTATATTGTCTTTTACTGGAGCACCATATAATTTCTTATCAAGCAATCCCGCCTCATTGAGCCTTTTAATTTCGTCAAGCGATATGTTAACACCTACGGATTCCATTGCTACAACATAAAACTCGTACCCATGCAAATGCATTGGATGATCCTGGTCTCTATTCAAACCTAAAAAGTATTCAATAACATAGTAAGTGCAACAGACCAATAATAGTTGTAATATTTATTATTTTATTAAGCTACTTACTAAGGTCCACCAAAACTACTTCTACCAAACTGTTTTTTGATACCGGATAGAGGTATGGACAGGTGCAATAATCACCTATGCATTCTTTAGCAGTATCATTATCCTCTGTACAATAGATATCGTCTGTTATATGCTCATACTGCGTTAAGAGAGGAAAGGATGGATATTCGAAGCTTATATTATTTATTTGAGGATATGGACCAGGAGAATGGAACGAATCTAGAAGAAAAAGAAGACAGTACTATATTAGTGTCATTGGAATATTAGTTATGAGCGTTTATTTCTATATATGAACTTACTGAAAGTATTAAATAAGAAATGTAGATAAAAAGTATAGTCAGGTGTCCCTGAAATGTTTGCAGGATTCGTCGCAGTATTATTCAGGTCAACTACTTTGATCACTGTATTGTTGGGATAATTATTTGTCGACATTTGCACTGCATTGAACAACTGTAAAGTTAATTTTGTTAGATAAGTTTTGTTTATCTTATTGGTATCAACTCATTAAACTCATAATCCATTATAAAATTCTGCATTCGTTGAATATATTAAACAATAACAAAATCATCGTCTATGCAAAATTATAAAAAAATGTACGTGTCAATTTCCACTAGATATATATACTCAACTTATAAAAATAAATAACGTGAAAATTCAGTAAATATCAAAATTCAAAAAGCGACGATAGCTTGATTTCGTAGGATTTGAATTGATCTGTTGATATATCGACGTCCGGTTTGCAGACAGTCGTGTAAGCGTAGTCATAGGCTAAGACGTGATTATAAGAAAACTCGATTTTTAATCAGCATCCCTAATACAAGTAACAGTGCAGTTTGGAAAAATCTGCAGTACACTGTGCTTGCATGAGAGTTAAGTATTACAGTCTTATAAATTACGATATTCCATTTTGAGGTTGATAAGTACTCCCCACTTCCTTTATGTATTTTTATTTCTTACCACTCCGGCTCTGTTTGCATCCTCGTAGGTTGTTGTACCTGATGGTTCAATATTATCTGCGCCATTGTAACGTAGAATAGCTTCCTTTGACACAGTCACTAAACTTGTTTCACAATCACCAACTCCTCTGTACCTTATCCAATAGTTGTCTGGTGTCTGATTAGCCGACAGAACAAAGTCAAATCTTTCGCCACCGTTGATCATAAAAGAATCCACTGGAAGGACATAAAGGTATTCGTCAAATTGGATAGAACAGATTATGTTTCCAAGATCACCCAAATACCTTCTACAGGCTCAAAGGTTCCACTCTCTGAAGCAATCATCAACAACGTGTGATTATCGATGGAGACTTGTACGGGACAGTACACGGCATTATTGTAAATCACCCTAAATCGATATCGTTGGCCCTAGAAATAAATAATATAGATTTAAAGAATTCTGTAATCAAATCTTTATGCTCAATCGAATGTAACATTCAAGAGAATCTTACGCAATAACCATTCCAAAAAAAAGGGATTTAATATATATGCGTGTGTTTACGCACTGGACAGAAAATGCCTGTATTCAAATTTTCAGACTAATCACCGATCCAAACTCTTTCAAATCTATATGCGATGTTAAATTTTGATCAAAGTTGATACAGTAAAATTTGCACATGTCCAACACTTCAGGTTTGTATACATCGATATATGTCAAGGGTCTGACAGACTCAGTACTTTAATTTATTTTAATTGATACACCGAAGTCTGCGTGATAAATAAGAAAAATTAATTTCCATAAATACTTTTGAGAAAATGGGACGCTTCTTGAAAACGTGAAAAATGTTAAAAAGCGCCGAGTCTCTTGGACCCTGACAGGCATTCTAGGGGTTAGTAACGCATGTTTATATCTAAAATTCTAGATGATTTCCTTAAGTAAAACTCCAAAATTTCAAAAGCTTTCAGTTCAAAGTTCTGCATCCTTGAAGTTAATTTTTATTGCAGCCTCGATTGCATAAGACGAGAGTTCGTGGTTCGAGTAGTTGTTTGCCTGTTTTACTTCAATATTGCATGTATTACCTGTACAACATTGAACACTGCTCTAGGAGTAGTATACGTAATATTGTCCTTAGTGTATTCAATGTCAGCTGTTAAGCCATTGATAAGAAAGCTATAACCGGAAACGGAGTCACTGGTGTGAAGTGCTGCCGTCAGAATCGCTGCAGTCGACGAATGATACCAATGCCAAATTATCATAACATGATCTGCCAAATCATAATCATAATATTTCGCAAGTGGATCGTCGTTCTTGCGTACAATTAAACTGCTGTATAATCCATCTGCTTCTTCAAAGCCTACATGAATATTTGATAAGAAACGATTAAACAATATCTCAGTAAGATATTTTAAAACTCGTCTGAAATAATATCAATTATTCTCAACAAACCTATATGGGAATGCCATATGTGAGTTCCAGCTGGCTGAGCCACAAACTGATACTGGAAACTGTTGTGTGGTGCAATTGGACACTGAGTTAAATAAGGTGTCCCATCCATGTAAGGACTGTCTACTTGATGTATCCCATGCCAATGTATAGTAGTACTGTCACTGGTAAAAGTATTAATCACGTCCACCCGTACCGTGTCTCCTTGACAAACCTAAAATAAAATTTCATCCTAGGGCACCAGACGATATTTCCAAAAAGTCTTAGAGTACCTGTATACTTGGACCGGGAAGCATATGATTTGCCACGGTAACAGACCGCACGTAACCACCAGCAGAAATACATCCATTTTTGTAACAGTCTGTCCTTATATAGGGACATTCGCCACAGACGAAACTCATCGATGTATATTGGACTAGAGTGAAACTGTAGTAACAAGTTCGCACGTCGCCCGCAGTGCATTTCCGGTAGCAATGATGATGAGAACCACCTAAATATTTATTGGACAAGATAAATTAGTCGAATAGCGTTCTTTTAACTTTCAGTAATACAATGGTGGAAAGTACCAACCTAATATTTCAGGATTGGTGTCGTTCACATTAAATCCACGGGTCTAAAAGTTCAGAATATTATTTTATGATAGGGCGAGTTGAGTCTTATTTTTATTTTTTAATTAGAAACAGATTTTACCATGGCTGCTATACGAAATGATTGATGTGTATATCCTTCAGGTAGGAAAAGTATAAATGTCGCAAAAGACATCAGTCCTTTGAATAGACATATCATTTTGTTAAGTTGAGTCACTGTTTTCTAGAATCTAATAACTGTTGAGAGGTCGTTGAAGATATTGAGACTGTAATCAAGGATATTTATTGTTTAATCAAACGCTTAAGTTTGAGCCTATTTATTTGTTTAACAAAATACTTATCTAATATATGAGAATACAACGGCAGATTATATATTGTATCTTTATTACCAGACTTAAGGGATCTGTTTACTTTATTGGATGAAAAATACATTTTTTTATATTTTCCTATAGTTTTGGCTTGTACAAATATTTTTCCAAAGTATTAAGTTCAAATTTGAAAATTCAAGCGAGACAGCTACTTGAAGAGAAATGGGTGCAAGGGTGGCAATTGGAGCTCGGGGCAAAGTATGTAAATTACATAAGTGAAGGAGGTAGGAAGACCTTGAAATGAATTTTAAAAATACATTTTTATGGGGAAGAAATTTGTAAAAAGAAAAGTAAAAAATCCACGCAGAAAAGGAAGGAGACGTAAACCGAATAGATCGATTGATTCGTCATTTTAATGCATATTAGTACTTGGCTATAAGAAATTGAAATTCATATGATATTTATGAGTACTGTCCGTCAGAGCTTGATTCGTCGTGCAGATGGAGAAGTGTAGAAACCTTAAAAACAAACCTTAATTGTGTCTATCCTGCTCCTCTCGCTAGTAAAGTTCAACAAGTACTATGCTTCGTATGCTGCGGTAATCCTGTGTCCTATCTTTATGGAATATAATGAAGGCAATTTATCGTAGACTAAAACGCAATCGATAAGGATTGGATGATAAGAAGTACTTGTCAGAATCGGTATGATCAGGAAGCCCACCGTCTCAGCAAATATGTGCTTGCCATATGAGTGCCAAAAAAGTTTCAGCAGATGAGTCTGACAATTATCAGAAGACCAGCAGCCCAGCAGGAGAGGTGAGAGCGAACGGCCGGCAGTCCTGGAAATAACAGAAAAAAGATCAAGAACGATTCCAAGAGGGATGAAAGTAGAGTTGCCAGACCGTATCGTGTCGAAGAAGGACATTCGAACGAAAAGAATCTTTGTCCAGTTTACACCACAAGTTTGGGTTATTCTCTAGTTTGGTAAGACCCAAAGTATCTTTGCGGTTGATTTTCATATCATAAGTCGATTGCGACGACAGGCAGATTTTTCATCCCACTGTTGGATTGAGAAATGCTTCCCTGAGCATCTCTCTGGCACCTGTGGCTACTTATCCACGCGCAGGATAAAAATAAAAGTTTCAGTCCTATATCGTGGCAGCTTGTTTCTAAGCATCGGATTTTGCTCTATGAAAATCTTTTTCGATGCCTGTACTTAAATTAAATTTGATTTATTCAAATAAATCTATTTATTTGACCAAAGGTTTAGTTAATAAATACAATTCTTTATTATTTTAACCGCCTATAGAGTAAATGAAACTAGCCTAATTTATCATTTCATTGGAAAAAAGTCATTTCGTTCTACAAAAGTTTTATAGCAAAATTACTTTTATCAACGTAGTTCTATATTTTACTGATAGCATGATTGTGACTGAACGTATGGATTTGATTTAACGAAATTTCATTTCAACTGATCTGTTGTGTAATGGTTTGAAGTTAGATATTTGTGGTTGCTTCAAGGAAATAGATTAATTCTAAGTAATTAGATTAATTAGAATTATTGCAATTGACACATTTAACCCAGATAGCACGGAAGTCTAGAAGACTTTCACCAGGCTACTGTCTTCAGAGCTTTTTAAGACTTTGGAGTTTAGAGTCCTAGAAATTCCGTGGTCATTTTTATGGAATGACTCGTCTTGGTTGATGACATAACAAATCTCTTACACGGCTGTCGGATATTCCGTAGACTTTGCAAATATTTCATATTTAGTCGGTCCACGAGTTCGATGTGTTTTTTGACTGATCGAACACGATGAAATCTCTGGCAAGTGACACGTGGTTCTGTATATCACTTTTCTAACGAAGTTTAATCTTTTAAATTATATTATAAATTTACGTAATCTTAAAATAAAACTCGTATACCGAGCTTAAAGCTTTCTTGTACATGTCTCCGTGTTATCGAGTATAATCATTAGAATAAATACAATTCTTCGTGAAATTATAAAATTTGAATCAATTAAATATTGTAGTCCAACGAATTCAATAATTAATTTTTAATTCTGTTTTTACAAATAAATCATACTTCGATGAGAAATGTATTTCAGATCTCACCATATAAATGTGAAAGAACTGCAGACAAATCGAGAGGGGAATCAACTAGAATTTGTAGAAGTAAAACGAATTGGTCGCAAAATCGAATATTAATTTGTTTTATGGAATTAAAATTCTGCGTTTAAAATATTTTGGTAATATTATAATTTAACCCGCGTCATGGCGTAGTAAATTGTCGTGCAATTAAGTGAAGTCTATTTTAAAAATCTTGTAAACAAAATTATGTGAATAGAGGAGCAGATTTTTCGTCATAATGGTGGGTATTCGTAACGAAAAATGATTTATTCCTAAATAACGGTGAACTTCAAGTATCTAACCTTTTGGATAAGGTATCCTGAAGATATTGTTTTTTGCAGTTTGGAATGATTAGTTTGCAGCGTCCCTACATGTATTACGCTTGCAAACGTTGGAATACCTTGTTCATAAGAAGCAGTACTCGAAAATGGTGCCATTATCAAAAAAAAAATTGTTCAAGACAGTGAAGATAAAATTCTGATACTACGCAGGTAGATGTATATCCTCCATATCAGTGTGTAAAAAGAAATCAGTATCTTTTCTCTGAGCTTAGCGCAACGCTCGATTCTCCTTAAGTAATTATATTTTTTCAATTAATGAATCATTTATTTTGAGATAACAATAAATAAATTTGAACGCCCGCGACCACCGGATTGGTTTAGATCAAGTGAATTTCTGTTGCTTCAAACAAAGTATTTTCTCAGTATCTCTATTTAATGAAGGGCCAACTCCATTATTTAAAATAATGGAGGTGGTCAGTCAAAATTGGCTCTTGGACTAAAATTATGGTCAAGGAAATCACGTCTGAGACTGCGATGACTAAATTTGCAAAATCAGAATCTTCATATAAAATTGATACAAGGGAATTTTTAAAGACACTAACTCCGGATCAAAAGTCAAACTCCTAAGAAATGAGAGACTTTTTCTTTTCTAAGGGTTGATTTTTTCGAAATAGGTGTAAATTATCAAAAGTTTTGACGAATTAACAACTTCATTTTTCACATCTACATGTCTTCGTTAATATTACTCCCTTTTAAAGACTTTATTAAAATACTTAAGTCTCTCTTGTATTCATAAGGTGTTATTTTATCGCTAGCAGTATTGTTTCAAGAGATAAAATGAAAAGGAACATAGACATAAGATAAAATTATGAAAAAATATTTTAGTAATTATTTGAACTATCATATGTTGATTTCCGAATGCACCTTGTTTGCCAAATATTTGGAAAAAAGTCAGTTGTTAAAGATTTAAATAAATTTTATTCTTACTTTTTTCTTATTAATAATATTATGCTCCCTTCACCTTCTCATTGACTACATAACCAACGAACGCTATCGTAATTCTACCAATCGTAACATATTAATATACTACAATTATGAGGAATGCTGGGCAATCGACATTAATGACATTCAAGCCCAATGATTTCTGTACAAGAATGTTTACATATGCACTTTAGGTACATTATGATGGACATCACTTTGGAATCTTAAACACTACATTAAAATTAATGCAAGAATACAAGAAAATGATAATGTACATATTGTCTCTCGCTATACAATATAAATATGGAAATTACAATCAATGTGTTCAAGTAGGTACATTTCCATAAAGGATTTTTTACTATACAATCCAAATAATCGGCATTTAAATATTCTTTTTGTGTAATTTATTTAGTTATCCTTCTTCATTCGGTTTGAGGTCATCCTATAGATGATGGAATCCCGTCCTGGATCCATATCAGCGATAGCAACTGAAATAATTATATTTATATATTCTGTATTCTTGAATGATAAAGAATATTGAAGTCTCTATGTTTACGTACTGCATATTGCAAGAAGTGAAAAGACGAAGACAACTCCAAACCATAGAAGAATGTTAAAGATGACGGGGTAATCTTCATCATAGTCTTTCGACAGGTTCAACTGTAACATATAAATCGGTGTTCCAATCCATTGTATTACAATTATTTCATAGGAAATAGCCGATATGTCTTCATACTTACAATGCTCTACAAGTAACTTACCAAATATTAATACCTAAAGATACAATCAAGCGTAAAAATAATTTTAAGCATGCGCTCTTTAACAATTATTTAAACAATGTGGTGTCTTTACATCTTAAACGAGCGATTGTTTTTGTCTTTTAAGTAGATAATTGTATCTCTCGTAAAAGAATAATTCTCAATAAAGATTAGACAACGAAACTACTACATGCAACATTTATTATATTATCTTTGACTTTTTCTTATTATGCTGATTGCGTCCGGCTGCAAATAAGGACTGACTCTTATTGTGCAAGCCTATTTACACGAGTATTATCCGAAGCCGCAAATATATTCTAGTGCATTGAAACTTTGCGATAGAAATTGTACAAGCATATCGAGGTATCTGAACTCTTTATACAGTGTGTATTATCTACTTATAAATTGAAATGTAAAAGAAAGTTAGCTGGCAACGAATAATATTCCTAAAACCATAGAGAACAGCAGTATCATATGTTGATGTGTACAGGATACCTGGTGTATGTCACGTATGACTTCTTTACCAGTGCTGCTCTTTTCTGCCTGCTTTGCACCATTGGTGCTGTCAGTAGTTTGTTCAATAGGATTGTTAGCATGTTCAGAATTATCATTGTTATTATCACCACTAGTGGCACCAACCTCCGTCCCATCTTCGTTTGTGATTTTTTTTTTCTTTTCATCGATATCATCTTGCTACAATATATGTGCAGATACATTATGACTGTTTGTGCTTTACACATAACAAGCAAGGTCAACGAAACATTCTCCAAATTCTCATAATATAGTATTTACTAATTTGTCTTTGATAGTTTATCAACTGTTATTTCACGAATATCGTAAAACTGGATTATGGACCAATCGCCAAGTATGTGATCAGTGGGCATGCATTAAGCTACTGAAAAGTAAGGAAAGTTCGGTTTCAGTCGACTACCTCATGCAATGGATTCGACAATACCTGATCAGGTTTTTCAGTTGTGTTAATTTCATTGTCAGTTGGTGTTTCTTTAATTTCTGAAGAGCGTTTTATCTTGGTACCACTACCCTATAACACCAAGATGAAATTGTTAGACACTTTTCAAGATGGACCTGGGAGAGCAAGAGATGGTATTAGGATATAAGTGAATGTTATTTTAGATGTCGATGAGTGCAAAAGAAATGTCAGATATCTAGCTTGGATTACAGTTAAGACTTGTGTTTCGATGCAAGTATGAAAATAAGATTAGTTTGGTAGAATTGCAAGGTCGAAAAAGTAAGTAGACTAGCCGGTGCATTTATTATTAGGCAGATTACAGCTGTGAGAGAGTTGAGGAAGATAGGTAATTATTAAGTCGAGTGGTCAGTCTAAGATTTGGCTAGGAAGTGAGTCTGAGATGAAAAACAGACAAAGTCGCAAAGACGCGTGGATCCAATCAGCCAACTTTATCAGGAGTTTCTTCAAAAGCTGAAATACCATATCATACTTTGCATCATTATACGTCACGCTCCGTGTACTTAATAAATTATACTAACTGGACTTAGCAGACATACAACCTGAGATTCCTAATCACCACTTTACGAAACACAAATATTCTGTGCTCATTCACATTAATTCACGCAATATCTTAATGGATTACGTCGCTGTTGAATTTTGCAAGTACCTGCAGGACCAATATCTAGTTTTGCTATAATGTATCAAATACTGACCGATGAAGTATTAGAGGCGGTATCCCTGGTTTCCCTTTCGAGAATAACGGAACGGGTATGACGCACTTGGCTTGCGTCGTTAGTGAATGCTGCAATGAGAACCTGAAAATAAAAATGAGAATGTCCAAGAAGTAATTTCGATATAAACAAATAAGAACAAGAGAACACTAGAAAATCTTTACCTTGTTTTCATATACATCCATGAATGCCTTGCTCACGTCGGAAAGGGCATCATTAAGCAGAGTTAGAGCTTCCTTGGCTGCAGCAGACTCTTCTCCATGGAAATCTAGTACGGGACGTATTTCAGAGACTACAAGCCAATAAACGTCTGGTATGGAGTCAGCGCGGATAGCTGAAGGAACCTTCTGAGCAATAGCACGCAAAAGTTGTACTTCCTCAAGGAATTTACGATCTTCCTCGTTTTCTAAGCTTAAGAACTTCAGGGAAGATTCATCGATAGCTGTTGGCTTAAGTTCGCCCAATGCAGATTGGCCGAGCTTTAATACAAATGAATTTCATATAATTTTGTATTCATCACTTTAAGTCTTAATATCTAAAAAAAAAATTATAATGGAAACTCAGAGTACTCACAGCATCAAGTCCATCTCCAAGATAAATCCTAACTAAAGTATTGTCATTATCACGTTCTTCAAGACGACCACTTAAAGCTTGCCACGTGGTTTCTTCAACTTCGTCGACATTTAAAGGGAATCTTTTACCCCTAGGAGAATGTAGAGAGTTTATTCCTTCTACCGCAAATCCAACAAAAGCTTCTGGGAGATGAAACGGGTTGTTAATAGAAATACCAGACCATGTACTTTTCTACAAAGAATAAACATACTGATTTATTTATTCCATGTTTATATTCCTCATAAAGAAATAAATATATTCTCCATAGTGTTTTACAAAAAACAAGCAAGTTTTGTTTTACCTGTTTAACAGTGAATCCAAGAGCAGCAGCGCAGATCTCTTTAAGAAGGCTTTGATTCACTTCTTCATTTCCTTTAAAAGTTACACTATCTGGACTGTGTAAAATAACAAGATCCCCAGTGGCTTGCACTGTAATAAGAAGAAGGAAAGAGTATAAAGTATAAAATAAGTATTATATTAATCAGCGCCACACCCCCTCTTTAAAAAATGATAAAATAATACTATATTTATGATATAATAAATTTTTATTTCTTAATCTAACAAAAATCTTACCTGTAACGAGGGTGGCAAGAGCCAATAAAATTAATTTGAACATTTTTTCCTTCTATATTTTTATAGCTAATGAAAAACCACAGTTCCTAACTCAAAGACCCAGTCGTGCTCTGATCATATGACAAAATCTCACTGATCAATGATTCTAGCCAACTCGAACTATTAAATATCCCTATGTCTCGGCCTTGTTAGATTTGTTCTCGTTACCTAACTTTCTGCACTATTCAAAAAGTGTAAATTCTTATTGGATGATATTTTCAAATAACCAATAAGAACTTGTTCTTTTTGAAAACTGCAGGAGTTAGGTAACGAGGACAAATCTTATGTTGCGGCCTAGCGATAAATAATCTCACTAGGATTGAGCGGAAAGTTCAAATCAGGGTTTAAAATGGGATTACGATTCCGCTGCCACAATTCAGAATACAATGCTTTTAAATGCTCAGGCTGTCATTAACGCATAAATAAGATATATCCTAAATAATTCGGGGAAAACTTTCTAGCTCGTACACGTGCATAAACATATGGGCCACAAAGAATATGGGCATGGGTTATTTGTTTATTGTTATTTTAACCGCATGAAAGTTTCTCAGGAACTCTTACTCCCGGCAATAAATCGGGTCACTTAAGAACTTGCCAAATAAATTAAGGATAAGATGTGCATGAGTTCCTTGGGCGTATCGACGTATAGTATGGACTACGCATCCCTACGCATAGACAAAGCAAAAATGGTCGGCTGAAAAAGATAGCGGCTAGTGGCGGCCAAGCCCTGTGTCTTTCTAATCAGTAACATAGTAAGATATTTGAGGACTGCGGGCATAATAAGTTTCTGCATCATAATATTATAAATTCTAAATATTCGTATCGTTTTCTAGATTTCATACAAGCGCTGTCTGATCTATTAGTACGTTCTATTTATTATTTTCATATATTTTAGACATTTGGAAATTAAACTTTTTATATAAGTGACTCGTGGGAAAAGGTATGGAAGAATTTATATGCATAACGTATTTTTAGCATATCGAAATATATTTCTGTTACAAAATGAATAATTAATTGTTTAACAGTTGTACATTACGATATTCCATCTGACAAGTTAAAATAAGCACTACAGTAAATTACAAAAACATGTTACATTCAATTATGCGTCTCACAACTTTTATTGGTTTTTGAATAAAACGATCTTGTTACATTTCATGTTTATTCTAAGCTCTTCTTGTTGTTCTAATTTAGATGTTCCTTCGTGGTGTAACCGAATTTTGAAAAAGTTTAAGATCTTAACAAGTAGTTTTCAATAATGATCAGCCTCACAGTTTTCCTTATCTTCAAACACGCTAGGTGTAATATGTTCAAGGGTACTTCTGATCAAGACATTTAATATGTTGTTTGCTTGAAAGACATTTTGCATTCTAAAAGTTTGTTCTGCTATTAGACATAAATTTTAAAACAAAAATTAAATATTCGTTGAAGTGTCTTCTATATATTACTTACATATAAAAGCTTTGCCTTATATGTCAATAATTTCAAACTTGAAACCTTCTGCCTGAGCCGTCGAACTTTACGCTGTAGACACTCCATCTTTTTTCTATGATTTATTAGTTCCTGCTTTGCAATCTCCCATAACATTTCACCTTGTTTGGACGATTTTGAAAGTTCTTCCCATGTTATTTCGGTGAGTCGTTTTTTCTTTTTAGTGATAACTTCACTTAGTGGAGTATCTTGCCTCCGTCTGCAAATATTTTACATATTTATAATATATATATTTTATTTAAATATTGCATGAATAGACGATATTCAGAAACTTCAATAGTCCATGTTTATAGTAGAAATGTTCCATAATAGCTGCCATTTCATTATTGTGATATTATGTTAGTATTATGTTAAAGCATTATTTGTATAAATGCAGTTTGCAGTAGAAAGGCGAAGTTAAACTCTTTAAAATCATAAAGTTAAAGGAAATATTTAAAAATAACATAGACAATGAAATAAAGTTACTTGTTTAAGATGGTTCGCTTTTCTATACTTAAATCCTCCACTAGTTGGTTGTTTGAGATATTGTTGCTTTGCGAATCCAGCAACGACTCATCATTGGGAATGTTAGTGATCAGTTGCGAAGAAATTGAGTTCCAATTATCTGATCTGTTGTTAGTAAATGATTCATCTATCTTGTTTGAAATATTTATTGCAACACTTGTTTGGTCTTGCTTTCGAAGATTTAACGTTGGTTTACTGCCTGGTTTCAAAAACTCCTTCCCATTTACTAGCCCGTATCGAAAGGATTTGCTGTCAAAATGACTTGAGCAAATGGCTGCCCCCTTTCCTGGAACATCTTTCGATTTTCCAAGAATATCTAGCCATTGTTGTCGGTTGGTAGTATTCGAGGGAAATCTACAATTGAAATGTAACTCGACATTTATAATAAATGTATAATGTGCACGTTAACGTATAATCATAACGTGGTCCATAACCCAATCTAATTATTTAAATAATACATTATTACTCACCTATGAAATGACAAACCTTGCGATTTGTCTGATCTTTTCTTGCAGATAAAACATGTGTACACCATACCGAACAATATTTACAAGAACATATTTTAAATGTCACTAAACACGCCACTGAACTCCATACTGGAATCCATACGGCAGTGGTGGGGGTCGCGTAGAGAGAGATAGCAAGGACATAGGTCAGTGTAGCAACCTGTCTCTATCACACACTATACAGTCTTTGAATAAAGTTAAACTAGGATAAAGCAGTGCACCCGTCGAGTCCATACCTATATTGGTATACCATATTGATGTACCATATCCATATCACTATAATTTAGCGGCAAGTTAAAATACATATGTATATATAAAATAGAATCAGGATACTCTTTGCATTTTTAACGTCTCACTCTCGCTATTGCGTCATTCTATAGGTTGAGTCGTGTCGCGTAAGAGAAATGATCATAGGTCCCTTCTCGCGAGTTAATAGCTATAGAGCTCTGTAATATCGATAACTGTTCAAGAAGAATTTCGCATGCAGTTTGTTAGATGTTCACTGGAAAATAGTGTCTCTTAAGTATAATTCTTTATTACGATATTGGTGTTCGCAGAGATGGTGTTCGTATTCTTGTGACTATTCTATTGATCGTTACTTGCTCGAGGTCTCATACGGTCCTCATCGGCTGACTCAGTTTCTTTCTCAGAGTCCTCGGGTAAGTCATTGGATATAGTGGTGTACTCTTTCCCAGTGGTTTTCTGCGGAAGGAAATTAACGTCTACAAGAGAGTCTGTGGAGCTATGAGATTTACGAATTGAGGAAGAACTCAGTAACTACTGCCAGTGATTAATACACACTCGTCTAAAAACTCCCAAGATGGGTTCGCTTTTCCGTAGCGAGGAGATGACCTTGTGTCAGCTCTTCCTACAATCCGAGGCTGCCTATGCCTGCGTGTCCGAGCTCGGCGAGCTTGGCCTCGTTCAATTTCGAGACGTAAGTTTCACTCTTTCTTATCAATGATGTGTGAATTTCTTCCAATTTAGTATTTAATTTTGATTATAAAATTAAATACTAAATCTAATAAAATTAAATAGAGGCTGGGGAATCTAATTTTAAAAATAAGGATTTTGTACAGCGATAGGTATACTTTCCTCGTTTCAAAGATCCGTGGTCACATGATTCGTGGTTTCATGTCTTGTGACCTGAATCTTATGTTGTATATGGAACTTTATATTGACGGTAGCTATCGATTCGCAGTTGAATCCTGATGTCAATGCATTTCAACGTAAATTCGTCAATGAGGTTCGTCGCTGCGATGAAATGGAGCGCAAGTTGCGTTACCTTGAAAAGGAAATCAAGAAGGATGGAATTCCCATGCTGGACACGGGTGAGAGTCCTGAGGCTCCGCAGCCCAGAGAGATGATTGATCTTGAAGCCACCTTTGAAAAGCTTGAGAACGAGTTGCGAGAGGTTAATCAAAATGCTGAGGCACTGAAGCGCAACTTTTTGGAGCTTACTGAGCTCAAGCATATTTTGAGAAAAACACAGATCTTTTTTGATGAGGTAAGAAGAAACAATACTCTTTTGCTTTGAAATATATTTATAATTTTGAAACCGCAGTGACGTTGGTCATTAACAATTCCATTAATACTATTTGGTTGCAAGGGTGGGGGTGGGAGGGCAGAATAGTACAATATCTAATTTGGTACTAGTAAATTCAAAGGAGACAATTACAGTTAAAATGTAATTGCATCGTCAACTCTATGATATGCATCAGATACTAATCATATGTATATCCCCAGATAATCTTGAAATAGAAACATTAGGTACATCAATTTATAGTATTATAAAGCAAATACTTTACGCTTCCAAATTATAAAGCTCCTGTATATTCGACAAAATAATCATAAACAATCTCTCACTATAAAGTACAACAATTTATGATGTTGCAAATATTTATTTTATAATTTGCAAGACATTTACTTTTGCATTGTTATCGAATCGGGTCATGTTAGCAAATTATCGCTGATGGTGCCTCATCAACATCAATATTGATGTACTATATTCAATTGGTTTCTGGCATGATGGTTATAATGGTTGACTAAACATTCACTCTTGTTATCACATATTTTATCAACTAAGTGGTTGCAGGATTTAGATCTAAGATCTTGAATAATCATTGGAAGAGTATCGGTATTTTAAATAGCATCTATGTAAATGTTGGCTTTACTTTTGACATAGGATACACTTTAGTAATCACGTTATGTTTGTTCTCGAGTATTCTGTACACTCCTTACTTTTCACTACCTTTAATTTACAAGTGTATACGAGGATGTGGATAATACTAGCGCACGACAGTTGGAGTGCTATATGAAGCACCGGACTCCTTACTAAATGTATGATTTGCTAACAGCGACAGGATTACAGGCTCATGGGCTATGAGAGTAATGATATGCATGTCAAGTTTCTCTTAACAATGCCGCAAAGTGCCTGAAGCAAGTTTTCTTTATATATTTGCTTTGTAATCATAACCGAATGAAGCAGCACTTATAACGTAAATAATACACATCTCACTCATTCATCTTAAATAATTAACATTACAGTCGATCTCGTGATGAGAGTAAAAGAGGTAGCCCCCGTGTTCTCTTGTGTTTTCCGTTATGTGTTACTAATGATTGATTTGTTAAGTGATTTTAGGGATGTTTAATGTGTTAGTGTTGCCGACTAACAAAGTTGCAGATATGCAACGGACACAAGTCACTCATTACGCCCTGTCTCCTGATTATTAGACCCAATCACTAAACCGAAATCCCTTGTCGAGGCTCGTCTTCAACGAGGTAAGGTGACTGATTGTTTTTTTCAAGAATGCATTTACAATTCTAGGATGACAGGAAGGATCGCAAGCGTCTGTAATAATATTGTAGAGTCACTTAAAAATTAATGCATTGTTGTTGTGCACAATGGATCTGAATAACGTTGAGGAATATATATTGTTTAATGAACCCAAGTGACAGATATACACTTTTGTATTCACTGTAGAGATATATCGGAATATATGTATATCAATTTATATCGTTCAGTTTGTGTTTGCCAAAAAATTATTTATTTTCTCAGATTTGACTTAGTGTTCATAATGTTTGCATATATATTTTTTTTAAAGTATTTTCCTTTTTTATAAATGTTTGTATACGAGTGAGTGTCGCTAGTACCACTCTTCCACGTAAAATCATAGAAATCCAGTTCCTCAAATAACCTCATATAGTGAATGCTATGGGAATACGTTTGTCGTAAATTTACGTGCAGTAGTAGCGAAAAGTTTAGAATTGAAGTTATTTAGCGTCATCACGAGGTATATGCATGATTGTGTAACACCCACCAGACGAGGAGCTCAAATGTAGATAGAAGATGTCGCTCTAATCATGAATCATAGCAGTAATTTAATCTGTCTAATCAAGAAAAATCAATTTCAACGAAACACGGATTAGCCTGTGGAAATTGATTAACGATAAAAAGCATCTAAAATAGATTAAATTGTCATTACTGATTAATTATATATATATTTTTTTCCCTTAAATTTCCTCGATAATAATTAAAATCAATCAATTTGAGCACTTGGAAGTCGTGTGAGGTTTCGATTAAGAAAAAAAATGTTCAATTTTCCAAATTTCTTTTCTCACAATCGTAAAATACCACTTCAAAGACCTTTAGATTTAATCTGCGTACAAAGAAAACGTAAAAATCTCATATCAGAATTTCGCGTATCATTCTAAACGTTCCTAATTTTTCTTGAAGAATGTTACGTGTTGATCACGAGAATTCGTTTAAGAACTTGTGAATTATTGTAATCACATGCTGATGGAACACGCGCACCATTTGCGTCAGCACACTCCCAAAGTCGTACAGCTTAATTCTTGCTTAATTTTTATGTGGACGATAAATATAGCGTGCATATAGAATTGACATATTATTACTACAGTACACGCGTCTTACTAATTGGCTGAAGTAGATATCTTAGACAAGTACATGGAAGGTGCGAACTAGCAATTTAACAATTGAATTAAGAGACTTGATCGTCTGCGTCAACTATTTGGTACACAGCTGAGAGTGTTTTATTTTTAAATACTCTTCGATTTTCATTCGAACGCGATATAAGAGCGGACCAATTTTATATAAATATTACTTTGGAATTAACAATTTCATGATACCTTACCGACCATTTGCCGATTGACAAGATATCTCTCCATTTGTTTCCCAACAAATTTATCTTCGTTGCGCAACGCAGTCTGTAGAAGAAATAAAAAGGCGTAGCGCCAATCGTAGAAGCCATTAGGTAAGAGACATAGGACAATAGAGACTTACGTAATGTGCCACAATGTCTTTAGAATAATACGCATGCATCTTTTGGCTGGGTGTGTTGCTTCCATGACTGATAAGTATTTCGCGCGATGTTTACCGAAAGGAAATGTTACTTCAAAAATGCACAATCGACTATTCGCTAAAATTGTATCATTGAGCGTGAACGTTGAAGAATACTGCATGAGGCACGTGCATCTGAAAAATGTATTTCGTCGTTGCATCCACGAGTTAACATGAAAACATCATTACCGACGCTTGACGATTATACATCCCAGTAGCGCAACAATGATCGACGAAGGCTTCTGATTCTCAATCGTAATTCGAGTATCGAATTTCGAATGGATTTATTTCTCAAAACACTTTGCAAGACCTTCACATGATTTCACGATAGAACCACTGGAAAATTCCGTCCTATGAATTTTTAGTACTACAACGAGGAAGCATCTTGTCGATACTTGATGCAAAAATTGCAGTGTCTTCCAGAACTAATATTCCTAAGAAATCCAGGATGAACGAAAATTTTTTTTTTTTTTTGAAAAACACGAGAGATCTGTGAAAGATCTCTACGTGAAAAATGTGTTGCAGATTATGTAAGGTTCCTTTTGTTGCCATCTACGTATTATCTTTGTCCATGCTCCTGTGAGCAGTCAATCGTCTATTTTTCTATAATAGACATATCCAATTACGTTTCCCGTTTTACATAAACAAAAAAAGAAGATTGAAAGGAGACAGGGCGTATGGAGGGGTGACGTGTGTCTGTTGCCAGGCTGAGCATGGAGGTGTCGTGTCGCAGATGGCAGACCCAAACCGCGAGGAAGAGCAAGTCACTTTGTTGGGTGAAGAGGGCCTCCGCGCTGGCGGCCAGGCTCTCAAGCTCGGGTAATTAATTGTGGCGTACCTCTTCAACTGTGCAGAGCGAAGCGATTTACGATGCTCACACGTTAACGGTATAACATGGGAATTTGGAGAGTACTCAATTTAATAGAAAATCTAATTTTAACACCGAGTAACGTCCGGGACGTAAAAATCCCGTCGCTCTGCAATCTACAGACGTGTGATCGAGGATCAGTCATTGTACGACACGCATGTTTTTTTAATTTGACTCTGTAATAATAATTTCACCAAACGCACATTATTATGCACTGTGCCACGATTATGGTACTCGGTCTCACGATATTCAAGTATTAGGATCGGTAAGGGATCCGGGGGGGGTGGGGGGG